TCCCTCTGGAGCCTTCCCTCCGCCTCTAGCTCCGATGGCAGTTCCCTGACAGATATGGACCAGGTTGACAACCCATGGCTTAATATCTGTTTCAGAAAAATTGGTGGAAAGCTCTGCCAGATAAAATAGCCAAGCATATTGAGCAAGCCTTGCTGACATGGAACGTCCTGTCTCACTAACCTATTCGAGAGTCAACAAGCCTGACGATGGAGGCAGCTTTCATGGTATTCTTGGACTTCCAAAAGGGTTTCGACAAAGTGTAAAGCTTAGTACAGTGGTACCTCTGGTTACGTACTTAATTCGTTCTGGAGGTCTGTTCTTAACCTGAAACTGTTCTTAACCTGAAGCACCACTTTAGCTAATGGGGCCTGCCGCTGCCGCGGCCGCCGCTGCACAATTTCTGTTCTTATCCTGAAGCAAAGTTCTTAACCCGAGGTACTATTTCTGGGTTATCAGAGTCTGTAACTTGAAGCGTCTGTAACCCGAGGTACCACTGTAGTTATGGAATAAGAGGAGAGGTCCTCCTGTGGATGAGGAAGTGGTTATGTAACAAGTAGAACCTAGCATCTCTTTGGCTTTCCTACTTTAGAGGTAAAGGGTAAAGGGACCCCTGACCATTAAGTCCAGTCGTGGATGACTCTGGGGTTGCGGCGCTCATCTTGCTTTACTGGCCAAGGGAGCCAGCGTTTGTCCGCAGACGGCTTCCGGGTCATGTGGCCAGCATGACTAAGCCGCTTCTGGTGAACCACAGCAGTGCAGGAAAACACTGTTTACCTTCCCGCCGGAGTGGTACCTATTTATCTACTTGCACTTTGACCTGCTTTCGAACTGCTAGGTGGGCAGGAGCTGGGACTGAACAACGGGAGCTCACCCCGTCGTGGGGATGAGGGTCAAAAGAAGAAACCATCAATGTGAATATGACATGAAATTCAGTCAGTCTCGTTTTCTGAGCTGCTGTCAGTTTCTCTTTCTTAATACTTGTCATCATGTTTATCATGGACTTCTAAAAGCCTGGATTTCTGTACCATTTCATATTGATTTGGTGTAGGAACTGTAATGATCCGAGACTGTACATGGTATTATACAAAAGTATTCCTACTACACAGAAATCATTTGGGGAGAGTAAATATATGAACACAGTGTGCTAAACATCATCATAAAATATTTGATAATTTAAAATGTTTATTTTTTTTAAAAGAAAAATATAAACAAAACCTTTGGAAGAAAACAGGAAAAAATCTTATCTGTCTTTCTGGGCCTTGGATTGGAGCCACAATTGTTAAAGTGAATCAAACTAATACAGAAACAGCCTTGATCTTTTTATAGCAGTTAGGCAAATGGAGAAAAACAGAGGTGATTGAATTACATTATTTAAAATAATTACAAAAACTAAATCAAATGGAACAAATAAATCAATATATTTTTAACAAAACATACTCATTTCTTTTTGTCTCAATATTCATATAAATACAATAAATATAATTATGAACAACTTTCCAATGAATTTATTAAGCAATGTTTAAAACTCTTCTTTCATTTCAGCAGTTAAAAGTTTTATTTCCCAAATGAATCTCATTTCAGAATATTCTAAATCAAACAACAAATGATCAGCTAATAAAATGGAAAAGGTTTCTATTTATCTGGAATAATCACAAAGCAATTAAATCTCAGGGGGCGGGGGTTTCTCTCACCAAAGAGTAAAAGGTAAAGGACCCCTGACAGTTAAGTCCAGTTGCAAACGAGTTTGGGGTTGTGGCGCTCATCCGCAGACCGTTTTTCTGGGTCACGTGGCCAGCATAACTAAGCCGCTTCTGGTGAAAACAGAGTAGGGCATGGAAATGCCATTTACCTTCCCACTGGAGTGGTACCTATTTATCTACTTGCACTGGTGTACTTTTGAACTGCTAGGTTGGCAGAAGCTGGGACCGAACAACGGGAGCTCACCCCTCGCGGGGATTCGAACTGCCAACCTTCTGATCGGCAAGCCCTAGGATCTGGTTTTTACACCACAGCACCATCCAAATCTGGACATTTGCATCCAGGAATTCTCTTTTCTATATACCTATTTTTCCCCTTACCACTTGGGTGGCCATATGTCCAGACTCTCCTGGACATAGCCGGCAGTCAGTTGTCAGAAGCAGTGTCTGGGCAGAAATTGCTTAAATGTCTGGGGAAATCTGGACATAGGCAAACCCTGTCGGCTGTGTCGTTTTTCCTTACAAATAGCTCAAAAACTTCAATTTTTTATTAGAGATTTTGCAAAGAAAATAAACAACTTTGGGCTATTCACTTGCCCAAACCCTACTTGGCACCAACATGAATGATGTGGCTGTGAAGGGGCACAGGTCACTTGGCACTTCCTCCTCCTCAAGAGTAAATCCTACCCAGTACAAATATAATAATAATAATAATAATAATAAATTATTTATACCCCACCCATCTGGCTGAGTCTCCCCAACCACTCTGGGTGGCTTCCAATCAAAAACAATACAGCATTAAATATTAAAAACTTCCCTAAACAGGGCTACCTTCAGATGTCTTTTAAAGAGAAGATAGCTGCTTATTTCCTTCACATCTGAAGGGAGGGCGTTCCACAGGGCAGGTGCCACTACCGAGAAGGCCCTCTGCCTGGTTCCCTGTAACCTCACTTCTCGCAATGAGGGAACCACCAGAAGGCCCTCGGCGCTGGACCTCAGTGTCCGGGCTGAATGATGGGGGTGGAGACGCTCCTTCAGGTATACAGGACTGAGGCCATTTAGGGCTTTAAAGGTCAGCACCAACACTTTGAATTGTGCTCGGAAACATACTGGGAGCCAATGCAGATCTCTCAGGACCGGTGTTATGTGGTCCCGGCGGCCACTCCCAGTCACCAGTCTAGCTGCTACACTGCTTGCTACCAGCTTGGCTCTTGCATGCAGCTGCCTGGGCTGCTGGGGAACATGGAGGCTGCCAACACACATGGAAGCAAGGAGGAGGCGGCAAAGCTTTTGCACTTTGAAATACTATGGAGAGAGGAGAGGGCATTGTGCCTGGTGCGCTAGCAACTCAGTCAGGCACTCCAACTCAGAAGTAAGCCACGATGAGAGAAAAGGGACTTCCTGCCTGGGAAATCCATCCGAGGAGGAGAGAAAGTTGCACCTGGAATTCAGCAGCAGCAACAACAACAATGAAATCGGTTTGAATCCCCGTGACGGTCCCTGCTCCTGCCCACCTAGCAGTTCGAAAGTACATCAAAGTAGATAAATAGGTACCACTCTGGCAGGAAGGTAAACGGCGTTTCCGTGTGCTGCTCTGGTTCGCCAGAAGCGGCTTAGTCATGCTGGCCACATGACCCGGAAGCTGTACACTGGCTCCCTCGGCCAGTAAAGCGAGATGAGCGCCGCAACCCCAGAGTCGTTTGCAACTGGACCTAACGGTCAGGGGTTCCTTTACCTTTACCTTTAAGGATGTGGGGTATGGAAGCAGGGAAAACCATGATGTGGCAAACGAATGTTTTATGGCACAACTGAATGCATTTTTAAATTTTTTTAAAAAACACCTTTTCATGTTAATATTGATTAGGCAAAAATCTGGCTTTACCTCCAGTTAAGGGAAACAGGCAGTGGCAAGGTGGATTTTAAGACTGTGAGGATAAGCCCTGAACTTATCAATGTCAAACTGCCATCCCAGGAAGAGGAGGAAGCAGGAGAGTAAGTACCAGAAACCAGAAGGAAGTTGTAGGAGAAAAGGGTTTTCGAAAGGAAGCCCTCACCAACAGAAGTGGGGATTCACCTGGAATAATTTACAGCCCAGCAGAAACCAAATACCCGTTAGCATAATCCAGTATGCTAGTTCTCCTCAGATGTTTTCTTATGTTTTGTTGGTGAATGCTTCTGGCTGTACTGTGCGGCAGATGTGGTATTCTATGCAAAGGGGAAAAGACTAAGTTTACTTATTAACAGGAAAAAATGGACGTAGGGCCTATCCACACTTACCCTTTTTAAAAAGGATTGGTGTTTTTATTATGTTTTTAGATGTGTTGTAAGCTGCCCAGAGTGGCTGGGCGGGGTATAAATAATTATATAATATATATTTTAAATAATTATATAATTAAATAATATATAATTTATTATTATTATTATTATTATTATTATTATTAAATCTATCCCATAAGGAGATACCGTATTTTTTGCTCTATAAGACTCACTTTTTCCTTCCTAAAAAGTAAGGGGAAATGTGTGTGCGTCTTATGGAGCGAATGCAGGCTGCGCAGCTATCCCAGAAGCCAGAACAGCAAGAGGGATTGCTGCTTTCACTGCGCAGCGATCCCTCTTGCTGTTCTGGCTTCTGAGATTCAGAATATTTTTTTCTTGTTTTCCTCCTCCAAAAACTAGGTGAGTCTTGTGGTCTGGTGCGTCTTATAGAGCGAAAAATACAGTAGTTCCTTTGTCCTCTCTTGGCTTCCAGCCAAGAGAGCATCTCAGGCTAAGGAGAAGATGCTTCTTCAAGGAATGGAGTCAGAGAGAGAGAGATTGCTATCTTGCCCTGTGCTGTTTTGTTACCTGCACAGGTAAAGTCACGCCCACCTCTGGTCACATGTAGAGGAAGTTTGTCCCAGCCCAGGAGGAAACAGGAAGTTCCGACTGGCTGGTCCAGACATCCCCTTTTTATGTCCACTCTAGGAATGTTGTATTTGACTGCTCTGTATTTCACACCCCACAATTATTACCCTTCATCCACTGTTTCCTTAAAAGGTCTGTGTCTGAGCGGGTTTTGTTGTTTTTTGTCCCAGAACTTTCCTTGCCAAAAGCTGCTCTTTAGCACTCAAACGGAGGAAACATCAATCTGCAGAGAACCTGAATTGATATTTGCACAGAATGAGCACTAAAGAGAAGGTTTTCACACGGAAAGCTCCAAGGCTAAAAAAAACCCCAATCCCAGTGCTTGGCCATAGTCCTTTTAATTGCAGAACAGTGGCTAGAAAGAGCAAAAGTGAAGTGTGCATAAGCCATAAACGCCTCCTACTGCCTGGTACAACAAGTCTTCTTCTTGGAGGCTTGATGTAGCTGAATAGTTTTTTCCTTCACCTTTTCTTCTTGTTCTTTTAAAACCCTACAGAAAGAAACATAAACAGTAATTTGTTGAATTGGCTCAAGGGCCATCTGCTTACAACAACACGTAGTTCTATGCATCTATAAAGCCCACTGAGCAAAGCTTGAGTGTGGGGTGCCCCACCACCACCACCTTGTGCTTTCTCTCCAGAAACTGAACCTCTTGACCTATGAATGTGAATATTATGTTCTGTTAACCAACTGGGTTAATAGCCATTGATAGATCTAACCAGTGGTGTAGAATGGATTGCCAGCACCCGGGGTTGCACAGAGGGTGGGTGGGTGGGAACTGGACATAGTATGCATGCCCAATGGCATCCACGTTACCCAGCAGATCACAGCCACAGAGATAGGAAAAGAAGAGTTGCCCAGTTGTCTGGAGAGGTCATTTCCTGGTTTGCATGGAGAAGCTGCTTGAAGTGGAAGTGTGCAGCTGTGTACAGTGTGATAGGAATTTTGAGGTCTTAGATATATGTTAAATGTCCATAAGTGTACCAACCAAGCACGTACATAGATCAGCACAGGAAGACTGACCTGGAACCATTTTGATTCCCAAACTGAGCAAATGTTTTCTCTGCAAGGTCAAAGGAAAATGGAAAAGCCTCCCCATTGCCTTTTCCTTCACAAATCCTGTCTTAAGGGTATGTCTGTGTTTGAATAGGGTGTGAGCCTGTGACCTGGCCTAGGAACTAAGTATTTATCATTACAAAAGACTGGCCAGGCTCCCCAGGCAATCCAATCAAATAACCTGCCAGACAGGAGATAAACAAGGACAGGAGAAAAACAACATTCAAATTTCTGTTTTAGGCCGCCTTTTCTGTGATGTAGGTATGATGTATCTGGGGGGTGGTCTTAGGTTACACCCCTCCCTTCTGTGATGTATGTATGATTTTCTGGGGGTGGTCTTGATCTACAGGGTGGCAATTTCAAAAGTCCATATAAGGCCTTGCGTGCCATTGTTCTGGGTTCCTCCTCCTCTCCTGCGGTTGAGGGGAGCACCCTGTTGCAACAAATCAATAAAGATCAGGCTTACTAGCTGCTTTGCTTTTCAAAATTCTCTGGTTGGCCTCTGTTATTTTCTCCTACCAATAGGGAACCTATGTAAGGACTCTATATGGGCTCTTGGATACCCCATAAGGGAAAAAGGACAGATTTTTGTTTACAACAATAGGCAGCACCAGGTGGTCGAAATTTTTTGCCTCAACTATTTTGCACCCTGGGGCAACCGGCCTTACAACCCCCCCCCCAAATTACACCTCTGGATCTACCTTCGACGAATTATCCTTTTAAACTAAGCTAGGCTACTTACATGCCAAAAACCCTTTTCAAAGTGACAATGAAACACAGTTAAGATAATGAAATATTGCTCATGAGTGCATTGAAGAGCTAGACCAACACTCATAACCATTTGCCATAGATCACCAAAGAATGATTCTGATATACAATTCCAAATAGAAGCTACACCAATGTTCACTTTCCCAACTCATGCTGAATGCTCCTTTTCCCATTTCAAATCTTATTCGTGTACTTGGTATACAATTCTCCTACTGATGGTGGCATAATAGTTTTCTTCACTGAGTTCCTGGTATGAGAAGCAACACCAACACCAGGACCACTCAAACATCATGAACACACTCGTTCACTGGAACCCATTTATAAAACCTGATGGACCCTAGTTTGCAAAGCATCCTCAACACTTTTCCTTACCTGGCCAGGTGTCGGACAGACTTGTTTATGCCGTCGCCTGACAGAGCACTGCATTCATAGAAGATTAAATTGTAATCCTATAATAGAAAAGAAAAAAAGCATTGCTCACATCATTTAGCAACAAGCACCCTTGGGGACTAAATCTAAATTTATACATATATCTCAAGAATCTCATTCCACTGTAAAAGCATCCGCCGTCCCCTAAAATATATTTGTATTTATGTAACAGCCACTGTGACTTCCTTTATTGCTGCATCATGGCGGTTAGATTTTTAAAAATATAATTTTGCCACTGTAGTCATGTATTGCATTGAGACAATCACTTTTCATAATGAGATGATACACACCGATAGTTACATAATTTAAGGCCTGGATATGCTGGAAGAGATTTGCATATGGCCCTTTTGAAGGCTATCTAAATACCCCAACATTTCTTTTGGGTTTAGGAACGGGGAGAGCTCCTTCTGACACATTGATCAATAATACATCATTGGTACAGCGATACCTTGGTTCTCAAACGCCTTGGTTCCCAAACGCCAAAACCCAGAAGTTAAGTGTTCCAGTTTTCAAACTTTTTTTGAAGTCGAACGTCCGATGCAGCTGTCAGCTATTGTGTCCAGGGCGCCTGCACCAATCAGAAGCTGCGCCTTGGTTTTCAAACATTTCAGAAGTCAAACAGACTTCCAGAACAGATTAAGTTTGGCGCTTTTGTTTTAGCTATTTATTTTCCGTTTTTGTGGCTTTTTCAGTTAATTTGTTTTTGTGACTGTGTGAAACCCAGTTCAGCTACTGATTGATTGTGTGATTGAAGAAATTGATAAAAGCAATAATAAAATAAAATAATAAATAATAATAAAACAATAAAAACCAATAACTATTATTAGTGCAGAAAAGGGAAAAAAATGTAATTTTAATTTTTATCATCTACAACACTGTCTTATTTATTTCATTGTACAGTATTGATTGTTGCTTTCATTTTATGGCTCAATTGTCTCTTTAGATAGTAAAATTGATGTTAAATTGCTGTTTTCGGAGTTGTTTTTAAAAGTCTGGAACAGATTAATCCGTTTTGCATTACTTTCTATGGGAAAGCATGCCTTGGTTTTGGAACGCTTTGGTTTTGGAACAGACTTCCAGAACGGATTAATTTTGAGAACCAAGATACCACTATATAGGCTTCAAACCAGAATCACCCTTGTCCTGAGTGTTATTTTTTATTTTTGACTGCTAAGCTTACTCTGGAGTGTTTGGTGAGGAACATTGTCTAAAGCTCTTTGGAAGTCCAAGTACACAATGTCAACCAGATTACCTCTATCTGCTTGTTGACACTCTCAAAGAATTCTGATAAGTTTGTAAGATCTACAGGGGTTTTTCTCTTGCAGAAGTCAAGTTGGTTCTGCTTCAGTTGGGCTCATTCTTCGACGTGCTTAAAAGTAGTGCATAGCTTAATTTTGGTAGTATCCAGCTTTATATACTATGAGAGAGCTGTGACTTTCAGCTTTAAACCAAGGTGGAGGATGCAACTGCTGGTGCCAGGGATGAGGAGAAGTACCATATTTTTTGCTCTATAAGACTCACTTTTTCCCTCCTAAAAAGGAAGGGGAAATGTGTGTGCACCTTATGGAGCGAATGCAGGCTGCGCAGCTATCACAGAAGCCAGAACAGCAAGAGGGATTGCTGCTTTCACTGCACAGCAATCCCTCTTGCTGTTCTGGCTTCTGAGATTCAGAATATATTTTTTCTTGTTTTTCTCCTCCAAAAACTAGGTGCGTCTTGTGGTCTGGTGCGTCTTATAGAGCGAAAAATACGGTATTTTACTCCTCTTCTCTAGGGCCACAGGGCAAATTTGCAGCTGCCCATAGATTCCCATCCATCTATAGTGCCTTCTCGTCAAAAGGAAAGCTGTTCTTGTACCCAGGATCACGAAATCGATGTACTCAAAGAAAGGTGCTCCCTCACGAAGAGGATAAGTAAACCAGCTCTAATTGAAACAGGCAATTCAGAGGGATTTTTTCTTGAAACTTGATCATCACATTGTGAAAGCAAGCCCTTCTTCAATCGTAATGAGATAGCTTCAAAGGCCTCAGCTTAATGAGATATACAAAATCAAATATTTGACTTCATGCCACAGATGGGTAATATTCATTGACCTTGTTATCACAGAAGTTGTTCCCAAGAGGAACATGGAGGTTTTTTTTGTTAAGTGTACATTACTGGTTGTTTTTAGAACTGTATGTTCTTCATACTGTACCTTGGCTAAATGCTCTCCTAATCCCCTGGGGATTTCCCGTTCTTTTTCATTATCTGTTTTGTTCCCAAGCAAGAGGACAGGAATATTCTCCCCTGCTGCTTCCTATAAGACAATGAACAGCAGTTAAAATACGGGTTCTCTCCTGAAAGCATTGAAAGCTCATAGCCAGCACTGCAAGCAGACACAAAAATAAGTACACCAGACATTCCAGATATACCAGTACATTGTGGTTATAATATTCCGTTATAGATTATAAATGCCAAATTGATTTGTTAATAATATAATATGCCTTTTGCTGTAGTTGTTCTGTTTAGCTTATGTTTTAGTTGCTGTTTTGTTAATGGTGTTTTACAGATTGCTTTATTGATGGTTTGTTAATTATTTTGTATGATTTATGCTGTATTTGTGATGTTCTAATATGCTATTGTGATTTATTGTTTGTAAGCCACTTTGAAAGCTGGACCATAAAGAAGGCTGATTGCCGAAGAATTGATGCTTTTGAATGATGGTGCTGGAGGAGACTCTTGAGAGTCCCATGGACTGCAAGAAGATCAAACCTATCCATTCTGAAGGAAATCAGCCCTGAGTGCTCACTGGAAGGACAGATCGTGAAGCTGAGGCTCCAATATTTTGGCCACCTCATGAGAAGAGAAGACTCCCTGGAAAAGACCCTGATGTTGGGAAAGATAGAGGGCACAAGGAGAAGGGGACAACAGAGGACGAGATGGTTGGATAGTGTTCTGGAAGCTACCAGCATGAGTTTGACCAAACTGCGGGAGGCAGTGTAAGACAGGAGTGCCTGGTGTGCTCTGGTCCATGGGGTCACGGAGAGTCGGACACAACTAAACGATTAAACAACAATAACAACAAGCCACTTTGAGAGTAATTTGAGTGGAAAGTGGCATAGTAATACAATTAATCAACCACATCCCTATTTTAACTACGTACACATTACAGTGGTGCCTCGCAAGACGAAATTAATCCGTTCCGCGAGAGTCTTCGTCTAGCGATTTTTTCGTCTTGCGAAGCAACCCTATTAGCGGCTTAACGGATTAGCGCTATTAGCGGTTTAGCGGCTATTAAAGGCTTAAAGGCTTAGGGGATTAGCTGCTAAAAGGCTATTAAAGGCTATTAAAGTCTTAGCAGATTAGATAAAGGGGGGGGAAAGCGAAAAAAAAATCTCAAGACTCGCAAGACATTTTCGTCTTGCGAAGCAAGCCCCTAGGGGAATTCGTCCTGCGAAGCAACTCCAAAACGGAAAACCCTTTCGTCTAGCGGTTTTTCCGTCTTGCGAGGCATTCGTCTTGCGGGGCACCACTGTAGTGGTTTTAAACAAACCACTGCGTTTACAGTGCTTTTTTTATGTTGCTGTTCACACCAGAGAGGTGTGTGTGGATGACCCCCATGCTGAACTCCAAATTACTGATGCTGTCATTCACACGCCCAAGAGCTGCCTGAATTGTACGCATCTCGGCTTAACCGTGGCTTCTGTTTTCTAACTGAATGTAAGCTTGTTTGAGGGAAAGCACACCAAACAAGAGCATTTCTCAAGAAGAGACAGGATAACCTTGGATTGTGGCTAATGTCCTGTTTCAAACACAAGCAGTAGAAGTGCGTGGGGGCCAGGGTAAAGGTAAAAGGTAAAGGACCCCTGGACCATAGCTGTCAACTGTCCCTTATTTGGCGGGAAAGTCCCTTATCCCAGCGCTGTGTCCCGCTGCCGTCCCTTATTGATGATGCCCCTTAAATATCCCAGGTTTCAAAGGAAGCAGCTCATCTCCCTCCCTCCCTGCCGGCCAGGGAGGAGGGAGGCTCCAACTGTGTTGCTTGGCTGCGTTGCTCACCCAATAAGGAGTCTAAGAACGACTGGGGCGTGGAGCTTGCATGCCTTGTGCCGATCAAATCGGCCGCGTTGCCTGGGGACTCGCCTTTGCTCAGCGCTTCCCAGCGGAGAGGTGACGGTGGTTTTCCTTGCTGCATCCCCTTTGCTGGGTTGCTGCGCTGTGGGAACCACCGCTTGAGGCTTCGTTTGGCTGCTGGCTGGGCTTTCTGCCTTTGGCTCAGAGGGGCTCAGAAGTTGAACATACCTGCACCCGGAAAATCCCTTATTTTGGCTGCTGATCCCTTATTTTTGAGGCTGCTGGTCCCTTATTTTCAAATCTGTAAGTTGACAGCTATGCCCTGGATGGTTAAGTCCAGTCAAAGGCGACTATGGGGTTGTGGCGCTCATCTCGCTTTCAGGCCGAGGGAGCCGACGTTTGTCCGCAGACAGCTTTCCGGGTCATGTGGCCAGCATGACTAAACCACTTCTGGCGCAATGGGACACCGTGATGGAAGCCAGAGCGCACAGAAACACTGTTTACCTTCCTGTTGCAGCGGTACCTATTTATTTGCTTGCACTGGCGTGCTTTCGAGCTGCTAGGACAGAGCAATGGGAGCTCACCCCATTGTGGGGATTCAAACCGCCAACCTTCTGACTGGCAAGCCCAAGAGGCTCAGTGGTTTAGATCACAGTGCCACCCGCATCCCTGGAGCCGGTGTAAGCAGTAATGTGCTCACACTCTCAGTCCTTCTTACCTCAATGCTCACTAACCATTGCTTCACAGCTGTGAACGACTCTTTTGCTGTTATGTCATACATCACAACCACTCCGTCAGCTTTTCGAAAGAACTGCTTGGTGATGCTGCGGTACCTGCAAATCAGTTCTCTTTATGAATCTTCTGTCATTAGCACCAAAAACATACAGCAGATAAAGCCAACAGAACAACAAGCCTAGAAAACAGATGATATGACCATACAGTAGTACCTTGGGTTACATACGTTTCAGGTTACACACTCCACTAACCCAGAATTAGTGCTTCAGGTTAAGAACTTTGCTTCAGGATAAGAACAGAAATCGTGCTCCGGCGGCGTGGCGACACCAGGAGGCCCCATTAGCTAAAGTGGTGCTTCAGGTTAAGAACAGTTTCAGGTTAAGAATGGACCTCCGGAACGAATTAAGTACTTAATCCGAGGTACCACTGTATAGGGTGACCCCAAGGTTGCAGGATATGACCACAATTCACAGCAGGGCATAGCATATATTCAGTTTCTCACCCCTGGCATAAGGGTTATTGGACTGCTACAGGTAGAAACCATCAGCGAGCAGAGAGGCAAGAATTTTAACTCCTTTAACTGAGGCATCCCCAAACTTGGCCCTCCAGCTGTTTTGGGACTACAATTCCCATCATCCCTGACCACTGGTCCTGTTAGCTCGGGATGTACATTTTATTTTATTTTGTTGCTATGGTTAGTGGCTGATGCAAATAAAGATTCTTCAACTGCCCCCACCTTAGCCCTCCAGCAGACCCCCATGCCTGGCTCGAATAAATAAAGGGCAGCCCTGCCAGTGTCGTAGAAGGACGTAAGGGCATTTTCTCACCTTTCTTGCCCAGCAGTGTCCCAGAACTGCAGCAGTACTTGGTGGTTATCCACTGCCACCATTTTTACACTGTAATCCACACCTGTAAAGGAACACAGCTTAGATTATCTCCAGGTGTGTGTGTGTGGGGGGGGACAGGACCTACAGCCTGCAGGCCAGTCTTGAACCACAAGGGAATCCAATTTGCCTTGCCAGGCTGTTCCCCTCAAACCACACCCACCTTTCCATCAGTTGACGTCACTAAAGGTATAATTCAGGAAACTTTTTCAGCAGGGGGTTGGTCCACTGTCCCTCAGACGTTGTGGGGGGCTGGACTATATTTTTGGGGGGGATGAATGAATTTCTGTGCCCCACAAATAACCCAGAGATGCATTTTAAATAAAAGAACACATTCTACTCATGTAAAAACACGCTGATTCCCGGATCATCCGTGGGCCGGATTTAGAAGGCGATTGGGCTGGATCTGGCCCCCGGGCCTTAGGTTGCCTACCCATGGTATAATTAGAAACAATTCCAAAGAAATGAGACACAGCTTTTAAAAAGCCAGTGTTTAGCGAGGACTGAAAATACAAGGACACGTATAAACAATGGAAATAAGTGCGGGTCACCAAGTCTGGATATATACGAGCAGCCCAGACAAATGTGATTTGTGTGTTCTTTTTTCCTTTAACTTACTTACCGACTGTAGCAGCAGTGCCTGGGAAAAAATGGTCTTCGCAAAAACGCCTTAAAAAGGAAGTCTTCCCCACACTTGAATTGCCTACGATGACAATCTTGAATAAACCATTTGGAGCAAAGCACCCTTGTTCATCCTTCAAACAAACACAAGTGCAAATTGTTCAGTAAGCTGCACTGCACCTACTGCTAAATCATTTTGCTTTTTGAGGTGAGGAGATATTTAGAAATAAAATATCTATTTATTTAATACATTTATATCCATTCTTCAGTACTATGGGCTGGACCCAGAATAAATAAGGTAAATTTTGGTTCCACTTACATCAATTGATAGCAATAGCTTTTCTAATTGATTTCAGTCACACCCAAGGGCAACTAACGTAAGTCTGATAGTATTTCAAAGTTGGCTTATATAATTCAAATAAACAATAATAAAAAACCCAACACGCTGTGCTCATTGCAAGAGACTCATGACATCAAAAGATAAAAACAATACAGTCTTCTTGTAGGCAGCTGAAAGCTTATCTCCTCATCTTGTAAGAAAGCTGGCCAGTGAGATAAATTTTAATCCCTGTGTTAGAGAGTTTTATAATTTGCTCTTTTCAAGCCAGCTACATTACAGAAATCAACTAAATAATAAAAATCCAAAAGCTTAAGAAAAAAATTAGAAAAACCTAAAATAGAACAAAGCCTTAACGGGATGCCGGCTAGAAACCTCGTTTCACTGAACTATTCAGTTTCCTCAGGAGGGAATAGAAAAATCATAAACTTTAAATGACCAAAATTCAAACAAGGGTAGAAACCCAAAAATTCTGACATATTATAATCCAAAAATTCTGACATATTATAATTATAATTAGGTTTTTCTAATTTTTTCCTTAAGCTTTTTGATTTTTATTATTTCGTTGATTTCCACAAGATAATATTTATAGTCGGTTAGTTCTTGTGTCAGGGATTTTTCATGGTATTTCATTTGTTTTGTGCAATTTCTCAGTTCTGTGACTGTCTTTTTTCTATTAGCTACATTACAGAAGGCAGAGTGTTGAGGAGTGAATCTGTCTCCTACCGTTCTTCATATCCCAGTAAAGAGCCCTCTAGCTCAACAACTACAATCAGGGGTGCCAGATTTGATGAGGTGAACATGTGTGAGGGCCGACCAAAGTTGTTGACCTAAAAGTTGTTGAGCTTTTTAGGATTTTACCCCAAGAGATAGACTGCCACGGGGACTGAATTAGTCCCTTGAAACGGTCTTTGGACATGCCTGAAGCAGCCCCACTCCCCATTTGGGATTGCTCGGTCCATATTTCACTATGTGCACTGGAGGCAAAATGCAAGCACATACAGAAGGTGGAAAAAGCAATGAGGGGATCACCTATCTTGGACCTAGTCCTCACCAACAGGGAGGAACCGATCGACAAAGTGGAAGTACTCAGAAACCTGGGAGGAAGCAATCACGCCCTCCTGGGTGAAATAGAGGCAAGGGAAAAGTCTTTTTAAAGGGAGAGGTCCATACCTATGTGTTTGAAGGTGCTCTGTTATTATTCTAGGACATTCAGGTATTCTAGGACATTCAGATGTCCGCAATCTGTTAGAAATTGTGCACTTTGATTTTCAAAAAGATTTTAATAAAGACTCCTGAGTTTAGCAGATATAAGATAAGAGGGCAGGTCAATGATGGACCAGTAAGTGCCTGAAGAACAGTGAGCAGGAATAAACGCACAGTTCTCACGCTGAACCAATGCTTTTTAACTTGTTCTTAAATGAGCGGGAGCTAGGGAAGAGCAGTGAGGTGGCTAAGTTTGCTGGTGACACCAAATTGTTCAGAGTGGTAAAGTAATAATAAAGTGAAGCACATTGGAACAATAAATCAATCTTAAATTCACATGCACATTAATGAGGTCTAAATTAACAGCGACTGACTAGGAGCCATACAGGATAGCTCAATGAAAACATCACGCCAATATGTGGTGGTTGTGAAAAGGGTGAATTCCCTACTTGGGGTCATTCAGAAAGGGATTAAAAAAATTTAACCCATTATAATGCCATTAAACAAATCGACACGTGAAAAACTAGGTACAGTTCTGTTGCCACGCTTTGCGGGATACTGAAGGGCAACGGAAATTATCTTGGGGTGGAACAGCTGCCTATGAAGAATGGTAAACATATTCAGGTCTTTTTAATTTAGAAAAAAGGACACGATAGAAGTGTATAAAATCATGCATGGTGCAGAGAAAATGGATGGATGAAACTTTCAGTCTAACAGAACTCAGAGCCATCCAGTGAAGTTGAATATTGGGAGATTTGGGATACACAAAAAGAAGTACCATATTTTTTGCTCTATAAGACTCACTTTTTCCCTCCTAAAAAGTAAGGGGAAATGTGTGTGCGTCTTATGGAGCGAATGCAGGCTGCGCAGCTATCACAGAGGGATTGCTGCTTTCACTGCACAGCGATCCCTCTTGCTGTTCTGGCTTCTGAGATTCAGAATATTTTTTTCCTTGTTTTCCTCCTCCAAAAACTAGGTGTGTCTTGTGGTCTGGTGCTTCTTATAGAGCGAAAAATACAGTATTTGTTCACACAGTGCAGAGGTAAACTATGGAATTTGATTCCAGAAAAAGTTATGATGGCCAACCACTAGGATGGCTTTAAAGGAGGATTAGACAAAACTAACCCAAATTGCCACTGCTATGCCTCCAGCTACGATTGTGCAGCAGCTCTGCTGTCTAATACGTGTTGTAATACAGTACTCAACATGGTGCCCTCCAGATCTCTTGGACTACAGCTCCCATAATCCACAAGTGTTGGCCGGATTAGCTGGGGCTGAGGGGAATTTCCCAAACAAGGAGAAAGAACCACATTGGTTCTCCCTGCTGTATCCTCAATACACACTCACTATGATCTTTTTGCTGTTGACACAGCTCAAATAGGCTTAATAGTGGGAAAAGTGGGATAGATATAAAACATATGTTCAAAAATACAGTAAAGGTTCGCTATCTATGCTAGCATTTGATTGACGTTGGAGTGAGACTGAGTTGAGAAATAAGACTAAGAGCACATATTGATATAGGAATGTATTAGATAAAATGTAAAGAAATATGCAATAATAAGAGTACGTTCATTTGTAAAAAAGGAATATACAACAGGATAGACAGGAAGTCTAGTGTGTTGGTATGCATATGATTTTGGGAGGGAAATTGTTTTTGTTTTTTCTCTTTGTTCTTTTTTTGTTTGTTTGTTTCATTTTCTTTCTAGGTATATAAAATTTGTATATCATTTTTGTATACATGTTGGAAATTATATTATAGTAAGTCCTGTAATGTAATACGCCAATGTTTACCGATGTAATATAAGAATGTTAACAAATAAATAAAATGCAAATTCAAAAAAACAAAAACAATAAAACAAATAGAAACTCCAGCGGGTGCAGAATGCTGCAGCGAGGCTCCTCACAGGGTCTCTGCCATGGGGACATATTCACCCAGTGCTTTTTCAGCTGCACTGGCTCCCGGTGGAGTACAGGGTCAGATTTAAGGTGCTGCTTTTGACCTTTAAAGCCCTTCACGGCCTAGGATCCTCGTACCTATGGGACCGCCTCTCCCAGTATGCCCCACGGAGAGCCTCAAGGTCCATAAATAACAACATCCTAGTGGTCCTGGGCCCTAAGGAAGTTAGATTAGCTTCAACCAGAGCCAGGGCCTTTTCAGCACTGGCCCCGGCCTGGTGGAACGCTCTGCCTCATGAGACCAGGGCCCTGCAGGATCTGATTTCTTTCCGCAGGGCCTGTAAGACAGAGTTGTTCCGCCTGGCCTTTGGCTTGGAGCCAATTTGATTCCCTCCCTCTCTTTCTTTTTTCCTTTCTCCTCCTGTGATGAGGCTGCATTTTAATGTTTCAATGTTTTAATGTTGTATTTTAATCTTGTTTTTAAGTTGTATTCATTCAACTTGTTTTTATTATTGCTTGTTAGCCGCCCTGAGCCCGACCGTGGCTGGGGAGGGCGGGGTATAAATAAAAAATATTATTATTATTATTAGTAGTAGTAGTAGTATTATTGTAATGCACACAGCGGAGATAGCCATAAATTAGCCAAAATCCACCTTCAAAATAAAAACAATGCGGTTCTGTTTCTTACATTTGCTAGTGTTTCTTTCCCTACTGGTTGCCCCCTGGGAAAGGAAGGTGTTTGTTCAGATGGTGATTCTGTTTGGATCTCATTCATTTCCAGTTCTGGCAAGTTAGTTTCATCTTCTTCAGACCATTTGGTTAGCGTCCTCTCTCCCGGTCTATTTAGAAGCTGGGGCAGGTGATCTTCTTCAATTGATATTAGTCTTTGTAGAGGCCTTCTTTGAGTCAGTCCCTCACCAGCAGCAGAATCAGAATCAAATGAAAGATACCCGTTCAAACCAGTGGAATTTTTTCTCCTTTCAGTGTTAAATGTATCGTCGTCTTCTGAAGACTGGCTAGAAAAAGCATTATGAAACATAACGTATTTTAAACTCTCTATACCACATCTCTGTATCATTTAAACTCTCTGTAACACATCTCTGTATCACGTTGGATGTCTGTACAAATTTAATTCGGAACTTTGAATTTGAAATTTGGGTTCATATTTTGAATATGTTTTGAATATGAACCCTATCTGAACAGGACAGCAAAGAAATATAAAAGCAATCTATATTTCTGTATGGAGAAAAACTATATAGATGCAGGAAATAAATAGTTCAATAAAGAACTATTTCTTGCACTCATCTGAATAGTATCTAACTACAGTACATTCTGCACCCTACATTAAGAATAAATGTGCACAATAGCAAAACTAGGACCTTACCTTTTTGGCAAAACCTTTTTCTCCATATATTTGCCAATGATCGAGCCTGATCTTTCTTTGCACCTTGCGGTTGGAACATTCTTACATTTCTGTAGAAATATTATAGAAACTGCCTCAAAACGAGTTACATAAAATGGCAGACTCAACACTATTTTCAGAGCAGTATACTCCTGTGAAGGGACGCGGGTGGTGCTGTGGGTTAAACCACAGAGCCTAGGACTTGCCGATCAGAAGGTTGGCGGTTCGAATCCCTGCGACGGGGTGAGCTCCCGTTGCTCAGTCCCTGCTCCTGCCAGCCTAGCAGTTCGAAAGCATGTCAAAGTGCAAGTAGATAAATAGGTACCGCTCCGGTGGGAAGGTAAACGGTGTTTCCGTGTGCTGCTCTGGTTTCGCCAGAAGCGGCTTAGTTATGCTGGCCACATGACCCGGGAGCTGTCTGCGGACAAACGCCGGCTCCCTCGGCCTATAGAGCGAGATGAGCGCCGCAACCCCAGAGTCGGCCACAACTGGACCTAATGGTCAGGGGTCCCTTTACCTGTTTATACTCCTATTAAGGTGTCATTTAAACAGTGCATGAGGAGGGGTGGAACTGTACAAGCATCCTACTGTGCTCCTGTGGGACAGCCATTCATTTCAATGGCATTTGCACATGAGAACTTTCCATAAATTGTGTTCTGGATCTACATCAGCAAGGAAACTTCCCTGTCTCTTGGTCCACCCCTTAGCTAGTTAACAAAAGATGTTCTGTTAGGGCTAGATTTGGGGGCAAATGTTCTTGTATGTACCCTAGAAAGGCCTGGGGATATCAACCTTTGGAATATCTGGGCACCAAGAGGAAATGGAAACGGCATTTCAACCACATGAGCATTAAAGGCACCAAGATGGGACTGGCTGCAGGGAAGGAGGTGAAAACAGAAAACCAAAAGTGGGATTGGGAATAATCAGAAAAACAAATATGCGCCAGAAGCATTTTTACTTGGTATTATAGGTCAGGACATTAATAGGAAAGATGTTAAATTGTTTTTATATGCAACAACTGCGGCAAGAGTACTGTTAGCTCAGAAATGGGAACAAGAAGAAATTCCGACGAAAGAAGAATGGCAGATGAAATTAATGGACTATGCAGAATTGGACAAAATGACAGGAAGGATTCGAAACCTGCGGGACCAGAGATTTACAGAAGATTGGAAGAAGTATATGAATTATTTGAAGAGCAACTGTAATCAACAAATTACGCTAGTAGGACTACAAGAAGTTTTGTAAGGAGAAATATACGAAGTGTTACAAAGTAGAAAAAGATAGAGATATTGGTTATGAGTTTGAAATGTAATAGGGAAGATAAGAAATGCAGACTGAGAGATTAAATTGGAGAATTTTCAGACAGGTTTGATGGAAGTCAAAAATTTGAATAAGATGTAAAAGTAGGTTTAATTACTGTTGAAAATGATATGTTAAAAAAACTAATAAAAAATTATATATATATAAAAAAATAAAAATAAATATGCAAGGATCTTTGGAAGAGAGGAGCTTGTGCCCAAATTGTTGCCTCCTGTAGATTGATAAGACACCAATGTCCCAAATCATGTGAAAGTACAGTAGTTTTCCGTGTCTAAGACGATGTTTTTTTATTATAAAATAATGTTTAAAATTGGGGGGCATCTTATACATGGATAGTGCAGAGGGGGGACAGGCGATTGGTTGCAGCCCTGAGCAGGAGATGGTCAGCGGCGATTGGTGGCTGTGGCAAGGGCTGCTGTCGATTGGCTGCTGTGGCAGCAATTGGGCAGGTGATTGGTGGCTTCAACAACGCGTGCGATTGGCAGCGTCGGTCAGGTGGGTGATCGATTTTCGGCAACCAAAAAAGGCTCAACAACTCTGGGCAATCTCCCCCCATTTAATTTAGAGTCCCCAAAAATAGGGATCGTCTTATACACAGGGGCGTGTTATACACGGAAAAATACGGTATTATATTTGGGTTTTGATTATGTTGTTAGCACTTGTGGTAAAAGTGGGTGCAAATAAGTTTGGCGATGATGAATGTGCACATTTGTAAATCAGGAACACAGGAAGTTGCCATCTACAAAGTCCGGCAACTGGTCCATCTGGCTGAGAACAGACAGGCAACAACTTGCCAGGGATTCTTGCAGGAAACTGTCCTAGCCCCACTTGCAAATGTCAGGATTTGTCCATCTGGCTCACAACAGACAGGCAACAACTTGCCAGGGATTCTTGCAGAAAACTGTCCTAGCCCCACTTGCAAATGTCGTGATTTGAATTTGGGACCTTCTGCATGCACAGAAGGTGCTCTTCCACTTAACTACAGAGGTGTGTCACCACAATATAGTTAAGAATCTGTCAAGGCTAAGAAAAAAAACACACGTTTTATGAGAAGGTAGTCTGGGGCTGCCCACTCACCTGTAAACATTCGTCGTGTTCATCTCTCAGATATTTGTTCCTTTCTCTGCAGTGGTGGGGCACGAAAAGAAAGGAAAACAACGTATAACTTACAACATATCCTCCAACTCTGCCCGCTTATCAGTGGGGGAGTCCAGTGTGTTAAGAAATTGATATGGTATTGTGGTAAGAAAGCTGAGAGGATATTAAACCAAACCTTATTACAGGGGAATCCCACCTTACACGGTGATTCTGTTCTGCAGGATGTACACAAGTCCAGTCCAGTTTGCCCCACCCTGCTCCACCCCCTTTCAACGCTGAGAATGGCATGCATGTGAGCAGTCATACCCATGTTGATTGCATGCGAGTGGGGAGTTGCCTGTACAGTGGTGCCTCGCAAGACGAAATTAATCCGTTCCGCGAGAGTCTTCGTCTAGCGGTTTTTTCGTCTTGCGAAGCAAGCCCATTGACGGATTAGCGCTATTAGCACTATTAGCGGTTTAGCGGCTATTAAAGGCTTAAAGGCTTAGGGGATTAGCTGCTAAAAGGCTATTAAAGGCTATTAAAGGCTTAGCAGATTAGATAAAGGGGGGGGAAAGCGAAAAAAATCTCAAGACTCGCAAGACATTTTCGTCTTGCGAAGCAAGCCCATAGGGGAATTTGTCCTGCGAAGCAACTCCAAAACGGAAAACCCTTTCGTCTAGCGGTTTTTCCGTCTTGCGAGGCATTCGTCTTGCGGGGCACCACTGTATTGAGGTTTTATAATATTTGCTCTGCTTCCCGCTGCTGGCAGGGGTGGATTTGCCGCACCTTATTTTCTTACCTTAAAAAGTCCAGCTGCCTAAGGAGCCCTGACTTCTCCCTCTGTAGCATTTCTGTCACTCTGTAAACCTCACTGAAGGAGACAAATAAAAACCATCACAATAAAACCTAGCAATAACAACCATTCTTAGAGAACTGGGATCTGTGTTCTGGATTTAGTGTTGGGGTTTTCGTAACAATAACTGGCAACCTCAGGGACGCAGGTGGCTCTGTGGTCTAAACCACTGAGCCTTGGGCTTGCAGATCAAAAGTAGGCGGTTCGAATCCCCGTGAGGGGTGAGCTCCTGTTGCTCGGTCCCAGCTCCTGCCAACCTAGCAGTCTGAAAGCACGCCAAAAAGTGCAAGTAGATTAATAGGTACCACTCTGGCAGGAAGGTAAACGGCATTTCCGTGCACTGCTTTGGTGTCTGTGATCCGTTGCGCCAGAAGCAGCTTAGTCATGCTGGCCACATGACGCGGAAAAACTGTCTGCGGAGCAGACAAACGCCAGCTTCGTTCGCAACTGGACTTAACTGTCAGGGGTCCCTTTACCTTTAACCAGCAACCTTAATACAGTGGATGCTCAGGTAGCAAATGTTATCCGTGTGGGATGCACGTTCGCAACCTGCAGCTTTCGCAACCTGCAGCAGCGCGTCTGCGCACACGCAGGTTGCAATTCGGCGCTTCTGCGCATGTTCAAAGCGCGATATAGCGCTTCTGTGCATGCGCGACCGCCGAAACCCAGAAGTAACCTGTTCTGGTACTTCCGGGTTTCGGTGGGTCCGTAACCCAAAAAAACGCAACCTGAAGCGTCTGTAACCCGAGGTATGACTGTAATTCCTTTTTTTTTTTAATGCATACTTAACTATATGGGCTTCTTTTAAATAATTTGAGACAAACATCATAGAATTGCAGAGTTGGAAGGGTCATTATTTCTCTCAACATTCTCGTACAGTTCAGAATGAGTCTGTTTCTCTGACTTTCAACTCCAGGTACTAGACACAAATGTCTGCTTACCCAGATTGGAGAACTGAGCCAAAACTAACAAACTGAATTACGTACATCAGGGACAAATTAGGTTCTACACTTATGTCGGGAATAACCAGCTGTACAAATATAAGATGGGGGACATCTGACTTGCTGGGTGTCACACTATTGATTCATGTTAAGCTTGTGATCTAGGGGTTTGAGTAGATGCAGCACCAAAGAAAGGGTAATGCTATTCTAGGCTACATCAACAGACGTAGAGTGTCCCAATCAAGGGGAGTAATTGTCCCACTCTATTTTGCCTTGGTCGGACCACACCTAGAATCCTGTGTCCAGTTCTGTGTGCCACAATGTAAGGAGGAGATTGACAAGCTGGAATGTGTGTAGAGGAGGGTGACCAAGATGATCCAAGTCCTGGAAACCAAGCCTTATGGGGAACAGTTGAGGGAGTTGGGTTTGTTTAACTGAGAGGAGGCATGGTAGTCATCTTCAAATATCTAAAGGGCTGTCCCATGGAACATGCAGCCCATTGTGTAAATAATGTATATAAAGCAGATATTGTGGGGGAACTTCCATTCCTCCTCACCACTATGAGCTGAATAAAGAGCATGAAATCCACTCTCAACTATTTCAGACACATTCAGCTGTATTCCAGTTCTGGGAATCACTCACATTTCCTTTTCTTCCTGCAGTTTTTTGGCCTCATCCTGGAGCATCTGCAAGTGCTGCTGAGCAATGAGGAGCTCCTGGGATGTTCTCTCCAGTTCTTCCAGCAGCTCTTTGTTTGTAAGTTTCAGCTTGGTATTTTCTACTTTGGTCTCCTGCTTGTCATTGTGCAGCTCTTTAAATTGTCCCTCTAACTGGGTGGGAAAGAAAACAAACAAAAAAATGTATTTTAAAAGTCAATCAAGTTCATTTTTTAATTGAATGGATTGGGAACAGCAATCATAGTGCTATTAAATTTGTTTATGTGTGTGTATGCAAATTATTTCTTAAAGAAATGGGAGTGCCTGATCACCTCATCTGTCTCCTGAGAAATCTCTATGTGGGACAAGAAGCTACAGTTAGAACTGGATATGGAACAACTGATTGGTTCAAAATTGGGAAAGGAGTACGACAAGGCTGTATATTGTCTCCTGCTTATTTAACTTATATGCAGAATTCATCATGCGAAAGGCTGGGCTGGATGAATCCCAAGCCGCAATTAAGATTGCCGGAAGAAATATCAACAACCTCAGATATGCAGATGACACAACCTTGATGGCAGAAAGTGAGGAGGAATTAAAGAACCTTTTAATGAGGGTGAAAGAGGAGAACGCAAAATATGGTCTGAAGCTCTACATCAAAAAAGTAAGATCATGGCCACCGGTTCCATCACCTCCTGGCAAATAGAAGGGGAAGAAATGGCAGTGAGAGATTTTACTTTCTTGGGCTCCATGATCACTGCAGATGGTGACAGCAGTCACAAAATTAAAAGACGCCTGCTTCTTGGGAGAAAAGCAATGACAAACCTAGACAGCATCTTAAAAAGCAGAGACATCACCTTGCCAACAAAGGTCCGTATAGTTAAAGCTATGGTTTTCCCAGTACTGATGTATGGAAGTGAGAGCTGGACCATAAAGAACGGTGATCGCCAAAGAGTTGATGCTTTTGAATTATGGTGCTGGAGGAGACTCTTGAGAGTCCCATGGACTGCAAGAAGATGAAACCTATCCATTCTGAAGGAAATCAGCCCTGAGTGCTCACTGGAAGGATAGATCCTGAAGCTGAGGCTCCAATACTTTGGTCACCTCATGAGAAGAGAAGACTCCCTAGAAAAGACCCTGATGTTGGGAAAGATGGAGGGCACAAGGAGAAGGGGACGACAGAGGATGAGATGGTTGGACAGTGTTCTCGAAGCTACCAGCATGAGTTTGACCAAACTGCGGGAGGCAGTGGAAGACAGGAGTGCCTGGCGTGCTCTGGTCCATGGGGTCAAGAAGAGTCGGACACGACTAAACGACTAAACAACAACAACAAATGCAAATTATGATGAAAATCTAACATGGTCACACTTGACTTCATAAGAGGAAACTTTGCGCAAATGAAGTGATTGGAAAAGAAAGGAACAGAAAAGCCAAGGGAGTCAAATCTCTCCAGAATGCTAGGGAGCTGTTTAAAAACACAGTATTAAAAGTTCAGCTGAAAGTATAATGCATGTCAGGAAAGCAACCCAGAGACAAAAAGATCCTAGTGTGCTTAACAACTAAAGTCAAAGAAGCTATTAGAGGCAAGAAAACTTCCTTTGGGAAATGGAAGTATTGTTCATACGAGAACAAAAAGAAACAAAGTTTTACGTTAGATGGCAGCTGCTTTCATTCTGACTTGGCTTTGTCACAATCAGTGCTGTTTCTGTTCGACTGCAGTTCAGTTTCTGCTAAATACTAAGTTATTCATCTTGCTGTCAGCTATTTAACATAGGTCACGCAAGTTATGCTCCTTATTTACATAACTTATGTAACTTATATTCATGTCAGGTTAAAGAAAAAATCAAAACACTGAAAAAAGAAACCATTGGATACGTATCAGGAACGCACTCTTTCAAAGATAGCTGCAAACAGATGAAGACAGAACAGCACAAAGCAGCCTCTTGATGATTTAGGACGTCAGAGCTGCTTTACCAAGAAAGCAAAAAACAAAATGGTATCCTGCTGTAATAAATACAATTACAATTCTCTCACTCGCATGTCAAGTTTTGCCAAGCAAGCAAGCAAACAAACAAAACTTTCTCTGTATCTGCATCTCACTTACTCTTTTCTGTTTCTGAGCCAGTTGTTCCAGTTCCTGCTCTTTTGCTGTAAGCTTATGCTCCAGATCCTGACTTCGGGACTGAAACCTTTCTGTGTCCTGTAAAATTAGAAAAAAATATTGTTAAGAGCACCAGGGTATTAATTAAGAAGTCTAGGCATGTGATCATGTTCCCAGTATTCAATGTGTATATTATAACCACTTTTTGCCCGTTTAATAATGCATTCTTTGTTGAAATTTGAAATGCAAGAAGAACACATTAAATGGTTATAAATTTTTGCAATAACATATTCGTCATCTGTACACAGTTGGTTTCGAAATATCATTTTCTGTTCTATACCAAAGGTCTTTTTATCCAACTTAAATCTCTCTGTTAATTGTAAATGAGAAAAAAACAATTGAAGGCCATAAACTGCTATTAACTGTTTCCTTGTTTTAATTTTACAGTCTCTTTGACTCCGCTCTAATAACTCTTGATAAGTTAACCATTTCTCTTTGCCTGTTTCCTCTTTTCTAGGAAACGGTTCTTGTGTTGAAATCCATAAGGGTAATCTTTGCACATAACCTATATTTATTTCTAGTCCAAATTCTTAATATGGTGTTGTTGTTGTTGTTTAGTCATTTAGTCGTGTCCGACTCTTCGTGACCCCATGGACCAGAGCACGCCAGGCACTCCTGTCTTCCACTGCCTCCCGCAGTTTGGTCAAACACATGCTGGTAGCTTCGAGAACACTGTCCAACCATCTCGTCCTCTGTCGTCCCCTTCTCCTTGTGCCCTCCATCTTTCCCAACATCAGGGTCTTTTCTAGGGAGTCTTCTCTTCTCATGAGGTGGCCAAAGTATTGGCGCCTCAGCTTCAGGATCTGTCCTTCCAGTGAGCACTCAGGGCTGATCTCCTTAAGAATGGATACGTTTGATCTTCTTGCAGTCCATGGGACTCTCAAGAGTCTCCTCCTGCACCATAATTCAAAAGCATCAATTCTTCGGCGATCAGCCTTCTTTATGGTCCAGCTCTCACTTCCATACATCACTACTGGGAAAGCCATGGCTTAATATGGTACATCTAACAAAATGATTTTTGAAGTCCACATTAACTTTGACTTTATCATATCACACGCATATTGTACAAGAATATGAGCAAGGGTTGTGTGCATTAAATATCAGCTTACTTCACTTTGCATGGGTTTTTTGTTGTCTGTTCTCCCTACTTGAGATAAATCATTTAAATCAGTGTCTCATATCTCTATGTCTATGCTCTTTGGTTCAAATGAACTTGTGTCTTCACTCTTCTTATTTTTTTAAAACATATTTTTATTAAAGATTTCTTGGTTTACAAAAGTATGTGCAATGTCTCTTTTTTCAAGTTACATTTTCTACAGATCAGTTTCATTTGCTGAGACATTAGTGTTACATTAGGAAGAAAAGGCGGAAAGGTGGAGGGGGTCGTGGTGAGTGGGGGTGCGGTGGTGATGTTTCAATTCTACTTAATGTATGTGTGGAGTTTTGTGTCAGCGTCGCTTGTGTGGGTTCTCTTTACTATTTGCTTGTGTTCCTTTGGTGGTGAGAGAGGTTGGGGTTGGACTAGGGTGTGGTTGTTTGTTTGTGACTGGCTGTGGTGAACTTTGTTTGCATGTGTGAGTGGGGTGGGTGGGTGTTTTTGAGTCAGGTCAGCCATATTGATTTGTATACTGTTGGTGGATTCTTGTCGTTGTCTTGTTGGGCTGTGTATTTGATAAAGGGGAGCCATACCGGGGTGAAGGTGTCTTCTTCGATTTGTGCCAGTGTCAGTTTCAGTTTATTGGTTAATTTTTCTAGTAGGGCTGTTTCCCATACTATTTGGTACCATTGGTCCATGTTGACTCCTGACAGGTTTCTCCAGTGTCTGGCTATGATGCTTCTGGCTGCTGAGAGTAGGTGGGTTATGTGCTCTTTGTGATGTGAGTGGGCATTATAATCTTGGAAGATGTTTAGTAGGGCCAGTTCTGGGGTGACTTCTAATACTTGCTTAGTTATTTTACATACCGTATTTTTCGCCCTATGGGACGCACTTTTTCCCCTCCAAAAATGAAGGGGAAATGTGTGTGCGTCCTATGGGGCGAATGCAGGCTTTCGCTGAAGCCTGGAGAGCGAGAGGGGTCGGTGCGCACCGACCCCTCTCGCTCTCCAGGCTTCAGGAAGCTATCCGCTAGCCGTGGGAGACCCAGCTCTCGCACGGTTAGCGGAGACCTTGCCGGCACCCAGAAGCTTGGGGCGCGCTGAGCTCCGCACACCCCAAGCTTCGGGATTAGCGCAGCACGCGGCTCTCCCACAGCTAGCGGAGACCTTGCCGGCACCCAGAAGCTTGGGGCGCGCTGAGCTCCGCATGCCCCAAGCTTCGGGATTAGCGCAGCGCACCTGGGGAGGGGGAATAAAATTTTTTCCCTTTAATTCCCCCCCAAAAAACTAGGTGCGTCCTATGGGCCTGTGCGTCCTATGGGGCGAAAAATATGGTATTTCTCATATGGTTGTTGTCCAGAATAGTTGGATTTTGAGGCACTCCCACCGCATGTGGAGGTATGTGCCTGTGGAGGTGCATCCTCTCCAGCATTTTGGTGAGGTTCCTGGGCATATTAGCGCTAGTTTCCTTGGTGTTAGGTACCACCTGTAAGTGAGTTTCAGAGTGAGTTCTTTCCTTTTCGTTGATTATTAGAACATTAGAGCAGAAATCCATGATAAAATGCTGCAAATAAGGAACTTGCCTTCAAAAGGAATTTTTCTTTCTCATTTTTGATCTGCTGTTCCATTTCCTCATAGAGATGCTGGATTTCCTCATCATAGGCAGCAATCTTCCTAGACAGAAAGAGAAAAGTACATCAGGTGAAATTCTTGCTGTAGTAGTGGCTTTTGGATTCATATATAAGGAGCCAATCTCACATTTTTACTTCTGAGTACCTGTGTGTGTGTGTTTCAGTAGGAGGAGAAAGATTTCTCTGAATAAAAGTTGTGTTGTGCTAAATTCTGTCCCTCGTGCAATTATTTCTTCATTCCGTTTTTTCTCTTTATTCAGCTCTTCAGCCAAAACAGGCTTACAAATCATGAAAATAGGGTACGTTACCCACCAGCCAGAGTTACCTTGTTTTTCAGAGCTGTGAGAACCTCATTTTCTCCTCTCTTCCTTTTCATTTTATTGTAAAACTATGTGCAAAGCCGAGAGTCAGAGCAGGCGTCACAAATGTGCTGCCTGTAAGACTTTGTTAAGAGTGCTGTAACTTTGGTACCCCATAAATTATTGCAAGTTGTTGATCACCAATTACAATTGGTGGTCTGTGACAAAGAAAAAGAAAAACCTTTTAAGTGCACTTGTTAGTAATGCCCCCGCGACCCTTTCCTGCCAAAAGGTTTAAAGTTGTGAAAACCAAGTGCTTTGGGCTACCAGCGCTCTGTTCTCCCAGAGCCGAAACAGAAGTCTGAGGACAGGAAGATACATGGATGAAGAAGCAAGGTGTTTTAGTAAATATTTCCCGACCAACTTTGACCTCTTAACTCAGACGGAGCAATTTTTGAGAACCATTTCAGTAATTGAGAGGGCGGGCAGGCAGGGAGAGATAGGTTATAGTGATTTCCAGCGGTGGATGGTTGCCAAGAAAATCACCAGCAGTAGCAGCTCTTCCTTCTTTCTCTGTTAAACTTAGTTTTGCAGCGGGAACAGCCCAGCAGGTAAAGTTAAAGGTAAAGGACCCCTGGACGGTTAAGTCCAGTTAAAGGAGACTATGGGGTTGCGGCGCTCATCTTGGTTTCAGGCCGAGGGAGCCAGCGTTTGTCCACAGACAGCCTTCCAGGTCATGTGGCCAGCAGGACTAAACCATTTCTGGCGCAACGGAACATCATGATGGAAACCAGAGCACACAGAAATGCAGTTTATACCTTCCCGCCGGAGAAGTACCTATTAATCTACTTGCACTTTTTGACGTGCTTTCGAACTACTAGGTTGGCAGGAGCTAGGACAGTGCAATGGGAGCTCACCCCATCGTGAGGATTCAAATCGCAGACCTTCTGATTGGCAAACCCAAGAGGCTCAGTGGTTTAGTGGTTTAGACCACAGCGCCACCTGCACTGTTAAACTTAGTTTTGCAGTGGGAACAGCCCAGCATATCGAAGAGATGGATGGGAGGGAAGTAGCTGCCTCTTGTGGCAGCAACAAAACTGTTTAAGAAAGACAACAGAAGAGGCAGGTGCTTTTGTCACTGTTTTTTCCAGGCAAAACACTGGAAACTGTTAGGATTTTCTCTCTCACACCCCCACACATACTTTGGTCCACCTCCATCCCCAAATCTGTGATGACAAAGTGCTACACAGAACCTTAGTGCTGCTGCTGCTGTTGTTGTTGTTTAGTCGCTTAGTTGTGTCTGACTCTTAGTGACCCCATGGACCGGAGCACGCCAGGCACTCCTGTCTTCCACTGCCTCCCGCAGTTTGGTCAAACTCATGCTGGTAGCTTCAAGAACACCATCCAGCCATCTCATCCTCTGTCGTCCCCTTCTCCTTGTGCCCTCCATCTTCCTCAACATCAGGGTCTTTTCCAGAGAGTCTTATCTTCTCATGAGGTGGCCAAAGCATTGGAGCCTCAGCTTCACGGTCTGTCCTTCCAGTGAGCACTCAGGGCTGATTTCCTTAAGAATGGATACGTTTGATCTTCTTGCAGTCCATGGGACTCTCAAGAGTCTCCTCCAGCACCATAGTGCTTACTTACCTTAAGTAAGTACTTACCTTAGTGCTACTCAAAGCAAACTGCTACCCTGAGCCCTGGCAAGACAAAACCTATGGGTGCTTTTGCACCAGCTGTTTACTTCCTATCTGCTTTCCCCCCAAGCATTTAGGATATCATAAAAAGCACTAACCTATTCAGGACACGCTCCAATTCACTCTTCTCATTATCAGCTTCTTGAAGCTGAGAGAAAACTTTTGTCAGGAACTCTTCAAAACTAGACAGTAAATGTGGCTCATCCTTCCTCAGGTGAGACCATAGTTGCTTTATGTCACTCTCGCTGGAGAAAGAAAGAAAAAGGAATCTGTGTTACTTGCATGGCTCCTGTAGCAGCAAAAGTTTCAGCATTTGCGTATCGCAAAGCAAAAATCACAATCACTATTGTAGTCATGAGGCCTATTATATGCTTGCCGCCACGATGAAATTATAAAATCAGGACAATGTATCCTATCAATAGGAAAGTTGGCAGGGATAATTGACCTTGTGAGAGGCATGATAGCTTGATAAAATTATAAAAGAAAGAATGGTCAAGGAATTATTATTATTATTATTATTATTATACCCTGCCCATCTGGCTAGGTTCCCCACTCTGAGTGGCTCACAGCACATATCAGAACATACTAAAACACCAGACATTAAAAAACTTCCCGATGATGGGCTGAGGTGAGTTTTTATGCTCATCCAAAACGTAACAGAAAAAGGAGAAATTGAAGGTAAGATTTTTGTCATATTTTAGCAGAGTCCTGTGGTGCCACCTGGTAGGTTTATCTGCTAGTCTCAGAATGACTAAGTGCAAAAATAGAAGATGGGAAAAGCTCATTTTCTCCTGCTCGGGATGGTAGGACCAAAACAAATAGCTTGAAATTATGACCTGCTTTAAAGCAAAGATTGGATGCTGTCCTGTGGAGCTTTCAGCAACCAAAGGAAGGGACTTAAGCTGACCGTCTTTGCTTTGCTCTGTTCTTTATTACTTCATCCTAATAATAAAACCTGTTTCTTAAATAACTGGTCTGGTGTGTTTTGGGTCCATATCTAAAAACAACCTCTGGCCCTTGGCTGAACAACGCCCCTGTAGCTTATGTTCATTAGCTGCAGTCCTGCCCTCTGAGGAGGCTGAAGACAATTCGTTGGGCTCTTCTTTGTGACAATAATTCGGGTGTTTGAAAACTGCCTTCATGTCTCCCTCGCAGAGTTACCCACTCTGTGCTAAACATACTGGTTCTTCATGGACCTTATTTTGCATGACTTGGCCATCTTTGCTGTCCTCCTCTGAATCTGTTCCCATTTGCCTGAGGAGTGGCACAATCCATGGCTGCAGTGGGCCTTCCTGCGGCTGCTGTGAGCCGCGCCAGACCTCGCCAGGCCTCCCCGCAACTGCGGCGGGCCTCGTCCCGCTGTGTGACGTCACACATGTGCATCATATGCATGACATCACACACATGCGACAGCCCCCAAAAAGTTGGGCGGAACATGGCACTTATGGTTCACTTCTCTGCGTCCAAGCAGTCCATGAAGCGGGGAGGCCAAAGGGGAATAGGAAGGCTCCAAAAAGACTGAACCTGTGAATTTAGCTCTGAATTAGCTGCTTAACGTACTGAAACGGAGACCTCTGTGAAACCTCAAGACAAAGCAACGTAGAGTTTAGGGCTGCAGGGCTGCACAGAAGGTAAGCAACAGGACTGAGAGGAACCACAGCTTTCTTGTTTTCTGCTGCACTGAGAGATTTGGTGTCCAAATTGCCAAGTGGAAATCCTAAAGAATGTCGCTCTTTGTGTTGTGTCTTTTTCACGGTTATCTTGCAGGTGCACATAGGTGATACTGCACATACAACCTGAGATGGTACAGCCCCCAAAGTACAGCGCCGTGTGATTCTTGTGATTCTCGGTTGTTTTTTGACAACACTTACTCTTCTAAGATATTGTTAGCGCCAAGCCTCTCCATAAGATTCGAGAACTGATATTCCTCTTCATTGCTTTCCATGCTGTTTTGTTTCCATTCAGACTGATACACATTTTCAGTTTCACATTCTTGTGTGTCGGAAACAGATGCCGTCCGACCCAACAAAAACTGACCTACAAATTAAAAAGAGTTCATTTTTAGAGGGGTTTTTTCCTCTGGTGGCAGATGACAGAAACTACGACACCACGAGACCTGTGTAAAACAATTCAAATAAAGGTTTTATTACAAAAACAACAAAGCTTGTGGGTGTTTTCTCTCTGCAGGCAAAATTCAAACTGCAACTTTTCCTCCTTTTGTAGTCATGACCACCTGTACCTAATCTGCCCAGAGCTCACGCCCAGAACTCACATAAACAGTTCTTAAAGTTACAAATATCTTTACTGTTTCTTTGCAGAATGACTCCCAACATTCATCTGATAAAATGTTTGGCCCTCAGGATAATTCCAAGGAATTGAAAAAATTGATTTACAACAGCCTGGAAAATGAACTACGCAACTCTCAAAACTAGGTTCTACAAGGTACAATAAAGGTAAAGGTAAATGTAAAGGATCCCTAGACGGTTAAGTCCAGTCAAAGGCAACTCTGGGGTTGCGGCGCTTGTCTCGCTTTCAGGCTGAGGGAGCTGCCATTTATCCACAGACAGCTTCCAGGTCATGTGGCCAGCATGACTAAACTGCTTCTGGCACAACGGGACACCGTGACGGAAACCAGAGTGCATGGAAATGCCATTTACCTTCCCGCCGCAGCAGTACCTATTTATCTACTTGCACTGGCATGCTTTCAAACTGCTAGGTTGGCAGGAGCTGGGACAGAGCAATGGGAGCTCACTCTGTCGCAGAGATTCGAACCGCCAACCTACTTATCAGCAAGCCCAAGAGGTTCAGTGGTTTATTTTTTTTTTAAATGATATTTATTAAAGTTTCACATAAAAAGAGACAATAAAAAAAAAGATTTTAAAAATAAAAAGAAAGATACACAATACAAAATACAAAAAGAAAAAAGAAAAAACAGTTAAAAACAATTCCATCTTTTCATCACTACTTTTACATTTACTGATTTCCCGGACCTCCTCAGACCTCCCTCTTTTGTATTCCAATTCAGTTTGTTTGTCCAGCAATTCCTTTCCCTCCTTTTTAATCCCAATCCTTAATCTTAATATAATATAACATTAACTTTTTACCTATTAAAAACCAATTTACCATTCTTTTAACCTTTTTAATCCTAATCCTTAATCTTGATCTATATATAACTTTAAAGCCTGTACAGCTAGAAGCCACTTAATTTCAATCCATCATCACTCTAACATTCTTTAATTTTGCAATATTTCTGTAAGTAATCTTTAAATTTCTTCCAATCTTCTTCCACCGACTCTTCTCCCTGGTCACGGATTCTGCCAGTCATTTCCGCCAATTCCATATAGTCCATCAATTTCATCTGCCATTCCTCCAGTGTGGGTAGCTCTTGTGTCTTCCAATACTTTGCGATGAGTATTCTTGCTGCTGTTGTTGCATACATAAAGAAAGTTCTATCCTTTTTTAACACTGACTGGCCGGAGGTTCAGTGGTTTAGACCACAGCGCCACCCATGTCCCAGGTTCTACAAGAGGAAAGTTGTTGGACTCCCCTCGGTTCCCAGCAGTCTGGTGAAGGATGGATGATGATGGAAGTTGGACTTCAACATCATCTGCAGGGCCAGATTTCCATTGGGTAAAATCAATAGCCGTTGGTGAGTATGGCAGAGCTGTGGAGCCACTCACCTGAAACTATCATCACTGCAGCAGACCTGGATAGGACAGGAGTGGAGCAGAGCAGCATTGAGGCTGAGGCGGAACTGGCCAAGTCAATCTGGAACTGGCAAGTGCATAGTCACAATATTGCAACTGCCCTGCCCCACCCTTGTCCCGTCCAGGTAAACTGCAGTGAGACTAGTGCCAGGGAGGGGATAATCTAAACGAATGAATGGGTGTGCTCTGTGAGGCCACCAAATTAGCTGAGTGTGGCTATTTAGATCAGTTAATAGGTCATTCACAGAGGAATTATACCAGAAAGATATGGACGGCTCGTACACCCCAGGTAGTGTGGTTGCTGACCTTGAGCCAGACACCCTGGAGAGTGAAGTCATGGCCTTAGAAAGCACTGCAAATAACAAGGCCAGTGGAAGTGATGGTATTCCAGCTGAACTACTTAAAATTTTAAAAGAGGATGGTGTTAAGGTGCTACACTCAATATGCCAGCCAGTTTGGAAAACTCAGCAGTGGCTAGAGGATTGGAGAAGATCAGTCTACATCCCAATCCCAAAGAAGGGCAGTGCCAAAGAATGCTCCAACCTCTGCACAATTGCACTCATTTCACACGCTAGCAAGGTTATGCTTAAAATTCTACAAGGAAGGCTCAAGCAGTATATGGACCGAGAACTCCCAGAAGTGCAAGCTGGATTTAGAAGAGGCAGAGGAACCAGAGACCAAATTGCAAACATGCGCTGGATTATGGAGAAAGCTAGAGAGTTCCAGAAAGACATCTACTTCTGCTTCATTGACTATGCAAAAGCCTCTGACTGTGTCGACCACAGCAAACTATGGCAAGTTCTTAAAGAAATGGGAGTGCCTGATCACCTCATCTGTCTCCTGAGAAATCTCTATGTGGGACAAGAAGGTACAGTTAGAACTGGATATGGAACAACTGATTGGTTCAAAATTGGGAAAGGAGTACGGCAAGGCTGTATATTGTCTCCCTGCTTATTTAACTTATATGCAGAATTCATCATGCGAAAGGCTGGGCTGGATGAATCCCAAGCCGGAATTAAGATTGCCGGAAGAAATATCAACAACCTCAGATATGCAGATGACACAACATTGATGGCAGAAAGTGAGGAGGAATTAAAGAACCTTTTAATGAGGGTGAAAGAGGGGAGCGCAAAATATGGTCTGAAGCTCAACATAAAAAAACGAAGATCATGGCCACTGGGCCCATCACCTCCTGGCAAATAGAAGGGGAAGAAATGGAGGCAGTGAGAGATTTTACTTTTTGGGCTCCATGATCACTGCAGATGGTGACAGCAGTCACGAAATTAAAAGACGCCTGCTTCTTGGGAGAAAAGCAATGACAAACCTAGACAGCATCTTAAAAAGCAGAGACATCACCTTGCCAACAAAGGTCCGTATAGTTAAAGCTATGGTTTTCCCAGTAGTGATGTATGGAAGTGAGAGCTGGACCATAAAGAAGGCTGATCGCCAAAGAACTGATGCTTTTGAATTATGGTGCTGGAGGAGACTCTTGAGAGTCCCATGGACTGCAAGAAGATCAAACGCATCCATTCTTAAGGAAATTAGCCCTGAGTGCTCGCTGGAAGGACAGATCGTGAAGCTGAGGCTCCAATACTTTGGCCACCTCATGAGAAGAGAAGACTCCCTGGAAAAGACCCTGATGTTGGGAAAGATGGAGGGCACAAGGAGAAGAGGACGACAGAGGACGAGATGGTTGGACAGTGTTCTCGAAGCTACAAACATGAATCTGACCAAACTGCGGGATACAGTGGAAGACAGAAGTGCCTGGCGTGCTCTGGTCCATGGGGTCACGAAGAGTCGGACACGACTAAACGACTAAACAACAACAACAACAATAGGTCATTGGCCCTGTTATAGCTGAAAGTGTCTCCACGCCCATCATTCAGCCCGGACGCTGAGGGCCAGCTCCAAGTGCCTTCCCTCACTGCAAGAAACAAGGTTACTTAGTGGCACCTGTCCTGTGGAATGCCCTTCCACCAGATGTCAAGGAAATAAACAACTACCTGACTTTTAGAAGACATCTGTAGGCAGCCCTGCTTAGGGAAGTTTTTAATGTTTGATGTTTTATTGTGTTTTTAATATTCTGCTGGGAGCTGCCCAGAGTGGCTGGGGAAACCCAGCCAGATGGGCGGGGTATAAATAATAAATCATCATCATCATCATCTGAAAGGTCTTTGAAGCACCATTTTCATTTTAGAACTTACCAAATCCTGTGGAAAATTCCTCTGGAGTAAGTGAACCATTGCCATCTGCATCCAGAGTATCAAATACATTCTCCAGCTCTTCCAGACTAAGAGGTAACTCACCATGAAGCCTCTGAAATGACAAATTGTTCCTCGTATAAAAATGAATTTCAGTTAATGTAAATCTTAAAGTCAGACAACAACAAATAATTTAGATTTGCAGAAGATTGCCTGGTCAATTAAATGACACAACGCTCCACAAAGCCGCATTGTACACTTTACCTGCATGTCACAACGAGCAATGAATCCTTTGCCTTCCACATCACAGATCTGAAAGCACTCGTGTGCTTTTGCTAACATATCCAGTTGCGCTCCTGAATTTCCATCCGTTCCTTTGCTGCTTTCTGCATTTTCTTGTGTCCCACGAGGAGCAATGACTCTTTTCTTTCTTTCCATCTTCACCGCTTTGATTGCAGAAGCATTTCAGGAAGCAACCATATAGTTTGGTCTCCAATTTCGGCCCCGCACCTGAATCTGAAAGAAATAAAACATATCTCAACATTGCTCTCCTTCATCTTTTAGCAACCACCTCTCTTTAGGTAGCTGCTGAAGCACAGCAGAAGGAAGGGGTCTCTTTTATTGAACAAAATGGCCACCACGATCTCTTCCTTTCATAGAGTGAACAACTCAAACTGCAAATAGGTCAATGAATGGAAAAGTGGGGCTGGGGAAGATGGAGCACAACTAGAAATTATATCAAAAATAAAGCCAGCCTGATCAAAAATGGTAAACACAGAGTTTTTACCTTTAATACTGTTATGAATTTGTGGGTGCCAGACAGTTATAATCTCTGGATTCAGGAAGTGTTAACAGCTAATTAAGACGGGCTGCCTTCCTGTTTTGAGGTGATCGCCTGGGTGATGGGCCATTAAGAGAACAAGGGATCAAGGGGCTTGGTGTGAGACGTCTCCTCTCTAAACCAGAGTTTGGAGTAGAGAGATTAGTAAGATGTGATGTGAATTAGAAGGAAAGCAACAAGCTACAAAGCCAGATAGGCACAGAATGATATTTGATGTCTGTTTGAATGCAAGGCTGTAGCTATAGGAGAAGCACGACCCTTCTGAGGTGTTGATGCTGTGAGCTCCTCCACCGTAGGCTCAGGCTGTATATATGTGTAAATAAACCATATATCCTAAAGACACCGCAGTCTCCGTTGTGCCTCATTCCCAAAAGGAAACAGAGATGCTGGATAAGTGCCTGGAACCCCTGACATATTACACAACTCAGAGTTTGGGGTTGCGTGCAACCAAACCTTCCCCTATTACAGGGTTAGGGAATCTGTGGCCTCCCAGATGTTACTGTACTCCCGTTTCCATCAGCATGGCCAATGGTCAGGGATGATGGGAACTGTAGTTAGAAGCCCTCCCTAATTCTAATTCCTTCGTTCTAATCTATGTCGTTGCAATATTGTCCTCTGAACTCAATGTATTTTCATGTTTAAAGGTAAAGGACCTCTGACAGTTAAGTCCAGTCGCGGACGACTCTGGGGTTGTGGCGCTCATCTCACTTTACTGGTCGAGGGAGCTGACGTTTGTCAGCAGACATTTTTCTGGGTCATGTGGCCAGGAGGACTTAGCTGCTTCTGGCAAAACCAGAGCAGTGCACAGAAACGCCGTTTAGAATAGAATAGAATAGAATTTATTACTTATACCCCGCCTATCCGGCTGGGTTTCCCCAGCCACTCTGGGCGGCTTCCATCAAAGTATTAAAATACAGTGGTCTAAAAATAAAATAAAATAAAAATACAGTGGTCTGTTAAACATTTAAAGCTTCCCTAAAGAGGGCTGCCTTCAGATGCCTTCTAAAAGTCTGGTAGTTGTTTACCTTCCCGCCGGAGCGGTACCTATTTATCTACTTGCACTGCGTGCTTTCAAACTGCTATGTTGGCAGGAGCTGGGACGGAGCAACGGGAGTTCACCCCGCCGCAGGGATTCGAACCGCCGACCTTCCGATCGGCAAGCCCTAGGCTCAGTGGTTTAGACCACAGCTCCACCCGCTTCCCTTTTTTTCATGTATAGTTCACAGGAAGAGTAGGATGTGCAGGTGATACCTCCAACGCATGGAGGGGAGAACATTAAATGTTCGCTGACAATTTTCAGACCGTTTCACCCAGCATGTAAAAATGCAAAAATGCATTGAGTACAATTTTTCATCCGTTACCTGGTAATATATCAGACTTAACTAAACAGAAGCTCCTCCCTTTTTATTACCTTTCCCATGTTAGATCCTGTTTGTATAAAAGTGTAAACACAGGTCACTTGAGTCACAGGACAAGAGAATAAACTCTTAAGAGTCTTATCTCCAAACACGCTGCAGCAGCAAATAATTACTTAGGGTGGTTTCCACTTCTATAAACTCACTAGTGTTTCTTTTATAATTCCTAATAGTTAATATAGTATAATATTGTTATGAGTTGGGGCAGCTGTATGCCTGAGCCCCCTTCTGATTCCTGGATCCAGCACGGATTCAATTCCTGGTATAGAAAGACTTGTTTCCTGGTGAGGTAATGACCCTCTAAATATGGGCCATTAAGGTAACAAAGGAAGTGGCTCTGTGCCAGATATCAAATGGGTGGGCCTTCCTCAACTCACTGGTTGTTAGAACGAGAAAGGCTAGAGTTAAGAGTTGAACTTAATGAGCTAGAACCTGGAAACTGGAAGCTGACAAGACTGCAGGCTGGGAGACAGAACCAGGCATGGTTGCTGCTGGAATCCAAGGCTGTGGCTATTATTATTATTATTTATTAAATTTATATATACCCCCCTAAACCCGGGGGTCTCAGGGCAGTTCATGGAATAAAATCAAGATGTAAAACCACAAAATACATAATAAAAATAAAAGCAACAACCCAATAGCCCCCCCAAAAAACCACACATTTTAAAAGGGTATAGGATGTCGATCAGGTCAACCAAAGGCCTGGTTAAAAAGGAACGTTTTTGCCTTGTGCCTAAAGGTATACAATGAAGGCACCAGGCGAACTTCTTTGGGGAGAGCAGTGCCATCAAGAAGGATGCCATGGGTATACCATATATCATAAAGACACTACTTTCTCCGCTATTCCTCATTCTGAAGGAAACCAAATCCTGGGTTAAGGTGCCTGGAACGGCTGGAATTTTGCACTGCTCAGAGACTGGGGTGGCAGGCAACATTATACAGCAGTACCTAAGGACATGAGCTTTGAGCTAGCATGCTCATGTGTGGGAAGTGGCTGTGGCTCGCAAGCATGCGCCCTTGCCGGTTCAGAAACTCGCATGTGCCTGTAGCATGTCTACGTTATGTGGGGGTGGGTGGGTGAGGAAACTGGTGTGACCACAGGAAACATAACGGCCACTTCAAGTGTGAGTTCATTCTAAGCGTTTCCACCCAGCCTCAAACTTTTTGTAACTGAAAGAAAGAACATGGAAGATGGAAGAGAAAATAAGAATGAACAGAGAAAGACACAGGAAGGAAGGAAGGAAGGAAGGAAGGAAGGAAGGAAGGAAGGAAGGAAGGAAGGAAAATAACACAGGAAGGAAGGAAGACAGGAAATTTGGGGGAATGAAAAATACAGTGAGGGAGCAAGAAAAATAGAAGTGCTTTGAAAAGAATGGGGGAGTAATGGGGTGTCCTCTGTTATCTGGGGTAATATTATCAACCTTCCTTGACCTATTAGTTGGGTACTGAGACTTCCCTTCCTCCACAAAGCATAACCACATACTCTTCAACGTTCCTCACTCCCCCCTCCAGCTGACCCTCCTCAACACAGCAAATGATTAGTTGAGAGAGATATTTCTACACACGTATTTGATTTTTTTGTTTGTCTCAAGTTGGTGAGAGGATGCCATAACACTAGAATTCATGGACATCCAATTGAGCCGAATATTGGAAGATTCGGGAAAATCCTGAAAAGGAAATCCTTCTTTACCCAGAACGTGGTCAAACTATGGCACTCGATCCCACCAGTGCCTAGGGCTTGCCGATCAGAAGGTTGGCGGTTCGAATCCCCGCAACGGGGTGAGCTCCCGTTGCTCAGTCCCTGCTCCTGGCAACCTAGCAGTTTGAAAGCACATCAAAGTGCAAGTAGATAAATAGGTACCACTCTGGCGGGAAGGTAAACAGCATTTCCGTGCACTGCTCTGGTTTGCCAGATGTGGCTTAGTCATGCTGGCCACGTGACCCGGAAGCTGTATGCCGGCTCCCTCAGCCAATAAAGTGAGATGAACACCGCAACCCCAGAGGCGGCCACAACTGGACTTAATGGTTGGGGTCCCCTTACCTTACAAAACATTTAGACGAATTCATGGAGGTGGAAAGGGCTCTTGATGGCTACTAGCCATGAGAGCTATGCTTTGCCTTCACAGCAACACTTCTAAATACCAGCAGCTGGAAAACTAAGGAGGGGAGGGATGTTCTTGGGTTCAAATCCTGTTTACATGCTTCCCACAGAAATCTGGTTGGACACTGTGGGAACAGGATGCTGGATCAGATGGGCCATTGGCTTTTCACAGAACCATAGAATTGTAGAGCTGGAAGGGACCCCAAGGGTCATCTAGTCCAACCCCCTGCAATGTGGGAATCTCAAAAAACACCCATGGCAGATGGCCATCCAATCTGCTTAAAAACCTCTAAGGGATGAGAGTCCACAACCTTCCATGGGAATCTGTTCCACTGTTCTTATGTCCTAATAATCTCAGGTTGCTGGTCTATGTTTGAACCTATATCTATCTATTGATTCATTGTCAAACTTTTTATTCCACAGACATTAATGCACAGGGGATTTTGAGAAGGCAGGGGTTCACGTAGAATCATTCCTGCAACTGGAAGCTTTTTATGTAAAATAGCTTTGATGTTTTTGCACTTAAGCAGTGTATAAGTTTTATGAAATAAAATAACTAAAATCAACTCTTGAAAGGTGGGGTATAAACAAACAAACAAACAAACAAATAAATGATAATAAAATAATAATAATAATTACAGTGGGGTCCCAAGCAAAGGGAAGATTCTAAGTTCATTTACCTAAGCCCACTTAAATACACCCTGCTAAATATGGGAATGTTTGATATCAATCTAGCACATGGCAGCCCTGTTTAGGGAAGTTTTCAATGATTAATGTTTTACAGTGGTACCTCAGGTTAAGAACTTAATTCGTTCCGGAGGTCTGTTCTTAACCTGAAACTGTTCTTAACCTGAAGACCACTTTAGCTAATGGGGCCTCTGCGCTGCCGCTGCACGATTTCTGTTCTCATCCTAAAGCAAAGTTCTTAACCCGAGGTAGTATTTCTGTGTTAGCGGAGTCTGTAACCTGAAACATATTTAGCCTGAAGTGTATGTAACCCGAGGTACCACTGTATTGTGCTTTTCATTCTGTTGGGAGCCACCCAGAGTGGCTGGGGAAACCCAGTCAGATGGGCGGGATATAAATAATAAAATTATTTATTATTATAATTATTAGGAAACCACTGCCTTAAATTTTTTTATGCTGTCTAGTTGAACTGGTATTGGCAATTTTCAGGGATGAGTTGGAGGTTTGCCCCAGAAATAGTTTTTTTATGTATTGGTTTTAACAACTGCATATACTACATGAGAATAATTATATACCCCCCTTTCTTCTGTTATGGAACCCAAGAAGCTTACATGTAATTCCCAGATAGTCAGCCATCCAGGCACTGACCGGACCCAGACCTGTTTAGCCATAGCAAGTTGATGGTCTCATGCACCTTCACACCATACCCTGGAATTGCATCCTTTTTAAGATGCTTCAACAACTTGGTTGACCTTACACATGCTTAGCTGTAAACAAGTCCCACTAAATGAGATTCCCGAGCACTGTGTCACAAACTCCTGTAGTTACAAACAATTCAGGGTGCAATCATATATTCACTTACCTGGGAGTAAGCTCCATTGAGTTTTGAATTCAGTGGAACTTACTCTGGAGTAGACACATTAAAAATGGCGGTGCAAATGGGCCTACATGCTAGCTGCCCACATCAAAGAGAACAAAAAACCCTTTGCTTAAATAAAGGGTGCCTATTTGATCAGGTTTAGAATATTCACCGTATTTTTCGCTCTATAAGACGCACCAGACCATAAGACGCACCTAGTTTTTGGAGGAGGAAAACAAGAAAAAAAAATATTCTGAATCTCAGAAGCCAGAACGGCAAGAGGGATCAATACGCAGTGAAAGCAGCAATCCCTCTTGATGTTCTGGCTTCTGGGATAGCTGCACAGTCTGCATTCGCTCCATAAGACGCACACACATTTCCCCTTACTTTTTAGGAGGGAAAAAGTGAGTTTTATAGAGCAAAAAATACGGTATATTGTTATAATGAGAAAAGGAAGAGAAACAAACCCACCGATGCTATTAAAATGGGTTGAGATTGCAACTAAATCTACATAACTTTTAGTTTGTCCTGAATATCCGTTCTCCTCCCCTGACAACCCACCAAGTAAAACTGCTCTCCTTTTCTTAACAGCACCTAGGAGGAAGTGCCATATTACTTGTCTTGTCATCTTCAGTGAGTTACGCTTACATCCTTTGAATTTACTCTAAGCCAGGGGGGCCCCCGCACTGGATCTTCGACACAGGAAAGAGATTATGGCTTTGCTGCATTTCAACACATAAAAGACAGAGGAAGTGGAAACCAATGCTTCAGTAACAGACATGTTCCAGTCGTTGCTGGCAAGCTCATTCCTTCAGCTAGCTTTGGCTTCAGCATATGTGTCATTAAACATTACTCTGCTTGCTTTCTGGCCAGTTATTTGTACTTTATTTTAAAACCCCCCGACAACTTACCTCTGCTCACTTCCCTGGAAGAACAAAATACATATCCGCAGATGGCTCTCGTGCAAAGGAACACTCTCAGCCGCGTCCGGCTGCAAGTCCTAAGCTTGCTTTCTGAGGCTAGTTGTGTGCACATAGAGGAAGAAGGAAGAGCGAATCAGAGGGGGCAAAGCACTTCCAAAACATTGCTGAGTCAACATGAATTTTATACAAGAAGCTGTGGGCGGGACAGAGCGAGTCTAACCTGTTCTGCCTCTTCTTTTTCCTCCCATCTTGTCAAACCCACATTTGCATGCAGTTTTGCCACAAGAGTAGTTTCATTTTATATGCAGTTGATGCTTTGATCCTCGAGTAACAGTGGTTAAGTCATGATAGCTGGTATTGGAATGCACAGTTTAAAAGACACTCAACACACGTTTTAAGGTCTTCTTCTTCTTCGTTAAAGGTAAAGGGACCCCTGACCATTAGGTCCAGTCGTGACCGACTCTGGGGTTGCAGCGCTCATCTCGCTTTATTGGCCGAGGGAGCCGGCGTACAGCTTCCGGGTCATGTGGCCAGCATGACTAAGCTGCTTCTGGCGAACCAGAGCAGTGCACAGAAACACCATTTACCTTCCCGCCGGAGCGGTACCTATTTATCTACTTGCACTTTGACGTGCTTTCGAACTGCTAGGTTGGCAGGAGCTGGGACTGAGCAATAGGAGCTCACCCCGTTGCGGGGATTCGAACCGCCGACCTTCTGATCAGCAAGTCCTAGGCTCTGTGGTTTAGTTCACTCCTAAAAAATGTGGGAATTACACAAACACATATTTGGAAACATGCGGATCATATAGCTATACTCATCAGAGTTCCAGGGCATCTTTTGGACAAACTATGTTTCAAGGTAGCTGTCCCTATAGAAATATACAGTAAGGGGGGTAGTTTCTACGCATTACATAAAAACAGAAAACTGCCTTACACTGAATCAGACCATTGGTTCATTTTGCTCAGTATTGTTGACTACAGTCTGCAAGTTTTCACACAGAAGTCTTTAAAACCCTAGCTGGAGGCACCAAGGAAAGATGGAACCTTAGACCTGCATTGCAAAGCAGGTTCTACCACTAAACTGAGGCCTCCAAGGAGAGTTAAATCTCCTTCTCTCCCATCTTGCCACAAACAGTACAGATCCGGCTAAATGGGTGGAGCTGTGAGGGAGCAATGAGATAGCAGAGTCTAGAGGACTTTGATCACTGCAGATGGTGACAGCAGTCACAAAATTAAAAGACACCTGCTTCTTAGGAGAAAAGCAATGACAAACATAGACAGCATCTTAAAAAGCAAAGACATCACCTTGCCAGCAAAGGTCCGTATAGCTAAAGCTATGGTTTACCCAGTAGTGATGTGTGGAAGTGAGAGCTGGACCATAAAGAAGGCTGATCGCCGAAGAATTGATGCTTTTGAATTATGGTGCTGGAGGAGACTCTTGAGAGTCCCATGGACTGCAAGAAGATCCAACCTCTCCATTCTGAAGGAAATCAGCCCTGAGGGCTCACTGGAAGGACAGATCGTGAAGCTGAGGCTCCAATACTTTGGCCACCTCATGAGAAGAGAAGACTCCCTGGAAAAGACGCTGATGTTGGGAAAGATGGAGGGCACAAGGAGAAGGGGACGACAGAGGACGAGATGGTTGGACAGTGCTCTCGAAGCTACCAGCATGAGTTTGACCAAACTGCAGGAGGCAGTGGAAGACAGAAGTGCCTGGCGTGATCTGGTCCATGGGGTCACAAAGAGTGTATAGCTCTGGACGTGTATAGCATTAACTCTGGGGACGCGGGTGGCGCTGTGGGTTAAACCACAGAGCCTAGAACTTGCCGATCAGAAGGTCAGCAGTTCGAATCCCCACGACGGGGTGAGCTCCCGTTGCTCCGTCCCAGCTCCTGCCCACCTAGCAGTTTGAAAGCATGTCAAAGTGCAAGTAGATAAATAGGTACCGCTCTGGCGGGAAGGTAAACGGCGTTTCCGTGCGCTGCTCTGGTTCGCCAGAAGCGGCTTAGTCATGCTGGCCACATGACCTGGAAAAACTGTCTGTGGACAAACGCCGGCTCCCTCGGCCTATAGAGCGAGATGAGCGCGCAACCCCAGAGTCGTCCACAACTGGACCTAATGGTCAGGGGTACCTTTACATATTCAGGACCCTGTCCAGTATTGGCAACACACTGCTACCTGGGTTGTATAAGGATTAGGCTACTGGGTTTTGCTCCCTTTTTCTGACATGTGAGCAGCAATTTGGATTGCACTGAAATATGCAGGCCTTCAGCCTTTTAGAGAAGACCAGCTACATGAGCAGTGCTGGCAGGTTTCAGTGACAGTGCAATTTTGTTGTGCTGAGGTCTAGTCGTCGTTCATTTTTGCAGGTACAGTGGTACCTCAGGTTAAGTACTTAATTCGTTCCGGAGGTCTGTTCTTAACCTGAAACTGTTCTTAACCTGAAGCACCACTTTAGCTAACGGGGCCTTTTGCTGCCGCTGCGCAACCGCCGTGCAATTTCTGTTTTCATCCTGAAGCAAAGTTCTTAACCTGAGGTAAAATTTCTGGGTTAGCGGAGTCTGTAACCTGAAGCGTATGTAACCTGAAGCGTATGTAACCCGAGGTACCACTGTACTGCATGTTCTAGTATTTTCTTCTTTGAGCTGGCTACCTTTCGCTGCTTGGCTTATCTGCTAGATCCCTTTCCAGGAAAGGCTTATGTGTTTGGCACACAGACAACTGGCAAATAGCACCCCAGGAAATGACATTGTTGTGCTTGCTGTGAACTAAGAGAAAGGGCTTCATCCCTGCTCCATCACAACACAGTCTATCGTGCAACTACTCTTGAAATACTGCATTCAGCTTGCTCCATTTCATGAACAATATCGTAGAGCGAGAAAAGAAAGGGCAAGCCAAATGATCAAGGGCTGGAGCACTCCTCTCCTAGAAATGGCTATGACATTTGAGGGGTTTTTTTTTTTTGTTTAGAAAAACAGTGAATATGATTGATGAATACAAAATCATGATGGGGTGACTTGGATGAAGGAATTGAGGGGATGCTCATCAAATTTGCAGATGCCACCAAACTGGGAGGGGTAGCTAATGCCCCAGAAGACAAAATCGAGATTCAAAATGCCCTTCACAGATTGGAGAACTGGACCCAAGCTAACAAAATGAATTTCAATAGGGACAAATGTACCGTATTTTTTGCTCTATAAGATGCACTTTTCCCCTCCGAAAAAGTAAGGGGAAATGTGTGTGTGTCTTATGGAGCGAATGCAGGTGGGAGGATCTGCTCAGCGCTCCCTTTAAAGAGTGCATGGAGCGTGTGTGCGGCTCTTGGGGGCTTTTACCCGCGGAGGGAGAAGGGCTGCCCTCCTCCCTCCTTGGGGAAAAGCCCCACACGCTCCACACGCTCTTTAAAGGGAGTGTGGCTCTTGGGGGAGCCTTCATCCCGCTGCCCTGAAGAGGCTTCGCCCGGCTATCCCAGAAGCCAGATCCCTCTTGCTGTTCTGGCTTCTGGGATTCAGAATAATTTTTTTCTTGTTTTCCTCCTCCAAAAACTAGGTGCGTCTTATGGTCTGGTGCATCTTATAGAGCGAAAAATACGGTAAGTTTCTGCACTTAGGCAGGAAGAACCAGCTGCACAAATATACGATGGGGGACACCTGCGAAAGGGATTGAGGGGTTTTAGTAGACCATAAGCTGAACATGAGTTAGTGCAGCCGCAGCAAAAAAAAGAAAAAAAAGGTAATGCTATTCTAGACTGCATAAAGTGTCCAGATCAGAGGGAGTAAAAGTACAGTGGTACCTCAGGTTACATACGCTTCAGGTTACATACGCTTCAGGTTACAGACTCCGCTAAGCCAGAAATAGTGCTTCAGGTTAAAAACTTTGCTTCAGGATGAGAACAGAAATCGTGCTCCGGTGGCGGGGCAGCAGCAGGAGGCCCCATTAGCTAAAGTGGTGCTTCAGGTTAAGAACAGTTTCAGGTTAAGAATGGACCTCCGGAACGAATTAAGTACTTAACCCGAGGTAACACTGTACCACTCTGAGTGAGACCACACTTGAAATACTGTGTCCAATTCTGGGCACCACAATTTAAGAAGGTTTTGAACAAGCTGGAATGTGTGCAGAGAAGAGGGTGACCAAGATGATCAAGGGTCTGTTAAGAAAGCCTTATGAAGAACGGTTGAAGAAGCTGCGTATGTTTTGCCTGGAAAACAGGAAACTGAGAGGGGATATGATAACCATCTTCAAATATCTCAACGGCTGTCACATGGAAGACGGAACATGCTTGTTTTCTCCTGCTCTGGAGTGTAGGACTTGAACCAAGGGCTTCAAATTACAAGAAAGGAGATTCTGAGTAAACATCAGGGAGAATTTTCTGACAGGAAGAGCTGTTCAACAGTGGAATGGTCTTCCTCAGGAGGCTGTGGACTCTCCTTCCTTGGAGATTTTAAAGCAGAGGTTGGGTGTGAGGAGATTTCACCCCTCCCATATCCAAGAATCTCCTGAGGAGTCTGCTGATTCTCCAGAGAGGAGGCGGCGTGTTCTGCTCTCTACCTATTCTGCTCCAGCACCAGAGTCAGTCAGTCAGTCAGTGTCGGAGACAGACTGAGTATTAGAGATCGTGTGTAGAGATAAGGTTGCTGCTAAGAGCAGCTGCAGACACTCAGTGCAGTGCAGCATTCATTTATGCTTAGACCTATTAAGCTCTGTATATAGTTTGTATAGTTGTAGATAGAATAAAAGAAGATATTCTACAGAGCTGCTCTCCGAGTCGTTTATATACTCTGCTAGACTCTGCTATACTCTGCTGTGCGACGACTGTCTTCTTGTGGGAGTGAATCCGGTGCTCACAACTCTGAGCTGTGAGTCCACAGCACTTTGACCTGTTCCTGTGCAGAAGGTGGTCTCTGGAAGTGCTACCCAGCTCGCCTAGCCCAGTCGGGGCTGAAGTGGATGAGTCCAGTTGGTGGCACTGGCTCAAGGGCGATGCTGACAGGGTGGCCACCTGTCATGGATGCTTTAGCTGAGATTCCTGGATTGCAGGGGGTTGGACTAGATGACCCTTGGGGTCCCTTCCAACTCTACAATTCTATTGATTCTACGCAGGGGTGCCAACTTGTGTGCCAGGTAAGCCCTACCCCACACAATCAATCACATGACACAGTGCATATGTACCATTTGCATGGCAATGCCTATCAACTTGGGGGGTGACGGCCCCCTCAAATATTTTATGGGGAGGACCACAAAGCGACCTTGGCCCCTGTGATGAGACATTTTCCTCCCCTTTTCATAATATTATAAGCAGGCAGGTGGCATCAATTGAAGTAAAAAAAAAAGGAGGTACTTTATACAGCACACATATTTTGTCACAGGTGGACTTTGGTGATAAGCTATCTTGATCAGCAGGTTCTCCTTATGTTCTTAATTAATTACCACAAGATGTAGCAACATTCATCAACTTGGGCAGCTTTGAACATAAATTCACGAAGGGCAAGGTTATCAAGGCCTGAGACATTTGCAAACCACATTATTCAAGGCATTCCATCATTATAAGGCAACAGCAACAGAATAATACTATTCTAAAACAATAAAATCCTCAGTAACCTAATTATTATACTTATCCCATATGAAGACACAGAAAGGCAAATAGCATCTTCATTCCTTATTATAGGGGCATGGCAAAAACAACCACCACCACCCCACAAATAGTTCCACCATTAGAAGCCTCAATATTATGCTGCTTAAACAATTATACCTGTTGACCTAAAAACTTGAATCTTGGCTTTCATGGTCTACAAATGTGTCAATTTTCGGCCCAATCCGATAAAAATTGCCAAAGGTACAGCAGGTTAAAACAGATACTTACTCTTTTTATTTCAATTTTTAAATGGGGATTTCTGATTTTGGTCAAAACTGTTGAGGTACTTTCCTCATGCTTGTTAAGAAACGCATGTTTTCGTTGGTTTAGAGACGTTCTGAGCAGCGGTTCAAATGTCAAGGTTTTGATGCCCCATTAAAGCCCAGGGGAGCAGCGATGTTTGCTGCAAAGGCCACCTGGTGGAAGCTGTGTGTAATCCTATTCCTTTAACTTACCTTATCATAGAATTGTACAGTGGGAAGAGACCTAGTCCACCATTGTTGAAAAAACACCAGTAAAGGAGAATCTACTACCTTCCGTGGGAGTCTGTTTCACTGTTGAATCGCTCTGGTTACCGGAAAGTTCTAATGTTTAGCATGCCTACTTGAAGGAGGCAGTAGTGAAACCAGTCCTTAAGAAACCCTCCCTGGACTCAGAAATCTAAGTAACTGTGGTCTAAACCACAGAGCCTAGGACTTGCCGATCAGAAGGTCGGCGGTTCGAATCCCCGCAACGGGACGAGCTCCCATTGCTCTGTCCCAGCTCCTGCCCACCTAGCAGTTTGAAAGCACGTCAAAGTGCAAGTAGATAAATAGGTACCGCTCCGGCGGGAAGGTAAATGGTGTTTCTGTGCACTGCTCTGATTCGCCAGAAGCAGCTTAATCATGCTGGCCACATGACCCGGAAAAACTGTCTGCAGACAAACGCCGGCTCCCTTGGCCTATAGAGCGAGATGAGCACACAACCCCAGTCGTCCGTGACTGGACCTAACGGTCAGGGGTACCTTTACCTTTTCCAGCCAGTTGCAAATCGCCCCTTCTTGGGCAAGGTTCTTGAGTCATGGATCAGATCCAGGCACTGGAGGAATCTGATTTTGTAGATCCATTTCAATCACGGTTTAGACCCGTGTTTTGGCACAGAAATGCGTCCTTGTTAATTTCCCACAACCTTTCAGCAACTTTCACGTTGGTTATCCTTCTGGAGCAGCTGTACGAGTTGCGGATGAGTGGCACCGCTTTGCGGTGGTTCCAGTTCTCCTTGGAAGGTCATTTCCAGAAGGCGATGCATGGGGAGTGTTCTTTGGCCCCACGGAGCCTTCAATGTGGGATTCCTCGGGGCTCAATTTTATCCCCTATACTATTTAACACCTACATGAAACCGCTGAGCGAGGCTAGCCGGAGTTTTGGAGCATCTGGGAGGTTTTAGTACACCACAAGCTTAACATGAGCCAACAGTGTGATGCAGCAACAAAAAAAGCCAACGCTATTCTAGGCTGCAGCTTAGGAACCACAGCATGCTAAGTGCTCACGGACTGACCGTTTAATTATCTGCCCTAGTACCTTTCCTGATATCAACGCCAAGCTGATTGGTTGGCAACAGCTGCATCCTGCAGTGTTTTTGCTGCGCTACCAGCACCAAAGTGATCTCCCCAGGGTGCAAGCCTGGGCAGTGTTTCTGGAGGTCCTGGGCTGCCCAGACGACAAGACTCCCCCCCCCCCCAACTCACTGATGTGGTCCAAAGTAAATCAGAGCAATACACTTTGTCACCAGCTTGTATGTCTGCAGGAGTTACAGGAAGGAGGAATACAAAGCACTGTCCAACTGTCTTAGGGACTCCACTCTGGACTTGTGTAGGGTTTGATCTTTAGCCTTTTCTTCTCTGAAAGGTATCCCACAAGGCGGCAGAAGTTTAGGATCAGTTTTCCTTCTCTTAGATGTCTACCTTCCCAAGTTGACAAGCCCCATCTGCTCCTCCCTTCCACTAACAGCACATAGAATCATGTAGAAAACCACCTTGACCGTTGGATCTACTATTAGTCCCAGGTTCAAGACCCATCGGCTACCCTTACCTGGTTTAGCCAGCCAGCTGAAGGTGTTTCATTTCATTTCACTTTTAATTCGTATACAGTAGTACCTCAGGTTACAGACGCTTCAGGTTACAGACTCCACTAACCCAGCAATAGTACTTTGGGTTAAGAATTTTGCTTCAGGATGAGAATAGAAATTGCGCAGCAGCAGTGGAAAGCCCCATTAGCTAAAGTGGTACCTCAGGTTAAGAACAGTTTTAGGTTAAAAACGGACCTGTAGAATGAATTAAGTTCTTAACCCGAGGTACCACTGTACCATCTTTCTATATTACTGTACACAAGGCGGTTTAGAAGCTGAAGAAACAACAGAGATCTCACACACCACACAATCTGATCGAATACAAAAATGCCATAATAAAAAAAACTTTAAAATAAACAACTTATATCTTTAAAAAGTAGTATTAAATAATCCATTAGATTATAATAGTACACAATAAAATTAAATATCAGCAAACATTAAACAGAAATTCACTCTTAACAATTACAATAAATAATTTCTGAAACTAGAATCCATAAAAATAACAGCAAGTCAACAGTGCATAAAATAATGCAATACAAATTGAGAAGCAAAGACACACAACTTATAAAATTGTTTTAAAAAAATACCCCTGACCTCTTCTCTCTTCCCAGCTGCTTCTGCTGTTCCTAAAGTCATGGTGTGGGAAAGGCCCCTAGGGCTGGTGGGGGCGCAAGGCAGGTGGGAAAAGCCATTGCCTGATGAACAGCGCAAAGTCTCTCTCCCCTCGCAGTGCTTCCTCTAGAAACAGCAGCTTCCTTATCGAGGCTCCACAGATTGCCATTTCTTCCAATTTAGTGGTAAACATCACATTTTCCGGGGGGGGGGGGGGATACCGTATTTTTCGCTCTATAATACGCACCAGACCACATGACGCACCTAGTTTTTGGAGGAGGAAAACAACAACAATAAAAAATTCTGAATCTCAGAAGCCAGAACAGCAAGAGGGATTGCTACGCAGTGAAAGCAGCAACCCCTCTTGCTGTTCTGGCTTCTGGGATAGCTGCACAGCCTGCATTCGCTCCATAAGACGCACACACATTTCCCCTTACCTTTTAGGAGGGAAAAAGTTAGTCTTATAAAGCAAAAAATACGGTAATCCATAGGGCAAATGCAAAACCGCTCAGACCTGTGCCTAGAAAGTACGAGGCAAGTGGAAAACCTCTTGGGTCCCTGCTTTCTAGGCATGTGGGCAAGCCCCAAGTATAACACAGAGAAGTGTCCCAGATATCATTGAATTCAGTGGGACTTGATGTTGGTTCACCCGGCTACATCTTCCACGATAGTGCATTAAATATGGGGCTGGGGCTGGGGTGGGAGAACTGAAAATAATGTAACACACAGGCCCAGAGGAGACAGCTTATCTATAATTTTTTTTCTTTAATGACAGCGTGAATCATGAGACTCTATATACAGTGGGATGCTGTTAAATCGAGTAAGGGGGGAATGCAGGTTGCACGGCCGTTATTTTCAGGGGTGGACTAAATGACTCTTGGGGTCCCTTCCAACTCTTCAATTCCATGATTCTATATTTGGGGGGTTAATCCTGATGTATATTTTGCTTTAGGAGGCTTAGTTTGGTCAGAATCGAGTATATACATCCAGAGTTAATGCTAAATACATTGCTTCTGGTAAATGAGCCATCGTAGCCGCTAGAGGGTTGTGAACATTTGTGCCCTGGGCTTTTTAAACCATGTACTCTCTGAAACCAAAGGGGCGCATGGGTTGCCAGGTGTGAATTTTTCCCCAGCACTCCCACCCCACTATAGAGAAGTTCAGACAAAGGGTAGAGCCCTCGTTACATGACCATGTTGTCATGTACCCATTCTCATATTCCTGTGCGAATGTAGACTTTTGGTTCTACTGAGACTGGAACAAGATGCTACCACAAATATTTGGTCTGACGATTAGCTCTACGCCATACTGCCTACCATCCCCTTGGACTTGTGCCCCCGTTCCACTTCAGTGGCTGTAATAATAATAATAATAATTAATTATTATTATTATTATTTATACACCACCCATCTGGCAGGGTTTCCCAGCCCCTCTGGGCAGCTTCCAACAGAATATTAAAAACACAATAAAACACCAAATATTAAAAGCTTCCCTAAACAGGGCTGCCTTCAGATGTCTTCTAAAAGTCATATAGTTGTCTATTTCCTTGACGTCTGATGGGAGAGCGTTCCACAGGGCGGGCGCCACCACCGAAAAGGCCCTCTGCCTGGTTCCCTGTAACCTCACTTCTCGCAGTGAGGGAACCGCCAGAAGGCCCTCAGAGCTGGACCTCAGTGTCCGGGCAGAACGATGGGGGTGGAGACGCTCCTTCAGGTATACTGGGCCGAGGCCGTTTAGGGCTTTAAAGGTCAGCACCAACACTTTGAACTGGTGGCTGTAGGAAAGCTGTAGGATTTATAACATGCCAAACTAATTCCCATTTTTTTAAAAAAATGTCCATTTGCATATGAGCAGTATATCTCACTTTCAGTCACAACGGCTGATCATCTTATCACAGGGATAAATTTAAATTAGATGTTACAATCCTACTGAAGAACCACCCAGCTCTGCCGGTTACTTGAATTTTATGATACAGCCAGTTTTGACAGGTGACGGATTGTGAAGTAAGCAAGCTGAACCAATTGTTGCCCTGATATTTTCAATTCCTATTTGGCCCAAGTTCCAAGATTAATGGCCATATGTAATGTAGCACGATCAATAACAGTGCTTATGAAGGATTTGAAATTTAAATGATCTGAAATTTGAAGTTAGTCAAGCTTCATACTTCCATTCTGCCAAACACTTATCCACGAAGTAAGTTTTATTTTCTTTAGCAAACAAATTAAATACTGCCACTCAGCTCAGTCAGCTGAACTCTATTAAATATTCTGGATAGATCTGGTTGGCATCAAAGATGACAAAAATCCTTGGGTTCCAGGTACTGTCTACACAGCTGTCATATAAATTCACAAAGCTCCCATCTTTTGAAGGTGGTCTCACGTATTTGGAGTCCCCATTGACATAGTCCCCCGTCAATACACGAGCGAGAAACATCACTTTATGCTTCCAAAACATCTGAAGTTGCAGGTCAACTCCATGAATCTGTAATGTGCTGCCATGCTTCAAGTCATCTTTGCAGAAGCGGCTGGAATATAAAGCATCCCTTGCAAAATACGTCCCTACAGAAAAAGAAAAGTGCTTGAGCATAGTCCAGAAGTACAGTCATCCTACTTACTGAAGCCTGAGGGTGGAACCACACATGATCAAAGGCATGGGATTGCTGCCAAAAATGGCAACCGGGTCAAATCCCCACTTCTAGGGATGCGGGTGGCGCTGTAGGTTAAACCACAGAGCCTAGGACTTGCCAATCAGAAGGTCGGCGGTTCGAATCCCCGCGACGGGGTGAGCTCCCGTTGCTCGGTCCCTGCTCCTGCCAACCTAGCAGTTCGAAAGCACGTCAAAGTGCAAGTAGATAAATATGTACCACTCCAGCGGGAAGGTAAACGGCGTTTCCGTGCGCTGCTCTGGTTCGCCAGAAGTGGCTTAGTCATGCTGGCCACATGACCCGGAAGCTGTACGCTGGCTCCCTCGGCCAATAAATCGAGATGAGTGCCGCAACCCCAGAGTTGGTCATGACTGGACCTAATGGTCAGCGGTCCCTTTACCTTTACCTATCGCCTAAAACAGGGGTCAGCAAATTTTTTCAGCAGGGGGCAGGTCCACTGTCCCTCAGACCTTGTGGGGGGCTGGACTATATTTTGGAAAAAAAAAAATGATGCAAGAGCACCACGAGCCCCGGTGGCTGCTTACCTGTGTCTTGCGGGCTGGCGGCAGCGGCGGAGGGATGATGAGCAGTGCGCAAAAGGGCTCCGGAGAGGGGCTGCTTAAAATGGCAGCCGCTCGAGCGCTGCTGCTTCTGGCACCAACAAAGCCCAGCCCCCTTCCTCCTCTAGGCAGGACAGGAAAAAGCAAGGAGGAGGGAGGGAGGAGGCGCCGCCACTGTGTAAGGGAGGGAAAGAACGCGCACACTGGCGGGCCACGCGGCGATTCCCAGACTGTCCATGGGCCGGATCCAGAAGGCAATTGGGCCTGATCCGGCCCGCGGCCCTTTGTTTGCCTACCCATGGCCTAAAACATGTATCAATGGAAACACACGATAAAATATAATGATGTCACGCACTTCCTGACCCGCACCATTGGATAGCAGCTGGAGGTGGAAGCAGTATATGCACCACCTGCGCTGCGATGGGTTGCTGGGACTATGTGGAAAGCTTCCAGAGAAGGTTCTTTTTATCATATGTGGTGGGAATGTAAGAAAGTGAAAGGCTTCTGGGAAAGGATATACAATGAATTTAAGAAGATTTTAAAATATACATTTACAAAGAAACCTGAGGCCTTTCTGTTAGGAATACTAGGAAATGAGATAAAGAGAAAGGATTGTAAATTTTTCCAATATGCAGTGACAGCAGCAAGGGTGCTACTGGCTCAGAAATGGAAACAACAGGAAATACCGACGGTGGAAGATTGGAGAATGAAGTTGTTAGACTATGCTGAGTTGGACAAATTGACTGGGAAAATTAGATACTTAAGAGACCAAAAGTTCATCGAGGACTGGGGGAAATTTGCGCAATATCTGGAAAGTATAAGTGAGGGACAGATAACGCTAGAGGGGTTTAAAAAAGCACTGTGAAAAACGGAGAAGTAGTGTTTAAAGAGAAAGGAAATGAAGGGTATAAACAATGACAATATAAACTAGGAAATGCGTAATTAAAATAATGACTATGGATGATTTACGGAAAAGCTGAAGGAAGTCCAGAAAAGAAGCATTTTGTGAAAACTGGATGTGAAATTACTATGTATGTTTTGTTTTGTTGTAAATTAATAAAAAAAAATTATATAAAAAAAAGAAAGCTTCCAGAGAAATCCAGATCGTGGAGCGCCAATTCCAGCCCTTGCTTACTTTTCCTTGGAACACCACTCACTCGAGGACTAGTGGGTGTGCTTGGGAACTTATTGGTGATTTGCCGCAGGTCTAATTTCTGGGATTAGTTCTAATTTATGGCTCTCAATTCTGACCCTTAGCAAGACTTTTTTTCAGATTAAGGGATGCTCACAAGGGCAGCATGGAACTACTTTGTAGTAAAACATTTAACTAGGAGAAAGCTGCAAGAACATAATGTGCATGAAAACTCATAAAAGATATCTCATACAGCTCCTTGCCTTTTCCATATACAGCGGCATGCATGCCATTGATTCTCCAGTCAAAGTTATGAATGCAGATGGCTTCCACGAATTCACTGCTGGTGCCATGAAACAACATATGTTCATTAATGAAGGAGACACCTCTTTTCTTCTTCAGCTGAGCCTTTTTCCTGTCAAAAGGACAAAATAACAAACAATTTGTAATGGAAATAAAAATGTGGGCAAAGCAAAAGCCAGTTGAAGAGGTAGTAAATTCCTTTTAAAAATAGACTGCAGACTGCAGGTAGGAGACTGCACTTGTGAACACAGGGAGAGGCCTAGGCCAGATCACCGATAAACTAGTCTTCCACTTGCAGAAATGTTTTGTGGCTTTTTTTAGTTGCACACAAGGTAACATTTCAAAAATAATATTCTCCATGCACCAGCTGTATGAACTAATACAGTCCTTTCTACCACACAATCGCACACATTAGAAATTTGATATTTTATAAATCAGAGCCCTAAATAAATTCAAAAAAACAACACTGGGATATCACTATAATTCATCATGCAAAAACCATTAACGCATCTACTGCTAGCAAATATTGTTGGTGCTAACCTAATAAAATAGTTTCGGCGCAACCATTGGAGACCAATGAATTCCCTCTTGTGGGGTTCTTGGCTGAGAAATCATTACGCAAAACAAATAGCAGATCTTTGCTTAATGCATTTCTGTAAGTATCTGCATACAGCTAGGAAACTAATTATTAAAAAGGTGATTAAAAAGGCTCCAAAATGGCAATTTTAAAAACATTTTATCGGCATGTAAGCAGACACTTGCCCAGCTGCCTGTGGTAAGACATGTTTATAGATAACCAGGCAGGGATGTTGTTGTTTTCCTCTGGCAGGTAGGCTACTTAAGTTATGCTGGTCTAATTGAAAGGATGAGTAAATCAGACTGGTTTCGACAAGGTTTCTGCTGCCAGAGCACTTTATGAATTAGCACATTAATGACATGGATATATTTTGGCATGGAAATACAAAACAGATCAAGGGAAAATCATGATGAGTCAATGTTATGTAAAAAGATCATGCCAAGAACATTTCAAGTGGCATTTCTGTGATGAAGAAAATGTGCAGACTGGTCCAGTTTTTTTAAATACCGCCTTCAACTCCTGCAACCTTCAACAACAATATTTGGGGACTTTGAATTGAAATGTGACATTTGAGCAGGCCAATTCAAGTCAGTTAAACCTAAATAATTGAATTTGTTTGTTATTATGCGATGGATTTTTGTGTTTTTATACTGTAAACTGCCCTCTGATCCTCAGATGAAGAGCGGTAAAGAATTTTTAAAACAACAACCACCAAAACTTGTAGAGTCAACTGTCAGGACCACAATAACAATGTTATCTTTTAATTAAAACATTACCAGGGTGAGCTAGTAGGAGATATGAGTTGATACTGGCCATTTATGTAGTTTGGGGCTCAGTGCACAATGTATTAATAGAGAAAAGAATGAAATACATGCACTGCAAGGCAGATAAAGACAGGTCTGATTAAGAATGAACGAAAGGAAACATGAATTTTAAGCTTGAAATTAAGTCAATGTAAATACTGAAATGATCTGTCTTTAAAAGAGATGCTATTTAGCACAAAAACCACTTTTAAAATAGTCTCACCTGCAAAAGAATTCCCACAGGTCTAGATTCTGAATTCTCTGAATTCTTCTAATTCGATTACTATCCATTGTTTTCCCAAACTGGCTAGCAACCTCCTTATATTCATTTGTCAGCTTATGCAAAGTAATTAGCTGAAGGAGAGAGAAACACGGAACTTTACCCAGATGCATTAAGTCCTTTGCTTCTAACGATTTCAAAATAACCTACTAAGATCTTACCTGGTATGGCTCTTCTGAATTTACATTCTCCCAGTGTGAAGGCATGGGGATAGACTGATTTTCACAGATGAAACTTTAAGCACAAAAGGAGTAGTCAGTACGCTGTCACATCCCCCACTCAAGACAGAAATAGTACACAAAATGCAAAATGTACAAAAATGTAAAGGATTGGAAAGAGTTTTAGTTTCCTCTTTGGATTTTGTTTTTGAACAATAAGGGCAGAATAAAAAGAAAAATACCGTATTTTTTGCACCATAACACTCACTTTTTTCCTCCTAAAAAGTAAGGGGAAATGTCTGTGCATGTTATGGAGGGAATGCCTACGGGTGGCATGCCTACGGATTTTCCTCCTCTAAAAACTACGTGCGTGTTATGGTCGGGTGCGTGTTATAGAGCGAAAAATACGGTAATCAGTCAATCAGGTGCTTTAATGATTTGCTGAATTAGAACCTTAAGTTTAAGGTTTTAGATGTGCCTATTTAGTTATGTTTTCTCCAATTTTCCTACAAGGGGCAGAGGTTACTTAACTTATTCCCACTTCTTTGTCCTAGGGAGAACCCAGAACACTAAGTAAATGTAAGAGGTCACCTGAAGAGGAAATGATCTTAGATTATTTTTAAAAATCAGTTCTGGAAAGGTTAGGAACACAGGAAGCTGCCTTAAACCTAGTGATACCACTGGCCCATCTAGTTCAGGGCTGATGATGCTGACTGCTAGTGGTTCTCCAGGATTTCAGACTGGGGTCTCTTGCCTGCAGACGTCAGGCTTTGGTCGTGGCACCTTTTGCATGCAAAGCAGAGATCTATGGCCGGAAACCAGAGACTGAAGGAATGGGTTTCCCAAAAGACTTGCAGCTCTTTCCCTTGAAGTAATTAAGTCTGATTCACCTACCCATTCCTTTTTCCTTATTGAATATCTTACTCGTTTAGATGATCAAGAAGTTAATCAAAACAGAAAGAGAGATGAAAACAAGGAAATAAATAATGTACTTTGCACAGCTTCTGTTCAATGAGGCTTGAACAAAATAACTTTTGCTCGGCGGACTGCAAGAGAGCTCATTCAAAACTGAAAGTTTTCAGGGATGCAAAGTTAAAAAGAAAAAAAGAGAAATGAAGTAAATTGCTTCTTCTCTTGTTAATAGCAAATATAGGGCTGGTGTATAAATTGCATCAGATATTGCAAAATGGCTACGATAATTTGTTTCCACAATGTCTGAGGTGCACCAAGTGATGAACTGTGAATATAGTTTCATCTGTCTTTTGCATTTTAATATACTCAAGGTGGGGGGAAGACTATCAGCATGAACCTAGAACAGGCTTCCTCAACCTCGGCCCTCCAGATGTTGAGACTACAATTCCCATCATCTCTGACCACTGGTCCTGCTAGCTAGGACTCATGGGAGTTGTAGGCCAAAAACGTCTGGAGGGCCGAGGTTGAGGAAGCCTGACCTAACAGGACACTAAAACATTTAAAGAAAAAAATAACTATGTCACAAGGAAAATGTGAGTGACTGTTACCTGAAGGCAGTGATAGAAAATGGAGCTCTTTTTATGGGACGTTCTTTTCCAGTTGTTTGGTTAGTTTGTTTCATCCCTGTGTAAAAAACCAGAGTTAGCCAAAATCTAAATCAGCCTACCACACGCTGGTGCCCTCCAGATCAGGAGTAATGAGAGTTTTAGTCCCAGTTTTTGGAGAGCACCAGGTTGGGAAAAGCTGGTCTAGAAAATGGACAGACAGAATTTTGCCGAGCACTTTTTTCAGTGTTCTTTCATGGGAATTTTAGTTAACAGCACATAAAAGTGCACTAATGATCAGTTCACAAGCCAATCAAAATCTATTGTAGGTAAATCGATTTGATCTGTTCAAATGTAGCTCTTGCCCTTTCTTACAAGCTTAAGGAAACGCACACTGGGGACGGGGGGACGACTTTCCCTTTTGCTAGTATCCTGCTCTCCCTCCTGATTCGCGCTACATTTATACGGAGTTACTGAATTCTATCCTATCTTGTTTTCAAGGCCTCTAGGCAGGACACATAGGGCAGCTCACAGAATAAGCCATACCAAATGCTAAGGTACTGTGAACTTAATAAGGGTGTAAGAATAAGTTAAAACTTGTGTTTTAAAATGTCGTAAGCCACTGATAATGTGATAAAAATCAATCAAGTAAGTCTCCCAGGCAGTAACCAATACAAATGTGCTTCTCTTCAACATAGTCACTGCATCATATGCCTTACTACAAGTAAAAGTTCTCTGTTAATTATTCACCCACGCAATCAGAAAACTTCCCAATTACAACATAGGGTATTTCCCCTGGCTTATAAATGTCTTATACCTTCTCAGTAAATAGATATACATACCTGAAAAGTCCAGCACATAGTCGAATTTTGCAGTTGTAAAAGAAATGGAACCTTGTGGATTAATTTTGAACATTCCTTCAATGTCTTCACTGCTAAGTGAACACTGGCTAGTAGAATCAGTCTTCAAAACAAATGAAAAGCACACTTTTAAAGGTTATAAAAAAGTGACCCAATAATTATTAGCACATAAACAACATTTCAGAGTGAATTTTAGAAGAATTTAGGAGAATAGATGCAGAGGTGCCTCAGTAGTTTTAATACTTTCAGTTACAAGATTATGTAAATGTCAGAAGTACAGAAGAACTGCCAAAGTTCTCATTTAAATTTTAGAACATTCTTTGTTTGAGATTTTACATTCATGGCATCTTACACCTAATAAACCCAGCATAATTCTGCAAAAGCTGTAGGCTGGGGTCTCCTTCAACCTTTATTATTAACCGGAACAATTTCCTTGTTTTGAACTGCAATACTACACACAACTGGATGTGAGTAAGCACCACTGAAGTCAAAGGAATTGATTTATCCACTATCACAAAATCAGTTATTGCAAATAACTGGCATTCTGCAAAATTTCCTACAACAAAAGAATTGATAAAGAAAGCATGGCAATAAGCAAAGCTATCTAAATTAAGTGAAGACAAGAGTAAACAATATAATGTAAAAGGTTGCTAAGAAGAAGAAGAAGAAGAAGAAGAGTTTGGATTTGATATCCCGCTTTATAACTACCCGAAGGAGTCTCAAAGCGGCTAACGTTCTCCTGTCCCTTACTCCCCCACAACAAACACTCTGTGAGATGAGTGGGGCTGAGAGACTTCAAAGAAGTGTGACTAGCCCAAGGTCACCCAGCAGCTGCATGTGGAGGAGCAGAGACGTGAAGAACTGGCAATCAGTTATCTGATTTTTGTAAACCAAAATATGGTATTGAAACTAACACCTAAAACTGTTTTCCAATTGTGCATATATTTGTATTTGTATAAAAGTTGATCCCTCTGATACTTCCAGCAGAGCACGTTGTTGTTCATTCATGTATTTTAATATAAAATTTATAAAATATACTACGACTTGCAAGAGATTCTTAGCCTCACTTTTCCATCTGTGAAATGAAAACCACAACCTACTTTGCAGAGTGCAAGGACAGGAAAACAGAATGTTGAATAGGGTGAGCTATCTACAGAAATGACTACCTCAAACATATGCCACTTGCCACATTCAGCCAAGTAAAACCAACCCCACTGGGTATCCGACGTGTCCATTTCTTCGAGGTGGTCTGCCATATCATGAGAGAGCTCATCTGCTCCCTGAGACATCTCTTGAAACGGTCCAGACATTTCCTGAAAGAATCAGAGCAGTTGCACGAGTGAAATTCTGGTTTCGCTGGTTTGCAATTCTTGAGGGGGGGGGGGAGAGAAACATTTCCAAAGTTTAAAACCGATGCAGATTTCTTACAGATCCTCATACAGGACTGGAATCACAGGGGAAAAGCACACTCCGGGTGGTGTCCTGTCAACCTCTGCCTCCTACTCCCAACACCTTGTTCTGCTGCCTCACTTGCAAACATCCACGGGGGCGCATCCTGGGACGAAAAAGTGGTCCCCAAGTCAACCGGGAAGCATCGGAGCCGGCTCTTGGGGGGGGGCGTGGTCCCTTTGCTTCCCCCCACCCCAAATAAAATATTTGTGTTTTTTTTTTTATAGGATATTTATTAAGATTTTCAAGAAGTTACAAAATAAAAATAAATAAATAAAAAGAATACCAAAGAAAAAAGATACAAACAGAATAAAATAAAAACAGTTAAAAAGCAATTCAGTCATCACATATTTTTCATTTACTTATTTCCTGGACCTCCTCACGCCTTCCTTCTCTGTATTCCAGTTCAAAATTATTATTTCAGCAAATCCCTCCCCTCTTTCAAATCCTTTCCCTAATTCATAATATTCTGTCATCACATTACCTTAATCTATTTTCATCTTATCTTTTATATATATATATATATGCCAAATAAAATATTTGAAGGGGGCCGGATTCCCTTCCAAAAGTTGAGGGGCATTGCGTGTGCCACGTCTGGCGATCCATCAGGCTTACCTGCCCCCTCAATACTTCAAGTTGCTCCCCCTGCTCGGAAGCCGCCTCTTCGGCGCTAAACCCCGAGCCCCCCGGGGAGGGCTGCGTTGGGCGGAAGCGCAGCCAGCCTCCCCAGCGCTATCCGGGGCCGCCCCGCTGCTCTGGCCTTTTCAGCGGCGACGGCGGCGGTGCCCCAGAGCATGTGCAGAGTGCGGGTTTCTCCCTCGCGCCCAGGGAGGCGCCTGGAGGAAAGAGGCCGCGGCGGCGGGCGGGGAGAACGGGATCCCCCACCGGCTTCTCCTCACGCCGAGCCGGCAGCTCCGCGACCGCCGCGGGGATAAACGGGGCCGTCTGTTTACATGTAACGCAGAAGAGCCACCTGGCGGCCGCCCCTCCTTCGCCCCCTCAGGCGGAGCTTCCCTTCTTCAGGCAGGGGGCGGGGAGGGGGCGTGGCTTGCCCCGAATGACGGACGGGCGCGCGCCCCGCCCCCGGCTTCCCCGCCGCTTCCGCCCTCTCGTGCCCGCCCCTTCACAGAATCATAGAGTTGGAAGAGACCACAAGGGCCATCGAGTCCAACCCCCTGCCAAGCAGGAAACACCATCAGAGCACTCCTGACATATGGTTGTCAAGCCTCTGCTTAAAGACCTCCAAAGAAGGAGACTCCACCACACTCCTTGGCAGCAAATTCCACTGTCCAACAGCTCTTACTGTCAGGAAGTTCTTCCTAATGTTTAGGTGGAATCTTCTTTCTTGTAGTTTGGATCCATTGCTCCGTGTCCGCTTCTCTGGAGCAGCAGAAAACAACCTTTCTCCCTCCTGTATGTGACATCCTTTGATATATTTGAACATGGCTATCATATCACCCCTTAACCTCCTCTTCTCCAGGCTAAACATGCCCAGCTCCCTTAGCCGTTCCTCATAAGGCATCGTTTCCAGGCCTTTGACCATTTTGGTTGCCCTCCTCTGGACACGTTCCAGTTTGTCAGTGTCCTTCTTGAACTGTGGTGCCCAGAACTGGACACAGTACTCCAGGTGAGGTCTGACCAGAGCAGACTACAGTGGCACTATTACTTCTGAGCACTCCTGACAGAGGACAGAGAGGAAACCAAATCTAATAGCTGGCAGTGAAACATTATGGATTCTACCTTCTATTTTCTGCCACAAGAGACACAGAGAAGACTGGAAGATTGTTATGACATGATCATGAATGGCAAATGCTAGTAGCTCATCTCCTGCCAAAAGATAGCACCTACTCCCACAACTTATCTTGTGAATGATCAAAGTGATGTGACAGCTGAAATCCTGTAAATGTTTCATCAAAACACGTCACAAATATTTTTTGAAAGGGGAAAGTGCAGATTTGTGCAGCCTCAAAAAACAAAAACATCCACCGTCAACTGATACAGACCCGAATGTGTGGTCCTCCACACCAATTCTCTGGTTTCTCCCTAGCTATAATTCAACTTGGATATCAACCCTTTCAATACAAGCCTTGACATATAACCGTTGCTCCAAAGGAAGCCGCTTCTCACCTGTCAGAGTCATAGCTGTCAATTTACAGATTTGAAAAGCCTCGAAGCCTCGAAAAGAAGGGATCAGCAGCCAAAATAAGGGATTTTGGCTTAGTTTATGCACTGATGGAGCCAGGCTGCTTTGGCTGCCACTGACTGTGTTTTGCAGGGGGTTGGACTAGATGAGCCTAAGGGTCTACAGCTCCCACCAAAGACAAAACTGATGAACGGCGTCCAGATGGCAAAGCTTACAGGCAGAATTAGAAACCAGGAAGAGGACCTCTTTAATAAAGAATGGGGAAAGTTTATCATTTAGTGGAAAAGCTATTGTCAAGAGTTACATACATTGGTAGGATTAACAGAAAACTTGTAGTAAAAATGTGAACTGTGGAAGGACAAATGATTTATAAAAATAGAGTTATGAAAGGGATGCAGAGGGGGAAATCACTACATTAAGATGCTGCACTGGTTGGAGGGGATGCTAAGCAGCACGTCGGGGCTGCTGTTGTCCTGGTGCAAGGAGTTCCATTGGCCCTTCCCCGCCTGAGGGGGGGAGGGAGACTCTCACCCATGCCGCCCGCCAGCCCGGCATGAGGCCGCCCTTCTGCGTCCCTCCCCATCCCCCTCCCTCAGGCCGCCTCCTCAGCCGCCACTGCCGCCTCCGGCTTCCCCTGGCAGCGCGGCGGAAGTCTCGCATGAGAGGGGCTGCCTGCCTGCCCGCCGCCACCTGTCTCCTCACGACGCGCCCCTGAAGGGGAAAAGGGAGAGACGGAGACGCAGCAGCTCGTGCGCGCGCTCTCTCTCACGGCAGAGGACCCCGAGCCGCTGCTTCCCTCCCGAGCCGGGCGAGCATGAAACCCAGGAAATTTAAGGGACATCATCAATAAGGGACAGCAGCGGGACACGGCGCTGGGATAAGGGAGTTTCCTGCCAAATAAGGGACAGTTGACAGCTATGGTCAGAGCCTGCAAAGCCACAACACCGAGCAGTGGTAGAGTGACTCGCCTGCGAGGAAATGCGAGCTCGCTTTCGCGATTTTCTGGGCGCTCCGGAGCCACCGCCTGTTGCTTTTCCTGCTGTGCCTTCGAAGGGCACTGTCGCCTGCATACTGCCGCTGCTGCCTCCGCTCCACACGCCGGGCCTGTTGTGTGCTGCTGCTGCCTAAGGCCCAGGCGGCAGGACCATTTCCTGCGCCAGTCACGGTGGTGAAGATGCCACGTGGCGCTTTTATGCGTTTCTCTCTCTCCCCCCCCCGCAGCATCTGGCCAGTCATTTGCCGCGCAAAGCGGGCCATGCGGCGGCTGCCGCCAGCGGAGGAGAAGGGCAGACCTGGTGCCAGGAGGAGAGCGGGAAAGGCTGCGATCCCGAGAATGCTGCAGGCACAGGGGAGCAGAAAGCACTTTCTTGGGTCGCCACTCTGCTGCGCCATGTTCAACAGGTCTGTGAATGAAACAGGCAGTGCCGAGTTTACGTACAAGCTAAACAGGCTATAGCTTAGGGGGCCCCCAAAAAAATTCAAAGCAGAGATCTATGTACATTTCTAAAATATAAGAAAAAATAAAATAAAATAAAACCTACATACAGAAGCAGTGTTTTGTGTTGCGTAGGCTCCTATGATGTCATATGCCTAGCCTGCTCCCTAAAATATCACTTGCTTGCTCATTTCTATATATAGGGTGCCTACATTCTGCATGGACTGGATATCTAGATACCCATTAGGTCCATAAATGACCATATAGCATATATTCAAAACAGGTCTGTGAATGAAACAGGCAGTGCCGAGTTTACGTACAAGCTAAATAGGCTATAGCTTAGGGGGCCCCCAAAAAAATTCAAAGCAGAGATCTATGTACATTTCTAAAATATAAGAAAAAAACAAATAAAATAAAACCTACATACAGAAGCAGTGTTTTGTGTTGCGTAGGCTCCTATGATGTAAGTCATATGCCTAGCCTGCTCCCTAAAATATCACTGGTTTGCTCATTTCTATATATAGGGTGCCTACATTCATATATTCAACACAAGAAACAGCGGCAATTTGTTGTTGACAAAGGACAGCTGGACATATAAAGGGCCCCATTACCTTCAGTAGCCTAGGGCCTCACCAAAATCCAGCCCTGATTACTACTAACGAAATGAGATTTCAGATTTCCAGGAAGACACAAGATCTACCCACTCTGGAAGAATGGCAGATGAAGGTGATTGACTACATGGAACTGGCGGAAATGACTTGCAGAATCCGAGACCAGAGAGATGAGACGGTGAAAGAAGACTGGAAGAAATTTAAAGACTATTTACAGAAATATTGTAAAATTAAGGAATCTTAGAAGGATGTTGGATAGAAACTAAGGGTTTTTTAGCTGTAATGCTTTAAGAGATATGAAAAAAGGTTTGCAACTGGGTAATTTCAATGGTAAGGATTTGCTGAATCAACAAATTGAACTGGAATACAAAAAAGGGAGGTATGAGGAGGTCCGGGGAAATAAGTATAAGGAAGATAGGTTATGGAAATTTAATGTCCTTTTAATTGTTTTATTTGGTATGTTTTCTTTTATTTTTTACTTCTTTGGTTATATTTTAAAAAAAACTTTATTCTTGTTTTCTGTATTTTGTATTTTTTTTTGAAACTTTAATAAATATCATTTAAAAAAAAAAAAGAGAGATTTCAGATTTCCAAACCCAGGTGTAAATTTTACTATAGACGTCCTACTGGTTTAAACTTATGTTGTGGACGCCAAATAACAAAAACAATAATCTTTTGGATTTTTTTTTAAATAGGATTCTTATTAAACCTCAATCCGGCCCTCATCAAACCTCAATCCGGCCCCGCTTCTCTTTCACCCGGACGAGGCACGTGGGAAACCAAAGCGGGGGTTTTGTTCACCGATTAAGGGCTAGCCTTGAGCAAGCGCGAGCCTTTATTCTGCCAAAATCAGAACTTTTTACTTCGTTTAAGGTGACCTGAGGTATTTACCCCGCGCCCCTCCCCCCCCCCCGGGCTCAGATCCGGAACCATTAACTCTCCCCCGCCCCTTGGCTGGAGCGGCTGGCGCGCGGCGTGACGTCATCTCCGCGCGCGGCGGCGGCGGAGGAAGCCGGCCGGCAGTTGGGTTGGGGGAGGGGCGGGTCCGGAGCTCGGCTGCCCGGCGGGCGAATGGCCAGGATGAGGCCGGCCGCGTTCGGCTTAACCGTCGTCCGGCAGTGAGTACGGCGCCCCTCACGCGGCCGCCTCTTGCCCTTGGCTCGGGGGGAGGGAGGGGGCGTCTCGGGAACCTGAGGGAGGGCCGGATTTACATATATGCTAAACATGCTAATTACGGGGGGGGGGAGGAACTGGATGTACCTTTCCAAAATATAAGATAAAGAACCAATAAACCCTACATACAGCAACAGCGTTTTGTGTTGTGTAGGCTCTCATTCTGCATGTGCAAATGGCTTTAGATACCCATGAGGTCCATAAATTAATATTTTAATCTTGTTTTTAAGTTGTATTCATTCAACTTGTCGGTAATATCAATAAATACAAAAAAAATTCAGACATTTGTTGGCATCCATCTGTCTTCAGAGACAATGGATTGCGCTAGCTGCACCAAAGTGACCTCCCCAGGGAAATAATTCATATGCTGCTTTGAGATCTGTTAAAGAGAGGCAGAATAAATCTAAAAATAGCTTGCAGTATGTTCCTCAGCCGAGGAATGATCCTGGCTTCCTCCCAGGTTCCCTGTTGAAATGTGCATGCAGCAAATTAAGTATTGACTTGGTTATCAGCCTTGCCCTTATTCCCTTGCTTCAGGTGGGTTGTCTGCTATTATATGAACGTTCATGCATTATAAATTCACTTGTTTTCTTTTTTTAAAAAAAAGTGCTTTGGGGAGTGCATGCATGTACGTGTGTTTGTGTGTTGACTGGTGTCTGGGGTTGGCAATAAATGGTTTGCACAGTCCGCTTCAGCCACAATCTGCTGAACCATTTTTTTCAATTTGACGAGTAAGGAAAATAAACACCTGAATTTTATGGTGAGGCCACTTCCAGCATGGCTCTACCCCTTCCCTTTCTCTCTACCCTCCTCCTCTGTGTTATGTAAGTTGTCTCCATAAATAAGAATTCTTTTTTTGAAAATATTTTGTCTCTTTCAGTGGGGAAACAAGATACAACAAAGAGAAGATTCTGCAAGGTGTGTGTTTCTTCTGTTGCAGCAAGAGTAATAAGTCATGCTTCATAACAAGTCACAATTGCCTTTAGCTTCAGTTCTGCGCTCTCATTAAATGCTGAAATATTTTGGCAAATATCTTTGGCTTTGTCTTGTAGTCAAATGATTATTTATGTTGAGTGTATTAAAATAATACCTCAAGCCTCTGCCCAGCAGCTCCTTGGGCTGAAAAGCTATTAAAGAACTCAAGCAGCATGCAGTACCTTGCCAGGTCGGGTGGGTGGCTGGATCCAGACAATTCTGACTCCTAAGCCTTTTCAGCTTGGAGAAACATAGAGGCACCCTTTGGTACATACACTTTCTTAAACAGCTGATAAACGCCCATAGAAGCTTGCTTCGGTGCACACAGAGCCCTAATTAGATTGGGCATGGTTTTTTGAAAAAGCAGGGCAGAAACATTTTTCCGTTCAGTATCCTGAGAACAGACTAAGTCCATCACCGAGTGGTCTCAGATATCATTTCTCTGTGTGTCGCCCTGCATTTTTTCAAACATCAGGTGAAGATTTGCAAGATGAATAATAATAATAATAATTTATTATTTATACCCCACCCATCTGGCTGGGTTTCCCCAGCCACTCTGGGCAGCTTCCAACTGAATATTAAAAACAACACAGCATCAGACATTAAAAACTTCTCTAAACAGGGCCGCCTTCAGTTGTCTTTTAAAAGTAAAATACAGTAGTTGTTTATTGCCTTGACATCTGCTGGGAGGGCGTTCCACAGGGCAGGCACCACTACCAAGAAGGCCCTCTGCCTGGTTCCCTGTAACCTCACTTCTCGCAGCGAGGGAACCGCCAGAAGGCCCTTGGCGCTGGACCTCAGTGTCCGGGCTGGATGATGGGGGTGGAGAGGCTCCTTCAGGTATACAGGACCGAGGCCATTGAGGGCTTTACAGGTCAGCACCAACACTTTGAATTGTGCTCAGAAACATACTGGGAGCCAATGAAGATCTTTCATTTGTAGTAAATGTTGGAGTTGCAACGTTATTCTGTGTGCAGCTAAACGGTTAATTCTGTTAATGTTAAAGTCAACTGAAGGGGTAGAAGTGTTGCTTAAAACCTAAGTGGCATGGTGTTTGCTGAGATAGCACATGCTCTGATTGGCTGTGCAGTTCTGAGGGAGTTTTCTTCTGTATGTTTGGTTGAAAGTCTCCCTGCTGTGCAAGAAAGATAAAAACTCTTCTGTTCCTTCTTAAATTATACACTGTTTTTGTTTAGTATCCTCAGTAAATTGTTAACAGGATTTATCTTCTCTCTAGACTCTGTTCACTTTAAGTGCCTTTGCTAACACGGCTCAGTAGTACCTTGAAATCTGGTCATCTTTCTGTGTGACAACTTCTTTATCAGTCAAGGCTTCATAGGAACAAATTTAATAACTATTGGATATCTCCAGCAGTGTAACTGCTGTGGGTCAGTGGTTAGAGCACAAGAAAGACTAGATTGGGGTGACCCAATTTCAAATTTTCAAAACCAGAAACTTGCCTTCCTGGAGAACTGCAGTTCTACCTGGGCAAGCAGAATGAGACAGATGCGTTCATTCTGTACAGAGCTATTTTTAAGCAATTAAACCCTTTCAAATTAGCAGAGTAGGCAAAAATTAATAAGAATTTTTTCCTCTGTGGAATTCAGAAAGGCCGCAGGAGAGGGGGAAGAGGCAGACATTTATGGAATTTTCAGAAGCATGCATGAATTCTACCATGCCATTCATGTATATGGTACTTTTGAGAGGAATATAACAAAAGCAAAAGCTAGGTCTCTGCTCCAACAAGATTGCATTTGAATTTGGAACATGTGGATTGGGATTGGGAAACGACAAGGGCTATGGAATGAATCTAGTACAATTTTGATTTTTCTCTGTCTACAAACTAAGGGGTCAAGCCAAAGATTTCATGGATGGGGTTTTTGCACATTAAAGGATTCTCAGTAATTTCAGTGGAGGGACCTGATACATGCACAAATTGTCTGTATATAAGTTGATGATTGGTAAAACTTGCTTTCCTTAATAATTTGGCCTATTTTTATTTTGACTCCTATAGGCCAAGGTATAGATGAGCCCCTCTCAGAGACTGGCTTCAGACAAGCCAATGCAGCTGGCCTGTATCTCAGTAATATAAAATTTACTCATGTCTTCACAAGTGATCTGCTTCGGGCAAAGCAGGTAAGCTTGTATAGGATGCAATTGGGATTATGCAAGATCAGACGTTCTGTAATTTCAGTTTAAATTTTTTTGGGGAGGCATCTACCATATATACTTGAATATAAGCTGAATTTTAGCACAAAAACCTGGGAAAACTTATTGACTTGAGTATAAGCTGGGCTGCTTTTGGGCTGCTTGTCCCTCCGCCGCCGACAGCGGCAAAAGCGGAGGAGGAGGAGCCCGCAAGAGCAGGCATAGGAGGCGTGGTTGCAAGAGGTGGGCGGCGGTGGCAGGACCAGCGGCGAGAAAGGGCTCCTTTCGGGCCACACATCCCTCCACCGCCGGCCTCACTCGAGTATAAGCCGAGGGGGGCTTTTTCAGCATAAAAAATGTGCTGAAGATGTCGGCTTACACTCGAATATATACGGTAATTCTGTGTGAATATGAGAGGTTTTATTGTCCAAGTGCCTCTCAAGTTTATCACAGCAGGCGTCCAGGTACCCTTATCTTCTCCTTCAGTCCAGATGCTACTCACTGACTTGCCACTCAAAAAAGATGCAGTGGTGATGGTAGGCACAATATTATGTTCTCACCTGTGTCTGATCAGATTCACAGTGATCCCAGTGCTCAGTCCCATTGATTTTCCATGGTCTCTACAACACTGATGAGGGCACATGAGAGCAGTTTTATAGTTGGCTCTGCAAAGCAAGAAAAGACTCTGCAGGAATGTTGGTGCATAAGCATCTACTCTTCGGTTTTCATTTCTTTCTTCAGCCGAGTTCCTTTTACAGAAAAGCTGTCCTGCATCTTTTACTTCTTTATAGCATCAGCAGTATTCCAGCTATCTCTTAGTGAAATTCCCATTACAGGAATAAACACCATTTGGTTCTGTTTCTCAGAGTCTTTATTATTTACAGAAACTTTACACTGGTCATTAAGAAAGAAAACAAATAAAGCAGCATAATCTTTTTCTTTTTCTAGCCATCTGGCCAGAGACCTAATTCTGACTCATTCGCATACTCATTTACACTGACCCAGACTTAGTTAATCGCATGCCCTGCTAAGGACACCTGTTGCTGGGGAAATTTCCCATTGCCTAGCAACTTGTTCAAGACCATTTACAAGTTTCTTCTAGAGTATTCCAACAAGGAGCCCCAGCCATGCCACATGTTTCTGGGCAGTCTAAGGGGGCGCTGCCGCTGATAGTCTCAGTCTCCCTAGAGAATTAACAGTCTATGACAATGGGCTTGCCAACAACCTCCCTAATCATATATTGATTCCCACTAGCCCACTCCATGGCAAAAAAAAAAAAACAGGTTCAATCATATGTGCTGTGACTCTATTGAGACATCCCTGGTTCTCACGGAGGGAGGGCACTGAAGTCCCATGTTGGCACACTCACTAGAGGAGGTCTCAGCATGAATGTTGAAGTTCCCCAGCACCACAGAAGAGGGAGCCTCCGTCCAACACCATATCAGAGACAGTCGTCACTAGCTTGGTCAGGGTGGCTGCTGGGTTGCATCATGGGCAGTACGCCAGCAGCAACCCTATTCTCTCTCAAGTCATCAAATAATGAATGATTCTTATTCTAGATGAGCCTGCCATTCCGTAACCACCGCCACCTGATCAGTAAAGGGAGGTTGGCGTACATCCCGAAATTCTGCCAGAGATAGTTTCATGTGCTTATGGACCCAGTCTCCCTACTTCCGCATCAACATGTTTATGCAGAAACTTCAGCTGTAGCTGTTCAGGGCTGTATGGGAACTCTGAAATTTTTGCCTGCTTGTTACTTGCAATTTCTACAGTGCCACCACCACTGCTTTTAAGTATCTGGTTGTGATGCTTCCACTGCTTGCGCAGTCCGTCCAAGATCTGCTGAAAGCATTGCAGCCACCAGTGGCAAACAGAAGGGATCATATCTCTCAGTTGGGCATCAGAGACTCTTAATCTCAAGGTCATGGGGTTTGAGCTCCACTTTAGGCAAAAGATTCCTGCATTTCAGGAAGTTGGACTAGATGACTCTTGCGGTCCCTTCCAACTCTATGATTCTGTGATATCTGTCTTGCCTGGTTTGAACTTCAAGTTTTAAGCCCTTTATCTTTCATAGTATTTGTGTGTTTTTTAAGCATGACTTGCCTGCTTAATGTTTCAGACAACAGACGCAATTCTAAAGAAGAGTAAGTTCTGCAAAGATGTTGCTGTAAAATATGATGCAAGACTCCGAGAGCGGGTAAGAACAGAAATTATTATTTCTACTGTTACATTTCTTTCAGCATTTGTGATTCTGTAACGTACAGTGGTGCCTCGCAAGACGAAATTAATCCGTTCCGCGAGTCTCTTCGTCTTGCGGTTTTTTCGTCTTGCGAAGCACAGCTATTAGCGGCTTAGCAGCTATTAGCGGCTTAGCGGCTATTAACGGCTTAGCGGCTATTAACAGCTTAGCGGCTTTAAGAAAAAGGAAACAAACTCGCAAGAACTCGCAAGACGTTTCGTCTTGCGAAGCAAGCCCATAGGGAAATTCGTCTTGCGGAACGACTCAAAAAACGCAAAACCCTTTTGTCTAGCGAGTTTTTCGTCTTGCGAGGCATTCGTCTTGCGGGGCACCATTGTACGTCATATTTAGCATCTGAGTCAGAGTCTTGATGCACTGGGCTCCCGATTCATGCATAGGATGCCTTGGTCTCTGTCTATGTCAGAATTCATGTGTGCAAAGTGGCTATAGATAGGCTGAGAATATGTATGGCAGTGTACCAATTCTTGGGCGAAGATAATTTGGAGGTAGTTTTAATAGCCTTTGAATTGTTTTTGCAACTAAAAAAACTATGATAAACTCAAAAATTATGCCATGAAATGTATTTTATTTCTATTTATTATTTGTGTTTACTTCTGTTTGCCCTAAAGGCCCACCCAAAAAAACAACCTAAGGCAGGACCTCCCCCCTCCCCACAATTAGGCAATCCACATCCACCAAATTTATCTCAATTAAGTGCCAGAAGTAATAATGTCAATATGAAGGAACCCGTATGCAGTCAGTAATTAGGTAGCCTGCCAACACTCCACAGCACGGAGACCACTAAAATCAAACTAAGGACCTTCATGCCCTGGGAAAAGCAAAGGAAGGATGGAAAGAACAAGAAGCATTCAAGAGCAAATGCCCCCTTGAAAGCAGAAGAGGAGGAAGCCGAGTCGCCAAGCGATATGAATTAAGTCTGCTTTTGTCTTCTCTGTTGTGCAACATAGGCCTGATTCATATTTCCCCTGCTGGGCAGCTCTGTTGGCAGTTCCTACATTGCTTACCACTTCTCTGTTTTTAAGGGGAGTTAGCGGGGCATGCAGAAGATGACAGCAGGGGATAGAACCGTTTCCTCAGCATGCGCCTTTGTGCAGTGATTCCCTAAGTGCTGGTCTCTGCAGGACAGAACCTGGTGTGTGTGTGTGTGTGTATTTAAGGAAGCCTTGCATATCTTTATGATAGGGATGCGGATGGCACTGTGGGTTAAACCACAGAGCCTAGGCTTGCCAATCAGAAGGTCGGCAGTTCGAATCCCCGCGACGGGGTGAGCTCCCGTTGCTCGGTCCCTGCTCCTGCCAACCTAGCAGTTCGAAAGCACATCAAAGTGCAAGTAGATAAATAGGTACCACTCTGGCGGGAAGGTAAATGGCGTTTCCGTGCTCTGCTCTGCTGGCCACATGACTGGAAGCTGTACGCCAGCTCCCTCGGCCAATAATGTGAGATGAGCGCCGCAACCCCAGAGTCGGTCACGACTGGACCTAATGGTCAGGGGTCCCTTTACCTTTAACTTTTATATCTTTATGGGCATGGGAAGAACCTGGTAGAAACTGGCATTTACTGGATTTTCAGGCATATTGGATGCTTGGCAGAAGAGTTTTCCTAGCCAGAAGACTTTTATTGTAAATCACCTTGGCAGGGCTCTGCTCTCTCCCCATGGGATGCCTTCTAGCATCCTCAACACTTGATTTCCATCACCATCACCTAATACAGCCCTATTACTATTTTTTACAGAAATATGGAGCGGCAGAAGGGAGGCCTCTGAGTGATCTCAGGACAATGGCAAAAGCTGCAGGGGAGCAGTGTCCGTCTTTTACACCTCCTGGAGGAGAAACACTTGAAGAAGTAAGCAGTACTTTTCGTAGTGATTTGTTGTCCAGTATACCTGGCTGTCATGCAAAAACTTTTCTATACAGTATCAGTAGCATATATCTTCATACTGCAAGTCTAGTCTAGTTCTAACCAGAACTATTATTTAGTGGAATTTGCCTAATGCCGCAGAGTGGTAGCATCTCTGAAGGGTCTCTAGTTGCCATTCAGAGAAGTTGGTCTGGTTCAGAAATGTACTTAGCCTCAAAGAATGTGGCATAAATATAACATATACCAAAATGCTTAGGAAGATGAGCTCTATCATATACAGAAAGTCACCCCACAAAGTCCCTTTTATGGTTTGTGTGCATGTTTTTCGCTCTTTTGTATGCAAGTCGATACAGTCATACCTTGGAAGTTGAACAGAATTCGTTTCGGAAGTCCGTTTGACTTCCATAAACGTTCGGAAACCAAAGCGCAGCTTCTGATTGGCTGCAGGAAGTAACCACAGAGCAATACAACATGTGCCACAACTAGAAAGCAACTTAAGATTGCGTGTGCCTGGCACTGTGTGTTGCGGTGCAACCAGCCACCCTGAAAGAAACGTTTGTTTGTTTTTTAAGTTAACTTTTAAAAAGAAGGAAGGAGGGACAGGTGATACAGGGCCTGGCACGAAAGAAGCAAACAGTGTCCCTTAATAGGGTAAAGCGTTTTTGAAATAATTTGCAATCACTTTACTCTGTCCTTCCCCCTTGCTTTAGGTAAAAGCACGTGGCAAGGATTTTTTTGAACACCTTTGCTGTCTTGTTGCCCAAGAAGCACGTCCAGAAAATAAAGCTGAGACAGAAGGAAGTAGCACAGAAATGGCAGGTGGAAGTTCTGCCAGCTCATTGACCAACCACCATAACAGACTGGAATTTAATTCCGACCGAGGCGCTGAAATACTGGATGCCAACATACTGGTTGTGAGTCACGGGGCATTCATGAGAAGCTGGGTGGGCTATTTCATTTCAGACCTGGCGTGCACTTTGCCAAGTGCTTTGTCCAAGACTGAGCTGTCTTCTGTGAGCCCCAATACTGGAATTAGTCGGTTCAATATAACACTAGAGATGAGAGAGGACAGTAAACCTAAAATCCACTGCGTCTTTCTTAATAGAGATGATCATTTAGGTGAGAAGATGATGGCCGGGAACATGGAGCTCTGAAACATGAAAATCACAAAGTTTATGTATGCAGTCTGTAAAAGCATATTTTCTTTGAAAGTATTTTAGTGGACGAGCCTGTTGGAAGGCAAAGGTCTTCTTACTCAGGAGGAAAAAAATGGAGCTGATTCAGTTTGGAAAGTTTGTAGCAACTGCTTATTGGTAGCATGCCATACAGCCCAGTATTGCATAAATGGAAAGCAGCACTTGTTTGCTCATATACACGGCTGAAATTACCTTAACGTTTTAGCAAGCGCTGCAGTATTAACTGAAAACGTTCTATTTGTGCACAGAGAACTCTATACGGTTACCCCATGTATTTACCGGAGGATTATTTATCAGTGGTGGCTCTTCTGCAAAGCAAGATTTCACCCTCTGGAGCCATTTTGACCCCATTCTAAACCTGGCTGCTTGTTTCGATATGCATGAAGGAGCATGAGCAAACATGGAGCGGGGGCCTCGTATTTCCTCCCACCGCCCTGCGCTTATTTCTGCTGCATGAAGACTTAAAATGGCTAAACCTGGATACGTGTGGTTCACAGCAACCTGTTCACTGTAGCGCTCAGGTGCGTAGCCCAGTTCTACAGAGAGCCCTGCCATTCTGATGCCCTTGAGCATGCATTTTTCCTCTGCTGTGTGAACATTTAATCTGTATAAATTAATAAGTGAATGATTGGATTTCATTTTATTTTGTACTAACTCACTTTTAAGATGTTCACGCCCTGGCCTTTTGTCAAAAAGGCTCTCAGAATGGCAAAAATCAGTATTGAGACAGTCCCTGTCTTCAGGCTCAGAATCTAAAAAGACATGATATGCGAGGAAAAGGTAAGGGGAGGGAAGAGGGATAAGAAAGCTCCAGCACAAGTTCCTCTTGTCTGGAAGAACAGCAACTCCTGCCCAGTGTCATAGACGTTCTGGTTGCCTTGCCTTTGATAAAGAGCCGCTCCCCCACTCCAAATTGCTTTCTTCCAGGAGCAGATCCAGGAACAGAGTTGGTGACAATGCGTAGTGTCCTCATGTGGTTTTGGAATCTGATGGTAATGTGATCTTGACACGTTGCTTGTCACAACTAACATTAGATGAAGTTGCAGGCTGCAGAGATTAGGTGGGTGTATTATATACCAAGGATTAACTGGAGACCTCTAGGGCCAGTTGCCAACCCAAGAGCAAAAGAGCACTTTTTGAAAACAGACCAGTGCCACACCCAATCCACTGCAAGCGCTTCAATTCCCCCCCAAATTTAGTGTCCCAGGACCAGTCGTGGTTCATTCTGGGTGCTTCCAACCAGTCACTTCTGCCTCCGAAGTTCTGTTCTGAGACAGAGAAGCTGGGAGAAGTTTAGGCGATGCTAACTCAGATCCAAGATGGTAAACAGTGGAAGAAGTAGGTGAGCAGAAAGCAGGTTTGTTGCTTGCTTTGGGTTAAAGCAGGGGCAGGGAGCCATGAGAAGACCTTTTGGCGGCTGGGCTGGGCGAAAAGGACTTCCTTTCTCTCAGCACAGCACAGAGAAGCTCAAGTGTGCTCTGCCACTGTGCCCCCTATGCCACTTCCTGTCTACCTCACCAGCCCCAATCAACACCAGCCACCAGGGCCTACACACAGTGGAGAGCACACATCCTCTTTCCTCTGCAAGCAGTTGTCCTGGATAGTTCACACCAGTGGACCCAGCAAATTTCCCCCAATGTTGCATCTTAGTGTAGAGCACCTGACACATAATGTTATATCCTTTAGGCTCCTTTTCTCTATTTCTGCTTTCTCAGATGATAGCAAAGGTATTTAGATGACTACCTCTTATCAGTGGGGGGTGGGGGTGGCGGGAGAAGTTTAGTGAAGCACTTCATTGCTCTTCCAGTGGCCCAGATACAAACAGCTCATTTATTAAGCGAAATAAGGTTTGAAATAAGAGTTGTCACCTCCTTTCCCGAAGCAGGTTTCTCCATCCTTTATGGGTTTGCCAACTTCTGCTGGCTACCACTGCTTTTCTAGCTGTAGCAACGAATGCATTTTTGAAAAAAGATGGAAGAAGTTATGAATTAGGGTTGCAACTAACCACAGCGCATTATACAATACCAAAACATATCAGTGTTGTCTAAATGATTCGCCTGTTAAGTGCTCAGTTGACATGGGAAGCATTTAACACAACATGTTCAACCCAAAGATTTTTGTTAATTAAATCAAAATAATGCTGTCCCATTGACTGACAGCAGTCAGTAATGCCTCATTGAGAGGGCATCGTTCCAACTGCATGGCACGCCCCCACCTCAAAGAGCAAATGAAAATCTGAATTAGATTTATCTGACTTAAAATTGGCATGTCTCAGATATCCCCTTCCCAGTAAAGGAGCATGCATTTTGCCCTATACTGGGAGATAAAACTCATGCTTCTCATTTTAAGGGAGATGTAGAAATGTCCTCTTTCAGTCTTTTTTTATATAACCAGTGTGTTTCAGGAGATGTGTGTGTTAAATTTCAGTTTGCCGTGAGGGCTGCACATCCTGGTTTACACAGCAGGTCCGCTTTTAGGGAGAGGTCCGAAAAGTGTTCCGCTTTTGGACTACATGTGTACCAAATTTCAGTCCTCCCGCTCACGTGGAAATACCATAATTTCAATATCTCCATTTGCATGGATGAGACCCACAGAAACAGTAATCAAGTCTAAGGAATTTTACATGCACACCCACATTGCTCGTCAACCCCACCCCCCATATCAACTCCCTAGAGATTACCCTTCCCACCCCATGCAACTAGGAAGCTCATTATTCACCCAACCATTCGCCTTCTGAAGCCAATTCTTCTCTTCTACAATCCTACTTTGCACCTTCCCTGCTCCTTTTGTGCAGCCCCCCTGCACACAAACAATGCCCACACATTGTAGCTAAGCGCCTTTTTCACCTTCCACCCAAATATGAAGCCTGCATCCCTCCCTTCAGCCCCACTTCCCCCTTTTTTGTAACCCCCTTTGCACTGCCTTTCCCCTTGCATTTCTCAACTCTTTTACACACATCCACTCTTCTAGTGTGCAGCCCCCTTTTCACACACCATTGGCACCTGCACTCCCTTTCCCCTCCCTCCTCCTTGCTCTCCCTTGCACACAGACCACCTCCAGTTCTGTGCCTCCCCCTCTCCTCTATTCTGCAGTCCCCTTGGCGCATGCACTCCAAGCTGATGTGTGTTACTGTATCTTTAAGTTGAATAGACTCTTAAGGCTGTCAGCTCCATCAGAGAATGTTAAGTTCAACTGATGAATATTGTCCATGTGTGGATGTTTGCTTGTTAATAAAGTATCTGTTCTACATTGAATTTGGAACTTCCTGTTGTAGGCGACACACGGTATCAAGAGTGAAATCCATGATTGTGGGAAGGTATTATGGAATATACTTTATCTCTCTCCTTTATCTCTCTCACATGATGCTGCTGAGCCATGGAGGAGGGAGAAGTTTAAACAACAACAACAACAATCTTTATTATGGTCCAGAGACCCAACAAATTGTTACAAAGCAATACACAATTCATACAGCCTACCTCCAGGTTAAACAAGCATTTTGTTCAGAATATAGGGATCATTGGTTCTTGCAACCACTGATAAAAACTTTGCCACTGCTATTGTTCTAGCATTTGTCCGGTCTTCCAATAGGAACCTGACATAGTGAGCCTCTGATTTTCCCGGGAAAGGTACCAGCAATGGTAGTATCAGTTCAGCCCTGGCTTGCTCGTATTTTGCACAGTGCAACAAAATATGTTTTATGGAATCGATGTCTTGAGCACACGAGCAAAGTCTGTCCTGGTAGGGAACTCCTCTCAACCTGCCATCCAACACTGCAGAAGGAAAGACGTTTAGTCTGGCTTTGGTGAAAAGCCTTCGATAGTTTGGTACTGTCAGGTTTTTAATGTAAGATGTTAACTTAAAGACATGCCCATATTGTACCCCTACTGCCAGCGGACTACAGACTGCGTGTGATTGAGATCGCAAGTCACTGTGTGTATTATTCCATAATCTTTGCTTTAACATCTTTTGGGTGCCTTCATAACCCAGGTAATACAGTTTGGGGGGGTGACAGACCAATAGAGGTGGCTTTTTTAGCCATGGTTTTCTGCCATTTGCTGATAAATTCCTCATTGGTCAGCTCCCCCCCCCCCTTCAGTGTTTCTCATTTTTCACTGTTCACCCAACAACAGACGTTTGAGTAAAGTGGATTAGAGAGATCAACCAGTTTTAAAAAGGAGAAATAGCTGAGATGGGCACAACACAGAAAGTTAATACAACAGAACCCAGCTCCCGTCTCAGGGTCCTCAAACCTTGCTTTAAACTGCCATCACCCCTTGCTCACTCTACTCAGACCTCTGCCACTGTTTAAGATTATCACTTTTTCCCTCCCAGTTTTCTCCGTTCCTGCTTATTCAAACCTCTGCTGTTATTTAAAACCGCTATCCCCCCCGCATCAGTGTCTCTTCCTTCTCATTCCCATGCCATGCTCACAGGTCGCATTCTCTTTTACTCCCTTATGTCACCCTGACTTCGTGCAAATCCGGGATTGTGATGCAGTGCCACAAATCCTCCAATGGGGGCTGCCTGATGACAGCATTACATTTTTAATGTATATAGGATGGAAAATCATTAGGACTAGTTATAGGGTTCTGTTGTAGGATCAATACTAACTAGAGATGGGAAGGCCTGGGGGAAAACGGGGGGGACCGGGACCCGTCCCGTCCCCGTTTTCCCCCCAAAGCCATTTTCCCCCGGAAAATTTGAAAAAAAGTGTGTAAAATATTCCAACTATATCAAACTTTTTTTTTCCAGAAAAAAAAGGCTTTGGGAAAAACTGGGGAAAAGCTTGGGTTTTCCCAATTTTTCTGGGTTTTTTCCCCAGGACTTCTCATCTCTAGTACTAACCTCCCATCTCTTGCGGGGCTGCAATTAGTGCCAGCACCGTCCGTTAAGAGTTTGGGTGTAATCTTCGATACCTCCCTTTCCATGGAGGCGCAGATTGCAGCTATGACAAAGGTGGCATTTTTTCATCTCCGCCAAGCTAAGCAGTTGGCTCCTTACCTCTCTCGCCCTGACCTAGCCACTGTGATCCACGCGACGGTCACCTCCAGACTGGATTATTGTAACTCGCTCTACGTGGGGCTGCTCTTGAGACTGACCCAGAAACTCCAGCGGGTGCAGAATGCCGCGGCGAGACTCCTTACGGGGTCCTCGCTGCGAGATCACATTCACCTGGTGCTATACCAGCTGCACTGGCTCCCGGTGGAGTACAGGATCAGGTTTAAGGTGCAGGTTTTAACCTTTAAAGCCCTATATGGCCTAGGACCCTCGTACCTACGGGACCGCCTCTCCTGGTATGTCCTACGGAGGACCTTACGGTCTTCAAACAAAAACATCTTGGAGGTCCCAGGCCACAGAGAGGTTAGGCTGGCCTCAACCAGAGCCAGGGCTTTTTCGGCTGTGGCCCCGATCTGGTGGAACGCTCTGTCACAAGAGACTAGGGCCCTGCAGGACTTGACATCTTTCTGCAGGGCCTGCAAGACAGAGCTGTTCCACCAGGCCTTTGGCCAGGGCACAGCCTGACTCCCTCCTTTGGCAATCTTCACAGAACTCTAGCCCAATGGTTGCCATCAATTTGATTTGAATTAATTGTATAAGGAAATGATTTTAGAATGTTTTATTATTTTATTGTTGTTAGCTGCCCTGAGCCGGGCTTCGGCTGGGGAGGGCGGGATATAAATAAAATTTATTATTTATTATTATTATTATTAACCTGAGAGAAAGTTCAGACATGGTAGGGAGTTGGGCTTTGCCTGCACTTTTTGCCATATAGAAGGTTGTAGCTGATCTACAGTTGGACTCTGAAACTTGGAAGTAACCCCTCACAAGAGAAAAATGTCTGGAATACAGTTAGGGTGTGTTAAAGTAACAGATTGGGTGGAAGGGTTGCTGTCCATCCCTGCTATGCTTTGTCTCCCCACCTCTACTTTATAAAGGTTAGGCAGGACTCAGGCAGGATCAGTACTATAACATGCAGGCACATGCAAGGGTCAAACCCAGATCTGTGTGTCTCAGAAATTTGGCTTCTTCAGGAGTCATTCATTGCTCCTGTGACTCAAGTGTAGAAAGAACAGAATTGCCCGTCACCATTAACAGCTGGTTGGAAGGTATCAAGGCCAGTGTGGTACATGATGCAAAGATGTAAAGGGTATTTTCCTTTTTTGCTAGGCTTACAAAGCTAAGAAGCTGTCCTTGAAGCTGTCCCAGAAACTCCAGCGGGTGCGAATGCTGCAGCGAGGCTCCTCACTGGGTCTCTGCCATGGGAGCATATTCACCCAGTGCTTTTCCAGCTGCACTGGCTCCCAGTGGAGTACAGGGTCAGATTTAAGGTGCTGCTTTTGACCTTTAAAGCCCTTCACAGCCTAGGACCCTCGTACCTACGGGACCGCCTCTCCCGGTATGCCCCACGGAGGACCTTAAGGTCCATAAATAGCAACACCCTAGAGGTCCCGGGCCCTAAGGAAGTTAGGTTGGCTTCAACCAGAGCCAGGGCCTTTTCAACACTGGCTCCGGCCTGGTGGAACTCTCTGCCTCATGAGACCAGGGCCCTGCAGGATCTGATTTCTTTCTGCAGGGCCTGTAAGACAGAGTTGTTCCGCCTGGCCTTTGGCTTGGAGCCAATTTGATTCCCTCCCTCTCTTTCTTTTTTCTTTCCTTCTCCTCCTGCGATGAGGCTACATTTTATTATTTTAATGTTTCAATATTTTAATGTTGTATTTTAATTTTGTTTTTAAGTTGTAATCATTCAACTTGTTTTTATTATTGCCTGTAAGCCGCTCTGAGCCCAGCCTTGGCTGGGGAGGGCGGGGTATAAATAAAAATTATTATTATTATTATTATTATTAAAGCCGTGTTCATATTATATATTTAATGATGATGATAATAATAATAATAATAATAATAATAATAATAATAATAATAATAATATATTTATATCCCACCCTTCCCTGCCGAAGCCAGGCTCAGAGCGGCTAACAACAATAAAAGTAACGCAGTTTACATAAAATCAAAATCAGTTAATTGAAATGCATTAGAAAATCAATTCATTCTAAAATCAATTCAAAATCAAATTGATGGCAGCCATTGGGCTAGAGTTCTGTGAGGATTACCAAAGGGGGTCAGGCCGTGCCTTGGCCAAAGGCCTGGTGGAACAGCTCTGTCTTGCAGGCCCTGCGGAAAGATGTCAAGTCCCGCAGGGCCCTAGTCTCTTGGGACACAGCGTTCCACCAGATCGGGGCCACAACCGAAAAGGCCCTGGCTCTGGCTGAGGCCAGCCTAACCTCCCTGTGGCCCAGGATCTCCAAGATGTTTTTATTTGAAGACCGTAAGGTCCTCCGTGGGACATACCAGGAGAGGCTGTCCCGTAGGTACGAGAGTCCTAGGCCATATAGGGCTTTAAAGGTTAAAACCAGCACCTTGAACCTGATCCTGTACTCCAGTGGGAGCCAGTGCACCACTAAGATACCACTTTACGTACCCATGATGTACTTTCAACGCTTTAAACGTGTGGTGTGACCTTGACCCCAGGAGCTTTCAGTTACTTAATTCTCGTGGTCCGGTTGGATGTCCTGGCTCACAGCTTAGGAATCATTATGTTGGATAGGCTTGGGAAGGGCCATTTTGAAACCACAGGAGGAACAAAAACAAACAAGGCATGATTTATTTCTCAGAAGGTTTATTTGTATTTTCATTACAAATTGGAAATGGTGGGTATACATAATCATTATAAATATTAATAAATACTCTTAAATGCGGCAAAGAATTCAAATAAATAAATAAATAAATAGAACAACATAAAATGCATTAAACCACATTTTCCCTATTAGCTAGGAAACATCCGGGGGCTCTTTTTTCAACAATTCCCTTGTTGTTTGGGATTAGGGATATCCAACTATGGAGAAAGCCATTTTACATTTTCCAGTGATGTAAGAGTCCTGTAGTTTTAATAGTGTGGGAAATAATAATTCATAACAGGGAAAGCATACATTGAAACCTCTTCTGTATACCATCTTAGTAGTGCTAGGCAGGGAGCCAGTCCTGTGGCTTGGTTAATTGACAGTATAATATCAATGTTTCCTTAGAACTGAGCATTGGGGCCACAATCGCGCATACTTCTGTGGGAGTAAATTTCAATGACTACGGTGGGACCTATTTCTGAGTAAATATGACCACGATTGTCTGGCACCCTTATCCTAAGAACAGGTCAGCAAAATTGTCTCGTTATTAATAAGGTCTAGTATCTTGATGAGTTCAGAGTTCAGTGCAAACAAAAAGCCATTCTGAAAAGCACTATAGGTTATTATAGTGTGCTAAGGAAAAGTGTGAAATCTCTCCAGCGTATTGTAGGTTTATTTTCCTACTTGCACTTTCAAGAGATTTGAAGAAAGGAAGAAAACCAGCTTGAAGTCTTGAAGCACCCCATGGGAGCTCCTGGGGCAGCTTTTGCAGAGATGAACAAAATGTGTACATCAAATGTGGAGGATCTGGGTTTGTTTCACTTACATAAAGGGTGGCATCCAATTAAGTCATACTCAGGAGTCTGCCCACAGAAATCTGTGGACTTAACTAAAGTCTACAGATTTCAGTGTTTCTGCTTCGAGTATGACAGTTGGCTATAAGTCAAAGAGCAAGGGATATGTTAACAGATTTTAAAAGCATTCAAACATGTAATTTTTAACTTGCAGTCTGAAGTGATACTGTCTCCACTAAGAGCTCTGGCATATAATTCTGCTGATCATGTAGCTTGGCTTGTTTCTTAGAGCTCAGCAGGGTTATGTAAGTTGAAGGAAATATGTTCCATTGTGGTAGTATTAATAACTTGCCATCTCTTCACGCTACACCAAAAATTCAGAGCTTGAAAGGCTACAAAAACATTAGGGCTGAAACAAATGTATTTGCTTTGTATCTCTGCCTCCCCCCACCCTCCCATACATATGCCAAGTATTATTAAAACCCCAGACAGACATTTTTTCTATTTCCCTCATCCATGGCTTATATGGCTTATATATTCACCCACAGCTTCAGTCAAGAAAAATTTGGTCCTTGCAAAAAGAACTAGGCAGTCAATTTGCTACATTTCCTGGTTCTGATTCAGCTGTAGCTGAAGTTGTTCCAAGTTTTGCTCTGTTTCAGACCATAATGGTTTAGTAGCCAATCTTACGCTGCTTCCTTTCTTCTGGGAATATTCAAATAATCCCTTACAATGATTTGCGCAGGAGAGAAGCATATTCATATTTGTTATACTGTATTCTGCTCTTAATCAAGGGACGCGGGTGGCGCTGTGGGTTAAACCACAGAGCCTAGGATTTGCCGATCTGAAGGTCGGCAGTTCGAATCCCTGTGACAGGGTGAGCTCCTGTTGCTCGGTCCCTGCTCCTGCCAACCTAGCAGTTCAAAAGCACATTAAAGTGCAAGTAGATAAATAGGTACCGCTCCAGCAGGAAGGTAAATGGTGTTTCCGTGCGCTGCTCTGGTTCACCAGAAGCGGCTTAGTCGTGCTGGCCACATGACCCGGAAGCTGTACGCTTGGCCAATAAAGCGAGATGAGTGCCGCAACCCCAGAGTCGGCCACGACTGGACCTAATGGTCAGGGGTCCCTTTACCTTTTACCTATTCTGCTCTTAATAAGGGGTGGTTAAACACAGTGGACAATTGGTAGTAAAAGTTGCAGCATAGTAGAGAAGGAGAGAAGGGAGGAAAACAGTGATGTATTTGACACAGGATCAGACCATTGGTCCATCTTACCCCATGCTATATTTACAGTGGTGCCCCACAAGACGAATGCCTCGCAAGACGAAAAACTCGCTAGATGAAAGGGTTTCCCGTTTTTGCGTTGCTTCGCTAGACAAATTTCTCTATGGGCTTGCTTCGCAATACGAAAACGTCTTGCGCTTTTTTTAAAAAGCCGCTTGAAGAGGCACAGTTGCGACGGACCGTGCTTCGCAAGACGAAAAACATCGCAAGACGAAAAGACTCGCGGAACGAATTCTTTTCGTCTTGCGAGGCACCACTGTATCTACCTGTCAGGCAACAACTCTTGGGGATACTGGACATTACAAAATTATCCCTTCTGTGAGTTATGGCTGCTTCCAAGACAAGTTCTCAACATGAAGCTGCCTTATATTGTCAGACCACAGGTTATTCTGATTCAGTACTGTTTAGCCTCGGGTTGCCATATTTCAAAATGTAAAAACCAGGGCACCCCAAAAGTTGCTGAGTTTTCTTTTTTTTATATAGACAAAAACGTCTAAACATTCCAGAATTTAAAAAATATATATAAATCATTTCTTAAACCCTTATTCTAAACTGATACTGTGAACTGTATCAGAGTCCTAAAGCATTTTTTCAAATACTTTAAAATAATTGTTCAGATTATGTCCTCGTCAGGACAGAAAACAGGTTACTGTTACAGATTGGTTCAGGTTTTGATATCAGTCCTAGGGCTTGAAAACCACCTGCTGAACGTTGCACCGTTGGGGTCTCCATTTTCGGCATGTGAATCATCTACATCATGATATGTGGATGATTGCGCCTTTGGGTTGTCAGAGAGGTTTCCGGCTGATATGATACTGCCACAGGGATCGGCACTCGCATTTCTCGTATGTCTGCTAGGTTTTGGTGTGTTGAATTGGACTAAAGGAATTTCGTTCCTTCTGGCCAAGAATTGGGAGTACGGTGGTGGATTCATACCGGGGAATAAAGGTTGCTTAGCTTTTCCTAGGCTGACGAGATAGTTGTACTTGGGAGACTGGTAGACATCATAGCCATTTTCCAGGGTCCAATGTCTGAAAGTGCAGTCCTCATAAGTGAAGAAGTGCTGAAGGAAGAAACAAGAACCACAATCAGAACAGTATTAACATTCGAGTGGAAAATGCTCATCAGAATTCTCTGCCTCAGATGTTGAATGGTGTCCGGGTTCTTACCACATATTTGGTATGTCTAAATGTCTTTACGATATTTGATTTCAACATTTTTTATTTTAGTATTTTTAATTGCATGTGCAATGGAATTAGCATTGGCAGTATTTTATAGATAACAGTGTTACTGTTTGACAGATTACAGCTTGTGAGATGTTTGGTACCTTCCAAACCATTCACATCTAAAACATTTGAACTCATGAGTTATTAGTCTTTCCCACTGCATTGTCAGTGGTTCTTTGTTTTTACTTATTTTCCCTCTCCAAGTGATAACCCTTCTACCTTTACCAAAAATAACACAAAATAAAAAATAAATCCAGATTCTGCGCAGAAAAATACCACATTCAAAACAAATAATGCTGGGGGGAGGGGATCAGAAATCCACAGAAGCAGAAAAGTTATGAAATCCTTTTTTTAAAGTGTGATAACTAAGCTTTATCAAATGGTTATATGTCCCGTGATAAGCTACCATTTAATAAATGGACACCTGGACTTTTTTGCAGTGAATAAAGATATAAAGCAGGGGTGAGAACCTCCATCTCATGAGCCAAATGTGGCTTGGCAGGGGTACCACTTTGGCCCATAGAACTATTCCTTGCAAACAGTGCCCAGCTGCCCTGGCATCTTCTTGCTGGTGTAGTGGGAGTGGGCCTTGTTCCAGGAGCACAGAGTGGTTTGCATTTAAACAACTGCTAAAATGGAAAGGAAAAGCTCCTTTTTAGCAGCAGTTTCAATAAAACATCGACCAGTGGACTAGACCACCCACTGGACAATTATCTGATGTCATTATGTCATAAGGTGATGGGCAGATGGGTTGTCTTAGGTAAAGGTAAAGGGACCCCTGACCATTAGGTCCAGTCGTGACCGACTCTGGGGTTGCGGCGCTCATCTCGCTTTATTGGCCGAGGGAGCCGGCGTACAGCTTCCGGGTCATGTGGCCAGCATGACTAAGCCGTTGGTCTTCAGGGGAAGAGATAAATAAAGATGCGCCCCCTCTTGCCTGCCCCAAAGCTTCTCCATCCCTGATATAAAGCAGCATACTTTGATCTGAAATACTTGTTGAGGAACGTGCAGATTGGCCGTTGTTTGAGTGATTGCCAAGATTGTGTGCATATTTGTGGGTGGAAAGAGAGTTCACATCTTCCAAGTTTGGCGGGTGGCGCTGTGGGTTAAACCACAGAGCCTAGGGCTTGCCGATCAGAAGGTTGGCGGTTTGAATCCCCGCGACGGGGTGAGCTCCCGTTGCTCGGTCCCTGCTCCTGCCAACCTAGCAGTTCGAAAGCACGTTAAAGTGCAAGTAGATAAATAGGTACCACTCCAGCGGGAAGGCAAACGGCGTTTCCGTGCGCTGCTCTGGTTCGCCAGAAGCGGCTTGGTCATGCTGGCCACATGACCCAGAAGCTGTACGCCGGCTTCCTCGGCCAATAAAGCGAGATGAGTGTCGCCACCCCAGAGTCGGTCACGACTGGACCTAATGGTCAGGGGTCCCTTTACCTTTACCTATTCTTAGGTTAACAGCCTCACAGTTATGTAAAGCCCTGGGTTTCACAATATCAAACTGAAGAGGGCAAATTGTGCAGCCCTCTGTGTTGTCTGTAGCACAGGTGTGGCATGCCAGTGGTGTTGTGCAGGCAGAAAGAAATGTGGGACATCCTTCATAAATCATTGTGTCTCGTAAGAACTGCAGGGGCCTGAAGGAAAATGATATCCCAGGCATAAGTGAAAGGGTAAAAGACAATGGTTTCCTTAGAAGTGCAGCAGAACTGGCTTATTGCATTTCCAAGTTAAAGAATCACACTTTGGCTGTTGTGGCATGTGGCACCACTTGAAAGATGCCAGAAAAATTCATATGAGAACTCACCGATCCAAAGATATTGCCATTAATATCCATACAGAGGAAGCGCCCAGTTTTTACGCCATTTATCACCACATAGCCTGCACCTTCAGATTTGATCATCAGGGCACCTGAAATTTAAATGGTTAAACATTAGAAGATAATTTAATGCCGTAAACCAAAGATGACCATCTGGTGGCCATAGGGCAAGACCCAGTCCCAAAGTATTATGAGTTATCTGGCTAACCCTTCCATTTTTTAGTTGAGGTATGGCGAAAAGGTTTGCCCACAATTTTAATCGGAACAGGAAAGTTCTAAGGAAAGAGAGTGTAATCTGTTATGCTATCACTTCATTTCGAATTTGGTTTACAATATGTATGCTAATATTTATATGTAATGCTATACTTCTGTACATGCTGAAATGTGCCGTACGAGGAGCTGGCGAATTGGCAAACCAACTCTTGTGTTACAAAGATGACTGCAAACGTGAGATTAAGGCTGGCAGCATTAACCCTGCCATGCGAGAATCCCTTGCAGATGACCGCAGTGCCTGGCGACGGGCAGTCAGGTCATACATCCACAGCAGTGACCAGAGGAGAAATGACCACTGGGAAGAGCGCAGAGAGAATAAGTGTCATGGTGCATCTGCAGCAGCACAGCTAGGCATCTTCCTCTGCCCCGGCTGCAACAAAACATGTCTCGCCTACATCCCATCTCTACAGCCACAGCAGGCACCGTAACCCGCCAACAGTTTGACCTCATTCCCAAAGGCACACTCCTTCATTGTCTCCTGAGACAGATGGATGCCAACCAGTCAACTTGGTTATGGAGTGGGAGCACTCAGTATGTACCCCCTAACCAGCAACCAGCTCTAGACTGTCTGAAGAACAGAACAGCCCCCAAGGCTATAGGACTGCAATGTGGAGCTTCTGTAAAGGTAAAGGGTAAAGGGACCCCTGACCATTAGGTCCAGTCGTGACCGACTCTGGGGTTGCGGCGCTCATCTCGCTTTATTGGCCGAGGGAGCCGGCGTACAGCTTCTGGGTCATGTGGCCAGCATGACTAAGCCGCTTCTGGCGAACCAGAGCAGCGCACGGAAACGCCGTTTACCTTCCCGCTGGAGCGGTACCTATTTATCTACTTGCACATTGACGTGCTTTCAAATTGCTAGGTTGGCAGGAGCAGGGACCGAACCACTGGAGGTCACCCCATCGCGGGGATTCAACTGCTGACCTTCTGATCAGCAAGTCCTAGGCTCTGTGGTTTAACCCACAGTGCCACCCGCGTCCCAGTGGAGCTTCTGTACCTCCACCCTAATTAGTCCTGGCAGGCCTCTGAAATTGGCCCATGAGGACATTTTGAGCAAACCAAACCTATTGTCAGTCTAGATCTCTTAAGTGCTAAGATCGGAGAGGAGGGTCTCACCTAACTGTCAAAAAAAACCTTAGCAATTCACACCAATGACATCTCAACAAAACATTCCCCATAATAGGGTCGATGGTATATGTTATGAACTGCCCTGTGATCTTCAGATGAAAGGTGGTATACAAATTGAATGTATGTATGTATGAATGAATGAATGAATAAAATGGCCCACAAAAGGCAGCCTCTCCCAGTGGAGAAGAAATAAATAAAACACTCAGCCTGCTTTTATGGGTCTGTTTGGCATTTATGTTGCTTTTAGTACAGTGGTGCCTTGGCTGTCCAACTTTATCTATTTTGGGAGTCAGTCTGACTCCCAGAACTGTTGGAAAGCCAGAGTGCGGCTTCCGATTGGCTGCAGGAGCTTCCTGCAGCGTTGGACGTTCGGCTTCCAAAAAACGTTTGAAAACCGGAACACTTCCGAGTTTGTGACATTTGGGAGCCGATTTGTTCGGGACCCAAGCCGTTCAACACACAAAGTACCACCGTATTGCATTCTTGGGTTGTGTATCTTCTTGCAATATTTATAAGAAAGTGTGTTCTAGAAATACTTTGACTAAAGTAAATAAATAAGGAAGAACATGGAAGGTTCAGATCAGATAGCTGATAGCAATACTCAGGTTGAACATCCACTCATTTCATGCAGGTCCCCTGCAGTATGAGAAATGCCCCAGCCGCCCCCCCTCCAGTCACAGATCTCTGTTGCCTTGTCTAGTTATGCCCTTAAATACTCTTTGTCTTGGAATAAACAGGCAGTGTTGTCTGCATTGGCTACATGTTTTGCAAGCTTTCTTCTTTTATAAGCCTCCCATATAATTTTTTTTGAAATGGGTATGATCCAGCCAACTTCCTTTGGTGTCATTCCCTGCAGGGAGCAATGAGGGCGCCAGCGCCACCTCCTGCTCTTCTGGAGACGATGGGTCTCCCCTGACGACAAAGTCTAAGGAAGTTTTGGTGCTGACCTTTAAAGCCCTAAACGGCCTCGGTCCTGTATACCTGAAGGAGTGTCTCCACCCCCGTCGTTCTGCCCGGACGCTGAGGTCCAGCGCCAAGGGCATTCTGGCGGTTCCCTCGCTGCGAGAAGCCAAGTTACAGGGAACCAGGCAGAGGGCCTTCTTGGTAGTGGCACCCGCCCTGTGGAACGCCCTCCCATCAGATGTCAAAGAGATAAACAACTACTTGACATTCAGAAGACATCTTAAGGCAGCCCTGTTCAGGGAAGTTTTTAATGTATGACATATTAGTGTATTTTTGGTTTTTGTGGAAGCCGCCCAGAGTGGCTGGGGAAACCCAGCCAGATGGGCAGGGTACAAATCATAAATTATTTCTTATTATTATTATTGTTGTTATTATTATTATTATTAGCGTGTTAGCTGCCTGTTGAGAGGGGAGTGCTGAGGAGAGCAGACAAGACGGGAGCTTAGATGAGCTCAGGGCCGTCTTAAGCATATCCGGCACCGTGGTGCAAAGCTCCCTCTGCCCCCCCATTTTCCAGAATATTTTAGGGAGGACGGCGCTGTTGGAGGGGCTGGAGGAGGTGGGCAGCGGCTGGAGGGTGGCTCTGGCGGAGAAGAGGCGAGGGCTGGACGCGGCACCTCCCGGCTCAGCTGGCCACTTTGTGCAGTGGTGGCCATGACAGATGGAGGCTCCGGGCGTGGCGCTGCTTCGGCACTGCATGGCGGAGGCAGGCGACGGTTGTGAGCGGATGCTGGGAGGTGCCGCGTTCAGCCCTGGTGCCCTCCAGAACATGGCACCCCAGCGCTCTGCGCCACTAGCCTCTATGGGTAAGATGCCCCTGAATGAGCTGTTCCTGGCTACACACTTGGATAGCTTGAATAAATTGGATAGCTAGATTCATGTTGCCACTGGTGTACCAGCTTGGTTGTAACTACAGTGGTATTTCAGGTTACATACGCTTCAGATTACATACGCTTCAGGTTACACACTCCGCGAACCCAGAAATAGTGCTTCAGGTTAAGAACTTTGCTGCAGGATAAGAGCAGAAATCGGGCTCTGGCAGCGCAGTGGCAGCAGGAGGCCCCATTAGCTAAAGTGGTGCTTCAGGTTAAGAACAGTTTCAGGTTAAGAACAGACCTCCGGAATGAATTACCTAAGTACTTAACCCGAGGTACCACTGTATTGTATTTTGATGATTGGGAAGCTACACGTGTTGCAAGTACAGGACAAGAATTATCATTTCTGGTCCTGTCTGATGCTCTGGAGATAGCTCAGTCGGTAGAGCAGGAGACTCTTAATCTCAGGGTTGTGGGTTTGAGCCCCACGTTGCGCAAGAAGATTCATGCATTGCAGGGGGTTGAACTAGATGACCCTCATGGCCCCTCCCAACTCTACAATTCTATGATTCTAAGCCTCCCATATAGCATATAAGTGCATATAGCATATAAGTGTGGTTGGAGAATGGATGGCGGCTAACAGATTGAGGTTGAATCCTGACAAGACAGAAGTACTGTTTTTGGGGGACAGGGTGCAGGCAGGTGTAGAGGACTCCCTGTTCCTGAATGGGGTAACTGTGTCCCTGAAGGACCAGGTGCGCAGCCTGGGAGTCATTTTGGACTCACAGCTGCCCATGGAGGCGCAGGTCAATTCTGTGTCCAGGGCGGCTGCCTACCAGCTCCATCTGGTACGCAGGCTGAGACCCTATCTGCCCACAGACTGCCTCGCCAGAGTGGTGCATGCTCTGGTTATCTCTCGCTTGGGCTACTGCAATGCGCTCTATGTGGGGCTACCTTTGAAGGTGACCTGGAAACTACAACTAATCCAGAATGCAGCAGCTAGACTGGTGACTGGGAGCGGCTGCCGAGACCACATAACATCGGTCTTGAAAGACCTACATCGGCTCCCAGTACGTTTCCGAGCACAATTCAAAGTGTTGGTAAAGCCCTAAATGGCCTCCGTCCTGTATACCTGAAGGAGCGTCTCCACCCCCATCGTTTAGCCCGGACACTGAGATCCAGCGCCGAGGGCCTTCTGGCGGTTCCCTCATTGCGAGAAGTGAGGTTACAGGGAACCAGACAGAGGGCCTTCTCGGTAGTGGCACCTGCCCTGTGGAACGCCCTCCCTTCAGATGTGAAGGAAATAAGCAGCTATCCTATCTTTAAAAGACATCTGAAGGCAGCCCTCTTCACGGAAGTTTTTAATATTTAATGCTGTACTGTTTTTAACACTTGATTGGGAGCTGCCCAGAGTGGCTGGGGAAACTCAGCCAGATGGGCGGGGTATAAATAATAAATTATTATTATTATTATTATTATTATTATTATTATTATTCACTTATCCAAAGATAAGTATGAACGTACATATCGAGCGAAGGAATGCTAAGGCAAAAAGTGATTGGCTGATTAAAAACTTTTCACCTACTCTGGCAAGTTCATTGATCTTGAGGCATCACACCACATCTCCCTTTTTGCTAGACCCCGTGGAAAAGCAAAGAATCAATCATTTATTTGTATGCCGCCTTTCCAAAGTTCAAACCATGCTCAAGACGGCTTACAACACACGCAAAATTACGTAACTATAAATGTAACAGAAGTAAAAGGTAAAGGTAAAGGGACCCCTGACCATTAGGTCCAGTCGTGACCGACTCTGGGGTTGCGGCGCTCATCTCGCTTTATTGGCCAAGGGAGCCGGCATACAGCTTCCGGGTCATGTGGCCAGCATGACTAAGCTGCTTCTGGTGAACCAGAGCAGCGCACGGAAATGCTGTTTACCTTCCCGCTGGAGCGGTACCTATTTATCTACTTGCACTTTGATGTGCTTTCGAACTGCTAGGTTCGCAGGAGCAGGGACCAATCAACAGGAGCTCACCCCGTCGCGGGGATTTGAACTGCCAACCTTCTGATCGGCAAGTCCTAGGCTCTGTGGTTTAACCCACAGCGCCACCCGCATCCATTGTAACAGAAGTAGTCATGAACAAAACATCGAGTACACAACCGAATTGAATTTTTTTCACATAAATCATAAGATCCAAAATAAAGATATAAAAAATTAACAACTCCCACCCCCAACAAAAACCCCTAAACAATACCTCTGCCCCAATCTGTGTATGTGTGTATGCATGCTTCCTTGCAAGATTTGGTTGCCCCTGCCTGTTTGAAATGGTAAAAACCATTCTTCAAGAAGCCCTCCCTAGATTTGGAAAATCTAAGTAACTACTGGCCAGTTGCCAATATCCCCTTCTTAGGCAAGGTTTCTGAGCAGGTGGTTGTGGACCTGATCCAGATGTCTTGCAGGAAACTGGTCTTCTAGATCCATTTCAATTGGGGTTTAGGTCTGGCTTTGGCACAGAAACTGCTTTGGTCACCTTGTATGAGAACCTCTGTCTGGAGAGACATGGGAAACGTGTCCTTGTTAATTCTCCTCAGCCTCTCAGCGGCTTTTGATACCATCAACTATGGTATCTTTCTGGACCGATTGTTTGAGCTTATTACACCAATCCTGGCCCAACTGCACTGGCTGCCGATTAGTTTCCGGGCCCAATTCAAAGTGCTGGTTTTGAGCTATAAAGCCATAAATAGCTCAGAACCGAAATATCCAAGCCTCTCGTGATATGAACCGGCCCCGACCCTGCACTCATCCTTTGGGGCCTTTCTTTGCGTGCCTCCTTCTGTCAAAACCAGGCCTAAACCCCAGTTGAAATGGATCTAGAAAACCAATTTCCTCCAAGGCCCCTGGTCTGGAGACATCACGAGAACAGCCCTTTTCTATAGTGGGTCCCCGCTTGTGGAATGAATATTTCCACTTACAAAATACAGGTTCTAATTCCCCCTAAAATCTGGAAAATGCAGACGTGTCCAGGAAACGCTCCCTGTCCTCTATGCAAAGCTGTGCTTCAATTTCTCTGCAGTGAAAGGAATGAATAAATCCGATTCTGTATATATTTGAAATTTAAGGCACGATGCAGTTGATGTTTATTTTTTGACTGAATCGTGCTTTTAATTAGAGCTCAGTTTCTGGTTTTTCTTAATGAAAACAAACCATGGGCACGTTCTCTTTCTAATAAGTCTGCCACTTTTACAGATATTGAAATATTAAATCTCCATATTAAACATTAGGACTAGAGAGCAGCTCTGGGCTTCATGTTTTTCCACCTAAAATGGGATTAATAGTGGACTGGATAATGCAGCTGTTATACTAATACTTATAGGAAGCCACTAACAGCAAATGAAGGCAGCCCATTTTCCCTTGTTTATTCCCAGCATTCTTCCTCTGGAGGGGCAGGATGGAGGGAATGTCGTTTTAGGTCACATTTTTATTGCAAACCTCCGCAGTTCGCACCTTACCAAACTATATGCAAACTCAAAGAAATCTGCCCTTCACAATCCGCACTTCTCCAAACTTTGCCACACAGTTCTCCAAGCAAATAACGTGCACGGAATAGCTTATGTTGCCATCGATTTATTTCATAAAGTTTATACGCCTTTCGATTGTAAAAGAAACAAAGAACAAAACCCCAAAGCAGTTCACAAACCGTTAGGGGGTTAGTTTTTGTAAGAATGCATAGATGAAATGAAAACAACATACAGAAATGAATCGTAAATTGCTTGGGGAAATGTGTGGATGAGGAGAAATGCGGATTAAAATGCTGGCAAATTTTCACGAGGACTTTAAAAAAAAAAGGCAAGCGACGTAGTAATGCAGTGAACTGAATTTATTACTGGAAAAATGAGAAACTGAGAGAAACAGCTCCCAGCTCCCCTCAACCTTTCAGTGGTACTTACTGTAAACGGTTTGGTGAGGACTTCCATCCACATGGCCATTGGAGTTGATTTGCAGGTGGAAGCTGTTTCTTGCTGTGGACGTGTACAGGTGCAAGAGTCTGTCTGTGTTTCCCCAGTTCTGGCTGAGTAGCGGCGAGGCGTTGGGAAAAGCAGTAGCTGCCTTGCAGCCACAGGCGGCCAGCAAGATGAACCTCAGGAAGCTGCAGCGAGTGACCGGGCACATGGCTCTTCTTTCTGAGTGGCTGAAACCTGAAACTCGATCCGTTAATCTGTTCCTCCCTTCGCCTGTGTCTCCCTCTCCTTTGGAGTGAATCCTCACATAGGCTCCCTACAATTTTTGCAGCAGCTTTATAAAGGGCAGCGGAGTGACATGGGATCCCTTTTGTTTTGTAATAGCAATATTTTGGGAGTGTCCTGAGACCTCAACAAATCCAGGCGGGGGCAAAAAAGGAATGCATGTAGGTTTCTTAGGGGAGGTTACGCCGCTTCCAAAGTAAGCTTTTGGGCACTAATGACATGTTCAAATGTTATCTGGAAAAAGCCTCTGACATCACAACGCTTCCCACTGGTGGGATCAACCCATTCCTTTGTAAGGGAAGGATATTTTCATTTCTCCCCACCTTTCCGTGCAGCTGATTCTGTAAATATGTGGTGTCAGACACAAAATCTGAATATCTTGTTGGACCCTTTTTGACTCCTCGCTATGGCCCAAGGCAGGACGCAGGTAGCGCTGTGGGTTAAACCACAGAGCCTAGGACTTGCCGATCAGAAGGTCGGCGGTTCAAATCCCCATGATGGGGTGAGCTCCTGTTGCTTGGTCCCTGCTCCTGCCAACCTAGCAGTTCGAAAGCACATCAAAGTGCAAGTAGATAAATAGGTACCGCTCCGGCGGGAAGGTAAATGGCGTTTCCGTGAGCTGTTCTGGTTCGCCAGAAGCGGCTTAGTCATGCTGGCCACATGACCTGGAAGTTGTATGCCAGCTCCCTCGGCCAGTAAAGCGAGATGAGCACCGCAACCCCAGAACCAGCCACGACTGGACCTAATGGTCAGGGGTCCCTTTACCTTTATGGCCCAAGGCACTTCCAGCAAACCATCATTTGAACCATTTATGAGGTAGGAAGCTGATGTCCTCAAAGGGGCTAGACATATGGGTATTGGCCTCTCTATATCCTCTAAATATAGATGAGTGAGCTACCCATCCCACCTCCCCACTGCTGGTGGATTCACTGTGGTCCCCTCAGTCTCCCCCTTGCTCTGGAGCAGAAGCAGGCACCAGATAATCATGCTTCTCAGCAATTCCCAGAGCCAATCAGTTGGGCAGCCGAGAAGGGGGTATTACACAGTGTGATTGCTGAGATCCTACTGCTTTCCTGCCTGTGAGATGTGTGTGTATCCAAGCATGTGCAACTTCTCACTCACCATCCACTACCAAGTAGGGCCCTTGGAGCCAACAAGATTTCCCACTCCTGCCCCTGTGGGTGTCTAGACTCTGATGAGATGGAAATGAGGCGAAGAATCCGGATGAGCAATTGGAACGTGTACATTGGAGTTTTCAACACCCTAAGACCTTGCTTCGTCTGCAACTTGTCCTCTTCAGCTGTTCTGGACACAAGAGGACAAAAGTGTGGCGAGATGCTCTCATCAGCCCTGCCTGAAATGTCCCCATGCGCACTAGGCCTGCCATCCCACTTCTGATCATCTGTTGGCCCTCACCTGAAGAGGACTTTAGATGGATTAAGAGAAAACCCTCTTGCCCATTCTTTGGTCCTCTCTTGCAGGGATAAGGAATCTTCTGTCCAGCTGAGGACTGCATCTCTGCACAGGCAAACTTCTGGGAACTGCCTGCAGGTGACCAAGGTTAGAGGCAAAAGCAGGCAGGGCAAGAAGCAAAAAGGAGTGTGGCAAAGGATGCTGTTTTTACCTTGGTACACTTGGCTGCTTTCCACTCACACACCTCTCCGTTCTCCATCAAGGCAAGTAAGAGACAGTATCACAGTTGAAGGACACATTCCAGCTAGCCCAAAGCGCTCAAGGAGGCCATTAAAAAAACTAAACGTCAATAGTGAGGTGGAAAGACATTAGTGAAGGTGTGGAAAGTTAAAGGTGCACGGAGACTTTGCTGCCTGATATGCTACTGCACACATCAAAACTACACTTCTTGAAAAGACACAAGAACGGTGCCAATTAGATCCAGACTTGTGGAGATTACACTTCTGTTCCATTCAGATTTGCTTTTTAAATTTATTTTAAGAATAGCACAGGGAAAATAGGGGTGCAATTTGATGACCTAAGCTGAGTGCTGCCTAGTTGGCACCTGTAACCTTGAAATTATAGCTTTCTCTGTGTGTGGTTGTTTTCAAAAGTTCCTAGACACCCTCAATTGTTTTTAAATGCGTTTTGGTTTGGTTTTTAATTGTATTGTTTTATTACTGTGTTGCTTTCTGCCATGGTCTCCATTGGGAGGAAAGGGCAGGATGGGAATTTAAACAAATAAAATCACTTTTAGATGTTTTGGGGTTGAGGCGACTGGGAACATTCCCTCAGACTCCTGTTTGTTTGCTGAATTTTGTAACTGTAATAACTAGATAGGTTTCAGCTGCATGGGCTCTAGCAAAGCTACAGGAAGCTGCCTATCACATGTCACTATTACTAAACATTTACACCTGAATGTTTGGAAAGCAAAGGATCCTCAGGTAAGCAAACATACACAGCAGCAATGCTCAGTTTTGTACATGAGAAACACATAAGTTTAGAGAAAGTAACAGGCTCTGGAAATCTTCAACAGCAGAGAAGGTAAGAAATCATGCCTTATGATCTTCTCATTTTCTGGCATTTTTCACTTCAAAAGTGTTACTTTCTTCCATCTAGTTCCCTCTACATCTTTTTCAGTGATATAGATTTTCTTTGGTTAATGATTGTTTGAAGAACTGTTGCACCTTTTATTTCCATATTATGGGAAATTTATTTACATGATGTTGTAGCTAGAAATATTACTTTCCTCTTTTCTTGAGTGGGATTTATTTACTTTACTTTCTGAGATGTCATTTTCATTTTTCTGGCTATGTCTGTATATTCTTAAATTTTTAGATGGTGAACTTGACCAGTTTTAATTTACCAGTTTGATGAAATTTAATATAATTATTAACTGAAAACAACAGAGCTCACAATCCCTTCCCCCACAAAACCCTTCCTGGTCGGCTCTACCTTGCTTTCTTTCATTTCAGCAACCTAATTCAGATTTTCAGATTCTCATGTTGTTTTTGTTAAACCATTGTGAATCAGAAACTCTTACTGATGTGCTGCAAATTGTATGAGTTCTGCCATTGCTTCCCATTATACATTCTGCCCACCCATGAAATAGAAAAATGGAATGTTGTAAATTGTTAATATTGTAACAGAAAACATGGCAGACCGTGGGAGAAGGTCATTTCCCCCCAAACATGATTTTCCAGGCAGAATTGGCGTGTTTGACGTAAAGTTATGATACAGTCCCTGGGTATCTGATGGCTGAAGAGTTTTGCACTGCAAACCAATGAAGTTTAACACACCAAACACACACCAGTGATAGATCCTGATTCTACAGGGCTGCAGAACACCAGTAAAGGTAAAACGGTAAAGGACCCCTGGGCGGTTAAATCCAGTCAAAGGTGACTATGGGGTTGCGGCGCTCATCTCACTTTCAGGCCGAGGGAGCCAGCATTTGTCCACAGACAGCTTTCCGGGTCATGTGGCCAGCAGGACTAAACCGCTTCTGGCGCAATGGGACACCGTGACAGAGTGCACGGAAACACCGTTTACCTTCCCGCCGCAGCGGTACCTATTTATCTACTTGCACTGGTGTGCTTTCGAACTGCTTGGTTGGCAGGAGCTGGGACAGAGCAACGGCAACTCACGCCGTCATGGGGATTCAAACCGCCGACCTTCTGATCAGCAAGCCCAAGAGGCTCAGTGGCTTAGACCACAGCGCCACCCGCACCAGTAATCAAGGTTGTAACAGGAGCTAAAGGGGTGAGGATATTGCACTCTCCAAATGAGCCACATGCGCTCTCACTAAAAATAAAACATTAAAAGCAGAGATTGGATCCAGGAAGAGCCCTACCATGTAGCTTGCCTCTGGAAAGGCAGGGAGCGTACACCAGAATTCCTGGTAGTATTGGCAGAAAGAAAGCTCACTTTAGGGTTGCCCGGCCACAAACTGTAATGCCAGGAGTTGGACCAGGTCTGATTCCAACCTGCGGATGGATGAGTCCACCTTAACGGAAAAAGCTGGTTTTATTCTGTAAAGCTATGCATGTTGTAAAGTTTTCAAATCGCTAAAGCAAGAAATCACTTTCTCACAGAATTGGTGGGAAAGTGTTAACAAGCCCAGACAACACACACTCTGATTTTAAAAGGGGGAAAGTTTGATAGCAAGTAAGACCTTCAAAGTCACCATATGGCAGCGGAGTCTTTAAACAAATTTACTTTAGCCTTGTAACTTAAGCAAACACAGCTTAGCAAAGTTAGGACAGGCAGCACTGACCCGAGGAACATTTCCCAAAATGCATGCTGTGAAACATGGGTAGGCAAACTAAGGCCTGCGGGCCGGATCCGGCCCAATCGCCTTTTAAATCTGACCTGCAGACGGTCTGGGAATCAGCGTGTTTTTACATGAGTAGAATGTGTCCTTTTATGTAAAATGCATCTCTGGGTTATTTGTGGGGCATAGGAATTCGTTCATATATATTTTTTCAAAATATAGTCCGGCCCCCCACAAGGTCTGAGGAACAGTGGACCGGCCCCCTGCTGAAAAAGTGTGCTGACCCCTGCCGTGAAAGATCCCTGTTTGGATGGGGGAGAAAATACTTGGCTTCTGTGCCAGGAGGAATCTTGGGGGACTGGTTAGGAGTTGTAACGAGAAATGCTATGCCTGGACAAATTCCAGTTCTTTATGAATTAGAACTTTGCTTCTTACACTGATATACAGAAACATTTAAGATTTCGCCTGTTGTTTAGTTGTAACAACGTACAGTAGGGGGTGACCCTCTCTTACTGCCCTGAAATCTCCTTAATCTTAATCTAAAGTCTGTAAACTTGATCCTCATAGCATGGAGAAGTTGGACTCAGCCATCAATCTCTCTGATTTTTGTGTATCCTCTGGCTATCTTTTTTCTCTTGCTGTAATTCAGTGCTTTTAAAAGCTGTGAACTGGGCAGAAATTCAGTTGTTACATTGCTTCTCCAT